CTTTGATTCGCAGAAAGGCTTGGTACTGACCGATGACTAGGTCTTGGAGGGCTGAGAATCGCAACTAACTGCTGACCTTGTGCAACGAACCAAGCCCCCAGACAGTTCGACCACCTACGCTTGGCGTCTATTTGACTTTGGTTTTTTCACACCAGCTTCTTGCAGATGATGTGATACAGCGTGATCGACGCTGTGCTCTCGGACTCGCCCTGCGTTGGTATATAATCACTCACTATCGACAATGTGCCCGCCTCAGCTACACATCACGCCGTCTGGCCTTTTGTTTTCTTCTTTTTTTTTATTTTGGGGGGGAGGGGGGTTGGGTTACCCACTGGATTCTGGGTACATGGGGCGTTGTCGACAGGCAAGCGCACCCCGCGGCCATCGACACCCATCTTTCTTGCCTCGCTCGCTGCTCAACGCAAATGTCTCCCCGACTGGCACTAGTTAGGTCCGCCCTTTCCGCCCTCACCCTGCTGCCTCCACGTGCTAGGAACCTTCGACAGCTCTCTGTTGGCTCATTAAGTCTCTCCGTCCCCGACTCCAAGGGGCTCCCTGTGCCCTGGTACCCCGTTGTTCCAAGATCTTCACTGCGCGCAAAAAGTTCCTGATGTGTCTGTCGGACGACTTTCCCATCTCCTGCACCTAGACATTGTCACAGCATCTAACATCCGTTAATCCGTCCAATGGTCTCCTTTTCATCCTATTCACTCTCCCCCCTTTCCCGCCTTCCCAGCCCCGACCGGAGTGTCTAGCCCGATCTCGCAACGGGTTCTCGCATCCAAGACTTCAGATCATCACCAGCGTTGTACCGCTTGCTGCTGTGTTGCACGGATAATCAATATTTCAGTTGTGTACATTCAGCGCTCAAACTCTTCAGCTGATTCCAAAGCTCATCCACCGCTTGCCGGTCCTGTGCGGTGTGTCTACTACATCTATGCTAGCCTCCACAACTGCAAAGTTCTGCATGCCCCAAACCCGAGATTGGCGAGATCATCGTCCATCATGGTAGCTATGCGTGGAAAATACGCCTCCTTGTAATTAATGTAGCCACACAGCGAGGCGCGAGCGAGACCTGGCCCTTGAGATGCAGTCCGGTCTCCGATAAAGTACGGATCTTCTCTCGACTTCCCCAGAGAGGGGATGTGGCCGTGTGCCTCGGTGATGATCAACTAAGATCGCAGTCTGCCCTCATCTTGACATATTGATGTGAATGTCTGAGGGCATCATCATTGGGCTACTCAGCATTATGTCATGTCTGCCAAAGTAGCGGAATACCCTCTGTTGAAGTTAGTCACCCCGAGTGTAATACACAAAAAGTCTCCAGTTCATAATACATCGACGCCTAGTCTATGGGGGCCTACCTTACACCCTGATACACAATGCCTAAGTCTTGATGCGGTCAAACTTCCGCTAAGAAGGCCCAACCATTTGCCACTGTTGCCCTGCACGCTGTCCCCAGAACTCTCGCTAGTGTTTGATGGGCGTGACGGACAGCCCGGTGAGAATCCGCAGTGGCGTGGATATCTCTTCGCCTTCTCGCGTCTGGCCTGTTCAGGAGAAGCGCACTGTTAGAGTTACGAGCCACTTACGGATGATCAAGTAATTGCTCCGGCAATGCAGCTGCAGCCTCACGGGACGCCAACTCAAATTCAATCTGCCTAGATCGCGTGAGTTTGAGAATGTACGTTTGTGTGAATGACTGACATACCCCTACCCCTCGTCACATATCGAGGCTGGAGCACTCGCCGGTTGCTGAGGCTTACAGTCGGGTTGCGGTGTGGCGCATGACTAGTGCCACTTACTGGCTATCGCTCCAACCATGCCGTTGACACCGCCACAAGAAGTCTGGAAGCGTGCCAATTATCGGACAAGTATACTTTGCCCTGAGACGACCCAACTTTAAGCTAATCTGAAGAAGCAACGATGTCGTTGTAAACTGGCGCATAACCACAGGGCCTGAGTCAGGCGTCAACGTTGACAGCCAAGCCTTTGCCGCCGCCGCGGGCATCCGAGACTCTGGATTGGGGACAGCCAGCATCATCCATCCATTGGCGCGAGCAAAGACGATGAAAGGCTTGGCCAATTCTAGTATCGGCACATCCCGTCCGTTTGTGCAGAAACACGGCAGCGGCGATGAACCCGGTAGAATGCATACGCAAGCCCAAGAGGCGGTGGTCGCTCCTTCCCTTCGGTCGATATCGGATTAACCCCTTCAACTACCAAAGTAGACCTTGCATGCACATCCAAGATTCTGGGCCGTGAGGGCTGAGTCGGACAGACGGGATTTGGGAAAAGTAAGTCTCCTGTCTCCTTGCCGAGTGTTGAGGCTTGGTTGATGCGAAACTCTACGAGATTGCCGCCGGAGCGAGGGGCAGCGTGGCGGTAGGTGAGTCCCTCATGTCTGCAATGCTTCTTCAAGCGAGTCCGGACCGCGGAATTCCGTCGGCAAAACAGTCAGCAACTCGCTTCTTTGAGGAAGCGCATATAGTCGTGGTCAGAAGGATCAAAGGAACCAGTAAGCGCAAAATTCGTTGTGGCTTCGTCAAGCCATCCCGGCAGGCGGCCGTCGGCTGTCAGTGAGATTAGGATCAGCGTTCGCATTGAAGCTTGCAACCGTGAGTTTGCTCAAGTGCTCAAGCCAGAAGTAAGTGTGTGTCGCTGAATGACCCCGCACCGAGTTGCCCCGCTACCTTGGAAGGATGTCGGGTTTGGCACGAGCTGGAACCTGGAAACACAACATAGGCATCTAACCGAGCAGGTTTCGCAACAATAGCTCAAATCCCCGATGGCACAATTGGCTAGCGCGTCAGACTGTTAATCTGGAGGTTGGTGGTTCGAGCCCACCTCGGGGAGATTCAAGTGGTTAAATTCCACACTCTGATTGAGCACTTACTTTTTGCCTTTTGTCGCTCTCCCAAATGCTCAAAATGGTGGACTTTGAAATACATGCTCGTTCCTTATCTCATGGTCCTAAACTACCGGCCAGATATCGACTCCATTACATTACCCAGATTCACATCACGATGAAGCCTGATCTGCCGCGAAATGCTTTATGAGCAATGGTGACGAAGTATAGCTGTCTTGGTATGCATGTAGTCACGACCCGTAATGTTTTCTTTGGAGTAGGAGACATAATAGACTTGACGGAACAGACTTTCCAAATAATAGAGGCACGAAGCACTGATGGCTTGCCAGCTTTGGCCAGCCGGCTTGGATGGTTATAGTGACGACCTCTTGGGCCGGAGATGCCGTAATATATCTAAATTTCAGCCCCCGCAACTGTAAAGGCCGTTGACTTCTTTTCGACGAAGCATAACGAAAGCGAGATTTCCCGGGTTCGGCTCTCGTACGTGGGTTATGTCTATTGGTAGACGGTTTGCTTTACGGTATCATAGATATTTAGTGTCGAAAACATGTTCTCAAGGGATTCAACTACTGTTTAATCCTTCTGGCTTAGACGAATATGTCGTAGAGAAACGCCCTGACGTGCCGCTTTCACTTTCCCGAAGCCAGATAGATGCGCAGCACAGCGTGAAGAGTCAGATCGGAACGCCATTGCCAGTCAGCAGCCGTTGACCAGCTCTGACTGAGTACTCACATCCGCGAAGAAGCATGGCCGGGATTAGGGTCAAGCTTACGCCCCGTTTCTCCCAGTGTATAGCATGAGACGGTGTCCTAAGATTATCCGTGGGGGAAAACAGGTCGTCGTCTGATTGCATCAATTTCTCGAGGCCAAGGTATTCGGGAGCACCTTGATGTACACCCGTTTTCCAAAATTACACACACACACACACACTCAGTGGAGAAGGAACCAGTAGCCGGGGACTCGTTCCATGTAGAAGTGACTTCTGACACGGGTCAGAAAGAATAGACTGCGAACGAATTGCCACTGCCTGGGGCAAAACAAATATTAGGATTGCATGGCTCGCCGCACTGCTTGGGTTGTCCAGGACACCACAGCCAAAAAGAAACCACTTCGCTCGGTATTTGCTCTTCCACCCTATTTCCATTGTCCATCGTTCATCTATGAGGGCTGTAAGTAATTCCTAACGTCACTCACGTTTACAAGTCAGAGACACAATGAAAACGTGAAAACGACACCATAAAATTGATCCGCCTTGGGCCGCTTTACAGATTCGAGCATTTGTAGACGTACGAGCTTGATAATGATTCTAAGCAGACGAGCGAAACACATGGCTGTGACAGAACTAGATACACCAATATGTTCATGATCAAATCATCGCTTCGTCCGTGGTCTCAGTTAAGATGAACGAATTTCACAGGCAGGCATAGGAGCTGAGGATCGACGCTTCATGTAAGAATCCCCCCTTGCCCGCGCTTGCAAATAGCAGCATTTTCATGTCATAGATCGTTCAACTGGTACTCCCAAGGCTTGCTAGATAACTTCGCCAACAATCGACTGGAGAATCCCAGCTGCCGTGGCCGGGCCCTTAACATCCATTTGTCTCACATCTTCGCTTCTGGTTCGTTGATGGAAACGGACGACAACACTAGTATAATGATGCAGATGTCTGTGTACATGTATCGTCCGCACCTTGGCTGAAGACACTCCCGAGACTCCTACTTTTGATCTTCATACAATCGGAGTGGAACAGAGGGTGAGACTAACGCACCAATCTGAACAAAAGAGAGTAGATACGTCAATTCGACGACGGCAGGTCCAAAGGTATCATGACGCTCACGGCCGGACCAACTTCATGATGGCCCCTTCCCTTACCCGGTATTCCCTTTCAATTAACAAGAAAAAAAGAAAAAGAAAAAACAGAGCACAAGCAGCAGCCCGTTCTATTCCAAAATGCCAAACTCCAAAATCGCCAGGCTCGGCAGGCCGAGCCTCATTATAACGGCCTAGAACCGCTTTCCCACAACTCCGTACCCCGGCAACTGTGGGCGGTGCCGCAGAGTCGGTGCCGCCTCGGCTATTGCAATGCCTCCGAGGGTTTGGTATCATGTCGTCTTGCCCAGCAGACTAAAAATCATTGCGCACTCTGCGACCTCGAACGGTTGCCTTGTCGGTTGGACCGAGGAGTACTGTTTCCCTCCCGTCCTGCACCGGCTCGCACCGCATCGGTGTAACTAGGTATAGGAGGATGTGAAGGACCCGCCGCCGCCGCCGATGCGCCTCGGCTCCGGTTGAGCACCCGAATGAGAGGCGTATCCTCGCTATCCGTACTATTTCGACGGCTTCCGGCCTCCGAGGCATCGGGGCTCGTGTACTCTGGGGGAGGATTCAGTGCGTCTTGAAGCCCAAGGCCTACAACGCTTTCGCCTTCGCGTCCGGCGTTGCTGCCGCTCGGCTCGCCGCCCTCATCGCTGGACGCGAAGTGCGTCAAGGAGATGTCAGTCGGGCTTCTCACGGGACCGGGGCTCCTCGGTGGTAGTACTCTGAAGTTTCCGCTTCTTGTGCGTCCGTGCTGAGGTCCCAACCCAGCTTGCGAGTACGATTGCGACTGCGAGTGTCCCCGCTGCTGCGTCGTACTGCCTGTGTATCCGTCTTTGCGTCCGGCCTCTAGCAAGATGTCGCCCTGCTCGGAGCCGTACGGCGGCGGAGGGGCGAGGCTGCCAGTCATAGGAGCGAGTCCCCACTTCTTAACATTGGCCTCGATGAAGACGAACCCGGCCTGGCCGAAATTGACGTGAATGATGCATGGACCGTTGGCACCGACGGCAGGGAAGAAGTTTTGTGACTTGACACCGTGAACGACATCCTCCAGCTTCTTACCGTTGCGAGTGAAGAAAATGGTGCCTGTTCGGGGGCGGTAGCCGACGCCAATGACGTCGCCCTGGACGTACTGGGGGGCGTAAGGCGTGCCAGTAAAGGGCTGGTTGCAGCGGCGCTGGCCGGTCGAGAGATATGCAGCAGAGTGTTTATGAAAGCCTGGACGGGTTAGAATTGGGGGCGTAAAGTGATCAAGAAGGGAACGAACCTGGTAGTCTGAACAAGGGATACGGCTTGGTAGCCATGCCGATACTGATCAATGTGTTTTCTGGCTTGTCGTAGATCTTTGCCTCCCAGTAGTAAACCTCGTTTTGTTTGGGCACAGGCAGGTTGCTCATGACAGTACATTCCGAGTCGAAGAACTCAATTTCGGTGCGGGCTTCGACGAAGCAGTTGGCGATTTCCAGCTCCGGCTCAAACTCCCAGGCAGAGACGCCCTTTTCTTGGATGGCGAGGTATTGTGACAAGGATATGTCGGTCTGTACGGACTCGGGCGGGTTGGCGTTAATGAATGCTATACGATCAGTTAGTCGGGTGGTCTCCCATAGGTCTGCGGGAGACGACGGTAGCCTACCCTTTGCTCTCAAGTATTCAGTCCGTTGCATGTCATCCATAGACTCGAGTGCTTCGGCCTCCTCTCTTGCAAAGGCCTGCTCATCGTCATACTCGCCGGGACGTCCGATGCGATCGAGGAAGATGCGGCCGCTGGCGGTGTATCTGAAGAAGTATATGACGAGAAAGATGACAGCGATAAGGACGGCCGAGCCAAAGGAGGACAGCAGTCCGATGACGACGCCATTCAGGGTTGGTGACGGAGTTGTCGGGGCCATGATGGGCAGGCGGCGACGGTCGTCGATTCAATCCGGTCGGTCGGTTGGAGTAGTGGTGAGATCGGTCGATCGAAATGAGGGACGGCTGGCGTCACCGCCGCGAAAGCAGCATTCGGGGGTGGTTTCGACACGACTAGAACGGAGTGAAGCAAAGGAGGCGATAACAGAAACAGGCGATGGTTGGAAGAAAAGAAGGAAAGTCAACGTCGACGGACGAGACGATGCGAAGGGCGAAGGCGAAGGGAAGGTTCGAGATTAACGAAAATTGAATTGGGAGGATCGTTTCTGGTCGGGAGAGTAGGTAGTGTCAGACGAGCGTTATCGACGCCTTTGTCGTCGGGGTAGTTGTTAGGTGCGGCGCTACTACCAGGGCACCTTGAGTATGGTGCGTGCAGCAGTGCTGATGGTGGTGTAGGTGCGGTGCAGTGTGCAGTGCGGGCGGGTGGTTGCCACAGGCTCCGACTGACCCAAGTCGCAGGTTGATGGGGCCTGGGTTACTCTTGTTTGCGGCGGGTCCTCAGCTGAGCTCCGGGGGGGTAGGGGTAAGGGGGGAGGGATTCTAGGTGCTGTGCGGCGCAGTGGCACTATCCCGTATCCTTGGACAAGGTCGAAGGCGGGCCTGGACGGGTATCGGTTGATGTATGCTATGCAGAATGGTGTACAAAAATTCGTAGATGGGACGAATCAAGGACGCTGCAAGGGACAAGGGAGGCGATTACGAAAACCGATCGTCTGGGTTGTTGATGTTGATGTTGATGTTGATGCTGAGTGTTGTTGGTTGGGGAAGAGAAAATGTAAGAGAGAAAGAGGAAAGGGAGGATGAGAGAGCAACAATGATGACAAGGTGAAAAAAGAAGAAAAAAAAAGGAAGAAACAAGGCAGCAACGACAAATCAAGCAAGGGCCTGGGGAACGTTGCAGGACTCTCGAATCAATCGATGGGGAAGGCGTGGCATAGTCGAGAAATGGCTTGAGGAAGAAAACGGAGATAACGGTAGACGAAGAAGGACGCTGAAAGAAAGTAGTCGTCGTCGTCTTCGTCGTGGTCAGATTCGCAGGCATTGGCAATGACAGAAAAGACCCAGCCAAAATCCAGAAAAGGGTAAAAGAAGGACGGCGGCGACGGGCAGCGGTGGTAGACCTGGCGAATAGGTTCCCTGTGCATCCGCAAGGTGTACTTGGGCACCAGGGGCCAGGGTACAAGGTTCTTGGCGGGAATTTGATAGTGACAAGCACTCGTCCTGAGTGGCGCATTCTAACAAGTGGCGGGGATATTCCCGTACTGCGGAGACGCCGCGCCCAGTCGTTGCCGGTCACCCTGCCTAGTTCTAGGCGTGGATGACGCCGACTGACGGGTCCCAGCCTTTCTTTCCCAAGGCCCGCGCAGCACGCGGTAGGCTGGCAACGGTACCTTGGAATGCTGCAAGCGTACCGCGAACAGCAAGGTACCACCGATGACCAAACCAACTTGGAGTGGGGAGTGGTTATCAGGTTCCTGCACTCGAGCGAGCATACATACTGCTAACCCACCCAAAGAGCCCGGTAGACCTGTACACTAGCAATGACCGCCGGAATCTGCGCACTCATCTTCCCCCTTCCGTGTCTGTGGAAGCGCCGGAGATGTATGGGCGGGCAGAAAGAGAGAGGAGACTGAGGGGGGGAGTGACGAAATCAGTCAACCGGTCCAACATGTAGTGTGTCACTCCGTCTGGTTCCGAAGTGTCAAGCGACCCTGGCGAGGTAGTATTCCTGCTTGTCTCTCTTGTTTTTTTACCCCCCCCTTGTACCCGATTCTCTTTCCTCGCGTGCCACATCCATTACATTTCACTAACTAGTACTCTTCTCGTAGTGACATTAGTAGGCCATAGAACAATAGTTGCCCCTCCTCACTCACCATCCTCTCCCCTCGCTCTCGGCTTCCCCTGCTGCAGATCGAATCCAGTCCATCTCCATTGTTGTGAAATTTTACTAGGATATTTGGACCTTGTTCTGCAAAGCCAACCCTAAGCCACCTCTCCAGGTCCGTCGATCAAGCCCTCGGAAGCCCCCTCCCCCCATCCAGCCATAGCAGGACCGCTAGCAGGCGGCTCCAGGCCACCAGCACAGAGAGACACAGTAAAGGGTTCCCCACGGCGTCGAACGCATAAACACCGCCCGGGCGGTTAAGCCTAAGCCATGGGCCAAGGCAAGGACCAAGGGCCAAGGGGCCGGCCATCTGGAGGGGGAATCCTCCCCCAAAAGCGAATCAAGGAGTTGTCAGGGTGGCTGGCAGCCCTGGCGCAACCCACTAGTTTCAACAGATTCGCATTGGGTTTCATGCTCTGCTTGTCTTTGTGCCTTTTTGTTCCTGCAGAGTTCCCTCGTCGTCTCGAAGCAGCCCGTGCTTAGCCGCATCCCTTTTGGTCCCCCAAAATAACAATAAAGTTGGTAGCGGTTTATTCTTCGTTTTTCTTTTCTTTTTTTTGCATTGGTACTTTTGGTGGCCCAGTAAAAATTCGATCCTTCCTCGACTAAAAATTTTTTTGGGCTGGATGAGTCTTTGTACACAATAGTTGCTCTCTTTGTTCTCGTCAGGGACAAGCACGCCTGGCAATTGTTGGAGCCCTCTCGACTGGTCTCCTTGTCCACATTGTCCAGTGAAGCTCCCCCTAATTTCATGCATCATTGCCAGGAACGTTATGCAACGGCCTGGATAGAGAATTCCATTACCCACATCTCCATCGCAACCGCCTGGCAGGCCCCAGGATCGACATAGTCCGAGCTACCACCTCCTTCCGTGTTGTTTCCCCCCCCCCTTCCCACCCCATTCCACGTCCGTGTTCGGGTCCGGGCTCTTCTTGCACTTTACTTTTTTGGGGGTGTAGGATCCTTTTGAGCGTCCGCCAAAAGACCGCGTCAGTGCCCTCATCAAGCCCAACCACCGTAAGACCACACGGTTTACTGTCAAGGTGTCAAACCCGAAGACGGCGCCCGAAATCGCGCACAGTCGCTATTTTCGGGGCAGCGGCACCAACTGTGATGCTACCTTTATAATTTTCGCGAGGTCCCCGCCCGCAAGGCGCCCCTGCATTCCCACCTTACGGGAGATCGTCGGCCGGCATTGGTGCTCCACTCCGGGGCCGGTCCTTTCGGGCTGCTGGGGCTCGGTATGATTTCGGTGATGGTGATACACTACGTCAACCCGCAACGGGCCATGAAGTTTGATGCCTCCCAATATACGTCGTGGATCTTGGCATGTTTTCTAGGTTCTGTACATGAGAACCACTGCCAAAACTATTTGCTTCATCTCTGAATCACCATGTCACACACATACACACGATTTGCTCCTGGTCAGCCAGTCAACGATTTTCTGTGACCGTTTCAGGGACTCAGCGACTCACTGCATCTCAGAGCACTCCAGAGTCACCATCACTAGGCGAGTATTTGGGATCCTCATCGTGTCACCCAAACCATCCATGCCTCTCTGACCATTATATGCTTTCTCCGATTCACCACATCAACCGATTCACGGCCCCCATAAAAAGTCTATAAACTCTGAAAGCTATCTCCGTTGATTCCACAACCAAGAAACTATGCCTCCTAGAAAAAGAAATATCACTCTTTTCCCTAAGCACTGTTTCTTTACAACTTGGATTCATCTTCACCTCACATCACGAGATGCAGAAACACGAACCCTCCACGGTCTCGCAACCCCCCGTACACGAACGCCCAACTTGTAGACATCATCTACGTGGGACCTGTACCATGGGAAACGACTGTAGGTTCCCTCACCGCGGCGCTAGCGGACACAACATTTGCAGGCATTTCCTCGCCAACAGATGCTGGTCCGCTCCCGGCCAATGCAGGTTCTCTCATCAAGTATCCAGTAACCTGGCTGCAGGTTATCCGGTAGCCTCAGTGCTTAGCCCTGTCTCTCTTTCTACAACCAGCAGTATCAGTCAATCATCTCATGAGTACTACCCTTGGCAGGCGGTCGTGTACCCTGGTATGATTGGCATGTACAACTTGCCTGAGTGCCAGCCTCTTTCACCCCCCTTGGTATACGATCCGCACACAGACTATCGACCTGGGCCGGTTTACGTTCATCCGAACAACAACAAGAAAATACCATGCCTGCGTTTGAATATTACAAACCGGTGTTACTTGGGGGATTCTTGTGAATTCGATCACAGCGAGTACCTCAGCAAGCGCTACAGCCAACTTTGTCGCTATGGTGAGAAGTGCGAGAGCAGAGGAAAGGGCTGTCGCTATCGTCATGCAATGAACGAAACCGAGAAAAAGAAAAGCATGGGTTGATTCAGACTCCATTCCGACTGTAAATGAAGAGGCAGACATCCTAACGCCAACTTTTGTACATGTGTGATCGACTTAAAGAACGGGTTGCCATGAAACTGAAAGGGACAGCTCTCTTAAACCAAATGAAGAAATTAAGAGGAACAAGCCGCATCAATTTCCGTCGCGTCACATGCGGTGACACCGACGCGCGAGCCCTTCCACAAGTCAAAAGCGAAACAGAGAGGAAGCCCATAGGATGGCTACATACATCCAATCACATATTGCTCTGTTCCACCGCCGGGCTTGGGTCTTCTATGCTTGCCTTTTCTTTCAACAGGGGTGAAAGCCTGGAGAGTCCAAAACTCCCCGCCTCTCAGGGCATCACGTAAAAGGATGGTGACGGGGGATAAAATATATAAATGAAAATGACTTTAAAAAGAGAAACGAAAGGCGTCGCTAACAAACGTGTAGAAAATCCACCATGGGCCAAGCACCTTCGCGACCCAGTATTAGGGGATAGTACTAGGGGTGCAGACGCACCAAAAACGTTGAGTGATTGGGCTGTTGAGCTAGCCTAAAGCTGCTACCACAAGTAGAAACAAGAGAAAATATATGGTTTGGACAAAGAAGAAAACTTGATGATGATCTAATAAGATGCATGTGTCGATTTCTGATGCCAACGCTCTACACCCGACTCCATACGAAAGGGACGCTCAAGGCGTCCGCTGGGTAACCGGTATTTTACAACACCAACTTATCTTATTCCTCACAGCACTACTAACGGCTGCTGCTGCTGCTCCTCCTCCCGTATCTGTTCGCCATGCGCCTCCTGTGTCTCATTGGCATGATCCTCCGTCTCGTTGCGTCCTGCACTCCCAGTCGCCTCGTCGTTTTGTCCTTCCGTGTTCTCGGCGTTTGCAGCCTCCGCAGCCGCAGCCGCGGCCGCGGCTGCCTCTGCCTCCTCTCGTCGTTGACGCTCAGCCCGAGCCTCAGCCTCAAGGTGGGCAATGTGACGCTCCGCTACACCTGGCGCGATACTGGCAAGGAAGAGAAGGCCAGCTCTCTCAAGCCGCCGTACCTGATCCATCAGCCAGTTAGCGTTGTTGTGCCTGCGCTGATCAACCAATCTGGCAGCGGCGCGCACTGGATCAGGTTGACCGTTGGCTCCAATTACGGCCTGATCCTCCCTTGGTCGCACAGGGTTGTTAGGATTGTTCGGGGCGACCAGGGGGATCAGATTCTCCATATGACGCCTGACCGGTCCCACAGCTTGGTCGAAAACATTGTTAAGCAGTCCTGTATTCAAGACGAATATACTGACAGCAATGAATATGACAGTGAACCATCTAGACCAGCTCGCGTTGGGCGAGGTAAACCACCAAACGAATAAGCCAAGTCTAACCACTAGCCAAAAGTGCGGCCATAGCAGCGCAATTAACGGAGCGATGCCTGGGTTGTTAGGATGAGCTGGCACGGCCACGACAGGCGGCTGCCCAGGAGGTTGTTGCGCATCTGGTTGTGGCGCTGCCTGAGCAGGTTCAGCTGGGTGTACAGGCTGTTGCTCTTCTTGTGGTGCCGGAGGTGTAACAAAAGGTCCAGGCCATGCAACGTGCTGCTGGCGACCTCTCATCCTAGCCAGAGCCGATGCTGTCTGATGGAGTGCAGCAGAGGTTTGATAAGGTATTCTAACGCTAGGCGTGTAGTATGCCTCGGAATTGTTGTTGTTAAACAAAAGAGCACGTGGCCCCTGGGGTGAGTTCAAAACGTAAACGTCAGGTCCGTTTGATGCCTGCCGTTGTATATTTACAGAATGTCCGCTGCCACCGCTAACTGAGCGTGCAGTAGGATCGGGTGTGGCTCTTCTGCTGCTGGCCCTTGAGCCTTGCGTCGGGTAGTATGGGGTGGTGACGCCAACGGACGAGCCATTAGCAAGAGACGCTCCCGAGGCACTTCTTTGCATGGCGTTCGTCATTGCAAGAGTTGCTTGGCCAGCATCGGCACTTCTCAAGATGTTCTGCACATCCACCGCCGATAGCGGCGCTGTGCCCCCCTGGCCTCCCGGCTGGTTAACATTCAATGAGCCCCCAGTGAGCGTCTCATTGACAGCCATACGGTAGGGCTGGCCGTTTGGCAAGACGAATTCCCTAATGTACGTGTGCGTCTCTGGGTTCGCGGGGCTAACCCTTCCGCGCGTAGGATCTGCGGGATTCACCGGCGCGGCAGGATCACCGATGCCGTGAAGACCCAGAGCAGCTCTCATGGATTGGTTCTGGTTGATCTGCTGGTTGGCCATGGCTCTGTTCATGGCCTCACGTTGCAACCCGTTCATCCAAGCCGCCATGCTCTGGTGCTGTTGCGCCTGCATCTGCTGAATTTGTTGCAAAGACAGGTTTGAGGGTATCTGCGACGGCGTTGGGAACGGCAGGGGGTTCGACGTTGGGTGCAATGGAGTCCTCCTGGTGAAGGCTGCCGCTGTGGGCTGACTGCCATGGTGATGCACGTGGTGATGCTGGACGCCGGGGTTCACTGGGACGTGGAACTGGGCGACTGGTGGCGGCGCCGGACTCGTACCACGGGCAAGAGCCGGGGTCGGTGTTGTTGAGCGGTGCGTCTCCGCGACATCTCGAAGGACAAGGTGGATGGTTTGTTGGTCGGTGTTGCGAATCTAGCCATGTCAGCAAGCTCGCGATGTCAGCAAGGCGGGCGGATTTGGGCTTACGACTTCCTCGCCGATGATGTTCAGGAGAATGTCCCCGTCCTGCTGCAGGGGCCGTCCCCTGTAGATCAATCGTTGCTGGGCGTCGGTCGGCTTTAGAGGCAAAGCCTGGCGAATCTTCTCCTTGATCTGTCGAACAGTCGTGGAGGCTGGGAGATCCGGGAATACCAGGGGCCGGCTGGAGTTCGCAGCGGTTGATGGTGACAGGATCTGAAGGTTTACGGACAGGTGGTCGGAAGTGGCCTCTGGCGCTGGCGCAGGCTGCGCGGTCGAAGACGAGGCTTCAGAGGCCATATTGACGGCCTATCGGTCATGCCACGCAAAGCGCAGCGCACGGCAGCTTCTTCGAAATATCCGCGAGGGAAGGGAGGAGTTTGCTGGTGGTTACGGACGAGGACACGATGCTCATGTCACTGTGCCGTTGTTCCTGGAAATTTAGGACATGTGTTGCCCTTCGACTGCAGGCTGTAGCTCAGGTACCAGACCCGCCCGGCTTCACTAAAACGTGGATACGTACCCAGTCCCTGGGCTCCGGGAAGCCCGACCCATGCAGGCTGTCCCAATTGGGATGAGAACCAGCTTATGTAAGATTGAGTGGATGTATCCGTACTAGTATTTTGTAGAACCCAGCCAATTGCCATTCCCAACTGCTCATAGATGAGAATCGTCCCGACGCAGTCTTGGCCGTAAAGGCTGTAGAAACCATGTCTCGTTTTGTTGCTATAAATAATATCCTTTTCGGGTGAAAACCTCTCTCAGTTTCACACTCTTCTCGTTGAACACTCTTCTAGTAGGGCCATTTGCGTTTACGAACCCTCGCCTTATCATCAGACGATTTGGCTTTCTTCGTTGCTTAAGCTCTCTCCCTTTGCCATTGCGCATATTGTCAACATGATGTCCTTCAATCCGGCTGGTGTTTGTTAGACAAAAAAGCCGAATATTAGCTGACTTACTGGACTAATGGTAATTTCTTGGGTAGTTTCCATGTTTCTGACGTATGCTGGCGGTTTCTAGCAAGTCTCATTCTATCTTTAAATATTTAGTGCAGATGAGGCTCTAGATACCAAGTCTTTCAATTTATGCCACAGAATTATGCCGCCGATGTTTCGAAGAAATGAACGGCTTGGATTTAAGGGACTACAAAACAACCTCTTTTGAGGAAAGCCCATGGAGACAGCTATTTCGGTCTGTATTGTTGCCACTAAGTTGGGTGTTCTGCCCACAGAAGAGGGGTTTGGGCAACAGTTCTGCGATCCTCTTTCTCTGTAAATTAGAAAACAATAAGCCTCCAGTGAAGCATGGACAAGAGAGAAAAAAAGGGAGAAACTATGTTATGGGAACTAGGGAAAACAACCAGGGTACATGGTATGCTTTCCCTCCGCCCACCTGTGAGCTCATCCTAGTAATTGATCGAAATCCATCACAAGTTTGAATAAAAAAGCTACTATAGAAGAAAAATTGTACCCCTCGATGCCGTAGTTGATTCTGAAGTATATACCATTTGCGTTCCTCTGAGAGTATTGAGTGGCCCTCAAAGGCGTTAAGAAATGTCCGAAAACAGGCTAGCGTCCTGGCATGGTTTGTGCTGCGTCATCCCACACCTAGAGCTGGGCCTGCAAGATCTTATCGCAATATGTCTACTCGTTCTTTTCGCACCCGCCCAGCAATTGTCGATCCCGCGAACCCGGCAAAGCTCGTGGCTCGAATTACACGCGTTGATTGAGGTCCTCTACACATCATGGCCACGCTGTACGCTCGTCAGAGCCAGCTACGGGTCAACCTCCTCCACGGGCCCTTCTCCTCGTCCCGTTACTTCTCCCAGCAGTCCCAGCAGCGGCCGCGCTTCTCCTCCCGTCTACGATCCAAAGTGCAGTGGTACCAGATCCCCGTTGGCCTAGGCATAGGCTTCCTGGGCCTCGTTCAATTCTACAAGGTCTCGTCGCGTGAGCGCGATAACCCGGAGAGAAGCGAGGTCCAGGATGCGGCGCCCAAGAAGCGCGCAAAGATCAGGCCAGATGGTCCATGGCAGGTCCAGGTCATGTCTACGCTCCCATTGAAGGCCATGTCGAGAATTTGGGGTCGATTCAACGAATTGACCATCCCCTACTACCTTCGTGTTCCTGGTTTTAAGCTCTATTCGTGGATATTTGGTGTTAAGTTCGTCAGCTCTGTCTATTTTTTTTTATTCTCTTTTTTTCCCTAGCACCACAACTAACCGAAACTCGAATAGCCTGGACGAAGTCGCCGAGCCCGACCTCCACACGTACCCGAACCTCGCTTCCTTCTTCTACCGTCAACTTAAACCTGGTGCCCGTCCTCTTGACCCGAATTCAAACGCATTGTTGTCCCCGTCCGATGGCAAGATCCTGCAGTTTGGCCAGATCCAGGGTGGCGACATTGAGCAGGTCAAGGGCATGACATACAGCATCGACGCCCTCCTCGGCAAGAACACTCCTACTTCCAGCATTGCAAGCGGCTGGTCTACACCGCAAGAGGTTGAGGCTGCCAAGATTGGTGACCAGGATATCTCCCCCGATGAAGCGTTGGTGAAGACAGACGAGGAATTCGCCCGTGTCAACGGCATTTCCTACACTGTCCCCAGTTTGCTGTCTGGTGCTGCCATGTCTAAGCGGACTGGCTCTCTCAAGGACGAAGCTGCCGAGCCGCCCTCGCCGTCTGCCGTTTCCGAAGTTCGTGCCGACCTTGCCCTTGGTGAGAAACCTTGGTACGACTTGCTCTCCCCAGACAACAAGACCTCCTTATACTACGCCGTCATCTACCTCGCCCCTGGAGACTACCACCGCTTTCACTCTCCTACCAATTGGGTTGTTGAGCGCCGTCGCCACTTTGCCGGCGAGCTCTACAGCGTTTCTCCCTACCTCCAGCGTACCCTTCCTGGCCTTTTCACTCTAAATGAGCGTGTAGTTCTACTCGGTCGCTGGCGCTACGGCTTTTTCAGCTACGTCCCGGTCGGAGCTACCAATGTAGGCTCCATCAAGGTTAACTTTGACCGCGAGTTGCGCACCAACAGTTTGACTACCGACACCGCGGCTGATCGTGCCGCTGAGGAGGCTGCGAAGCGTGGTGAGCCGTACCTCGGTTTCGCGGAGGCCACCTATGCTTCTGCAAGCAGAATCCTTGGCGGCCATGCGCTGCGCAGAGGAGAGGAGATGGGTGGTTTCCAGCTTGGAAGCACTATTGTGCTGGTGTTTGAGGCGCCGACAGAGAGCAAGACGACGGAGGACAGGAGCGGTTGGAGATGGGCTGTTGAAAAGGGCCAGAAGGTCAGAATGGGACAGGCGTTAGGATACGTTGATGAAGAATAATCTTGTCTAGATAGGCATTGCCATGTACACATATAAGCGACAGAGTCAAAAGATACGGTTCATTTCCTCCCCCCCCCTTCTTTAGTTGGCCGCTATAACACCCGGAAGCACCCCAATGTTGCTTGGCGTCGAATGAAGAAACAGTACTTAGGAGCCGGATCCCTGCGCGTCGTCAGACGTCTATTTCAGCCACCATACTCTTTCTATTGGCTCACGGGAGGATGTACACAGAATTGACGATGGTAGCAGTAAATAGTATCATTCATTGCGTAAAATCATTAATTGCGCTAAATCTATTAAAAAAAAAAAAAAAAGCGGTCGCTCGTAACTCCGCCAAATGCTGATATATGTGCATCTCTCTCAACCCTCCAATTCTTCCTAACACACCACAAACTCTATGCATCTAAGAGCTGAAGGTCTTGAAGATCTCCTCAATAGGCTTGAACTCCTTGGGGCCAGCCTCGCCGGTCTTGCCACCGAAGACGAGCTGGGCGTTGAGCTTCCAGCTGGCGGGAACCTTCCACTCCGCAGCGACCTGCTGGTCGACGAGGGGGTTGTAGTGCTGGAGGTTGGCGCCAAGACCCTCGGCCTCAAGAGCGGTCCAGAGGGTGAACTGGAGCATGGCGTCGGACTGGTTGGCCCAGACGGGGAAGCGGTCGGCGTAGAGAGCGAACTTCTCCTGGAAAGTGTTGACGACATCCTGGTCCTCGAAGAAGAGGACGGTGCCGGCAGCACCCTTGAACATGGCCATTCTGCCGGCGGTGGCCTCCCACTGGTCGCCGGGGACGATGGCCTTGAGGACGCCGGTGGTGATGTCCCAAAACTTGTCGTGCTCAGCACCGTGGAGAACGACGACGCGGTTAGACTGGGAGTTGAAGGAGGAGGGGACGTGGGCAAGGGCGGTCTTGACGATCTCGTCGACACGCTCCTTGGAGATGGTGAGGTCCTTGGAGAGGGGGTAGTAGGTGCGGCGAGCCTTGATGGCGTCGAGGATAACGTTGGCGTTTCCGGACATTTTGGTAGTGGTAAAGGTTCTTAGTGGTGCTTTGGGGGCAGTGAAGAGAGGACGGGCGAGTCTGCGGGTTGCTTGAAAGGCTGTTCGAGTGATGGAAATCATGGTTCTTCTTTCGGGAACTAAGACTGGGCTGTATGGATGATTATATACTACGACAGTACGGGGAGAAGGCCACCTGTGTTCCTAAGCGTCTCGGAACCCCCATTAAAACACCCCACGTCAACAACCTAGAGCTACAACTTGGCTTCATGCGGGTCTTCAGCCATCCCGATTACCAGAAGGGGCCACAAGAGCAATTGGCGCTTGAGACTAGGAACCAGAAAGGTGCGGGCCGGCAGCTGAGCAAATGGTATGGTAATCAGGGGTTGGCTTACCAACACGGGTCGAGGTAGGTACCGAGGAAACCCAATGTCACAATGGTCAAGGCGGGGTGGAAGGCTAGGAAGCACATAGCGAAGAGGATGGAATCGATAACGTGCCCCTCCCATCAGAGATTGTACTTGTCTGGCGGTTGGGTACTCCGTAGTGTTCAATTCTATACGTGTAGAACACTGAAGAAGGACCCTTGCAATTTTTTTTTTCGCCGCTTAGCTGAAACAGGAAAGAAGAGCGGTGACAAAGCGGGCGGGTTCTAGTTGACATCATCCCTTTGGCGGGGTACCTCCCCGCCGGTGTGTAAAGTACGTTGACTTACTCGCCATTCTGGCGGTTGGACTAGCTTAGACATCACCGGCGACTTTGGCAAATCAATTCCCTCTTTTGTCATATTCTAATCGGAGCACGTCACATCTGAGATAGTACCTTGGATTTTGAGAGGAGATGAATGGCACGGTCGACCTGGACCGAGGTGGAAGAGACTGACTAGACCATGCAGAATTGCTGGCGCCTCGAAAATTCCAGAAACGCTCTCCCGTACCAGAATTCTCATCCTCCAACTGCCAGGGTGGTAAGAGAGACCTTCTCGAAATGGCCATCCACCCATCAATCAGCACTCGTCCCGAATATTCAGTTCCTTTGAACCCACCACCCAATGGCAGACCCTGCAGCTTTAGAAGCTGGCCTTATACCAAGGCTCCCCACTGCAGTCAGCACCCTAAACCCACCAGAGATGCAGTTGCTTGGTTGCTTCGGGGACCCTTCTCGATCATCGAACAATGGTGCCACAAAGTATGCCGAACTCTCGTATAGGCTCATGCGGAAAGTTGGTCACCTTAGCCTTGCAAGGCGACAACACATACATGTCTTTCGCCGCCCTCCCGCGCGGCTCGGGAATGTCAAAGCATCGACGGCGTCTTTGAATCATTTCTCAAGTCCACACCCTGCTTACATATCTGCTTACCACGCGCTCAGAGATGCAGATACACTACCAACAGCTTTGTGTGTTTCACACGGGCAACTCTCGGCAAACTCTCAACGAGCGCCATCGCCGAGCCCCGCGCGCGAGATCCTTTTCGTGCCAGTGGTCGATGACTAGCAGCTGAATAAGCCCACCCAACCCCTTGCCAGCGACCCGTTGCGACCCGTAACCGCGCGGGAGAATCCACCACCACCATCCTGTGCCAGGCTCTTTTTCGATGGCGCATCAATGGCGCAACCACGACGCTTGTCTCGGTCTGTGGCTTTGGGCAAATCCGGCCCCCCTTGCCATTATGTAATCGGAAGGCCCCAGAGTTTTTGAGCGGCGAGTCGACTTGGTAGAGTAGACCGACCCATCACCGGCCGCAAGGCTTGATGAGTGTGATTCCGACACGGAATTAGCTCCTACTTCCGGCGGAATTATATCGCCCCAGTATTTGCATCCGTCCTTGCACGCCGGCCATCATTGAGGTGCTGCTACTGGAACTGAACCCTAGGTCGGCAGCAACTCGTCCGCTTGTAGCCCGCCCCGGTCTCCTCCTCTATACACGGCCGTCATGCATAAGTAGGTAGCTGTCGGCACACGGAAGCCAAATAGCAAGCCGGCTGGGCCGTGTGGGACCTTCTCCGGTCATATGTATAAAGGAATAGTGCCTGAAACCCATTTAGATGCCCAAGCCCTTGGAACATTGATGATCATGAGAGGTTGGCTTGCATTACTGTTTGAAAGTTACTGCTATGAATGAAGTCCACACCAGGAGGATGTGCATTGACAGCATCACTGAGGCGGCCACAGGATCTTGACATGACATTGCAGAACTTGTCGTTCATCAGCCATGTTTTACACTAAACCAAGCATGAGTTCAGACCCATATGCCTTTTGCGACCAATATACACTGAACTACGACACCGTCGTCAACTACATGTGGATGGATATAAAAAAATAAATTCAACGCTTATTGATACTACATATGTACTTTGCGCTATCGGCAATCAACGCCTAGTTCAACGAACGCGTGCCAGTGGCCTAGGCCATCTTGAAATGCAAACCCATAGCCATGAATGCCGTGAAAATACCTGTCTGTCTCGCAACAGAACTACAAGTCTTTAATAAAAACAACAATTAAAAATAAAATAAAAACCAACCGAAAACGCCGTTCTAGAGCTTTTGCACATGATTTGCTTAGCCCCATGCGCTTTTATTTATTCTGTTCTTCCTCACCATGCGCGGCAAGATGCTTTAAACATCTTATGTCCGATAGCCGAAGTTACCCCCCGAGAAAGCCGAGTCTGCGGCACAGCAATGATCGACCGCGTCAGCAGCTAGCAACCATTTGATAAAATCACCGAGTCGGGTTCTTCGGGGCATGCGGCCTTATACCCGTGTATTAAAGAAGACGGCCCCGCGTTACCACGTCTCGGCGATATACTGGCCGGCCTCTTTCTTCAGTTCCCAGTACTTTTTGGCCTCCTCACGCTCGAGGTTGCCCTTCTGCATCGCCACATCAACGAGCGCCTCCTCGACGCCCTCACCCATGCCTCTGGAGCTTCCACAGACAAAGACACGACCATCGACAGCGTTGGCGATGTACCACACCAAGTCGGCTTGGTTGCGCACTTCCTCCTGGACGTAGCGACTCTCACCGCGACGGCTTTGCACGACACGCTTGACCTCATCCTCGTGCACACCCCACTCGCCGCTGTAGATTTCATCCACCAGGGAGTCACGAATGCCCTGGAGCACCCACACCTTGTTCGCACAGTTGGCCGTCTTCAAACGACGCTGCACAAAGCCTCTGAAAGGAGCAATGCCGACACCGGCGCCGATAAGAAGCATTGGGCCATCTGAGACAAACTGCTTGGCAAGGGGGTTGGCCATAAGACCCTTGAACATGGGAATGTAAACCTCGGGGTTCTCTCCGTTACGCTTAGCCTCAAGCCACCTCTGTGCCTGACGTTCAAAGAAGCCGGAGCCGATACCGGTCCGGAGACCGCGACGCCAGTCAGCGTCCTCATGAACCGTGACAGCAATCTCGATCAGCCGGTGAACCTTGCCATCACGTGTCTTGAAAGCATCGTGTGGATCGTTGGAGAGGGAGTAGAAACGGGGCATCAGGGGCTGAAGGACGGAGAGAAGCAGATCCAAAGGTGGATGCGAGCTGGGAAATGCGTTCAAGAGTTGCGACAGAGACACGTGAGGACCGGTGCGGAAGTCACAGAAGACACCCTGACCTTCGCCGGCGCACAGGTATGTCAATAACTTCTTCTCGTTGGGGTCTGCCGCGAACTCGGCCAAGATACGCAGGAGCTGCTTGGTGGGTGGGTATGACTGGATGTCAGAGCACCAGGTGAGCAAGTCCCGGCGAGTAGTGACCATCTCACGAGCTTGGTCGTCACCCCAGACCGTTGGCCATCGGCCGCGGGTAGTCTTCATGAGCACCGGCTTATCCCGGATGAACCGGGGAACCATGAGAGCGTCGAAGACGTCATCAACACAGGCCTTGTCATTGGGGGCCATGACTCCAATGGCACCACCGACTCTAAAATCCATATCCTCCTCGCCAGGATAGCTTGTAATGTCGAGATCGAAGTGATAAGTGCGCTTCTCGGCGCCGGGCTTGGTCAGCTCACGGGTCGAGTCGATGCGGGCGGCGTAAACATGGTAAGGCGGGTGCGGCTGCACAAACTTTGGCGGCTCTCTGGTGGTGTCAATGCCGTCGAGGGTGAAATCCCTCAACTTATCTTGAACAGTGGCGAGGTCCGTCTTTTCTTGAACATCGGCTCCCAGCGAGACGGCAGAGTCTGTAGGTGAAGGCTCGTTTGTGGAGCGCCGAGGTACCGGCTCGAAGAAAACAGTCTGTTCGGGCAGTTCGGCAATGTTTGTCAATGTCGTAGGGATCTCGCCAATCTTAAGAGCGAGGGACTTGTAGGCATCGTTATCAGGGAATGGGATGTCTTCATACTCGAGGCCCTCCTTCTTGGCACCCAGTTTCATGCAGCAACCGCCACCGCAACATCTCTGGATCAATTGAGCGGTCGACTCGCCCGTGATACGCTGGATGTCTGCTGGGCTCTGAGCAATAAGCCGTGTAGAAGCGCGTCGCCTGCGGGGCGGCTGAGGCTCATCTTCTTGGTCCTCTGACTCTTCTGAGTAGGTTAAAGAAGGGGCGGCTGAGGGAGTGTTAGGCTCCTCAGGAATGCAATTGCCCGTAGACCCAAGTAAGGTCGAAGCCATGGCAGTTGTCGCCATTGTGCTGTGCATTGCGGATATGTGGTTGTTGTTTCCTTGGAGGATAGAATGATGAACTACGCGATTGTAGTGGATGACAGGGGGGTTCGAGATTTTCGCGTAAAGGATGGCGTAAAGTGGTCGTGAGTGGTGGTAGGATCGGGAGGCGAATAGTCAGTAGTTATTTAGCATGCTGAGGCAGAACAAGCACGGATACTGTGTCGTTGGTGTGGTGGCTGACTGAAACCGGCGGTGGGAATTCTCGATCAGATAACTTTTGATCAGATAAGCGGCGGCTCGTGGTTACATCAGCGGAGGGAAGGAAAAGAAAAGAAGGGTGCACACTTTTTAGGGAGAGGAGAAGGGGGAAGAAGAAGGAAACGGGAACCAGGATCAGATGTAATGTTTTCAGAACGTGGAGGCCGATGAGGTAAAAATGGAGGAGGAACTAACCAGGCTTGGAAAAGAAAGGTCCCAAGGTTTGTCGATCTTGAGCCGAGGATTAGTACCGCGTAATTTTTTTTCTTATTCTTATTTTTGTCACCCTCGTCAATGAGTAGCAGAAGAGGTCACTGAGGCAGGGATTATTTCGGTTGGGGGATTCGGATTGCATGCAATGCAGGACATGGCACGGCAAAGCAAGGCGATGGCAACGTCGAGCCGACGGACATGGGCGCAATTCCAGAGGGGAAAATTGAGGAAAAATGACAATCAAATGTCTCCGTTTTTGGGTCGACAGGGGGGATCCATTGAAGCACGGTTAGGTCTCGCCGCCACCGGCCGGGTCCATTTCTTACTGTCGTGGTACCGCAGCCGGACAGTGAGAGGAAGAGCATATTCACTGTCTATCCTTAAGGGTATCACTGGGTGTCTTTCAGTTAACTTTCAGCGTCCTCACTGCTGAAATGCTCTGTTCCAGACGAGGCTTGGCAGTCGGGGTGGACCGCCGGGTTGGGCTTGGCCCACATATGCTCGCCTGTGCCGAATTAGTGGGCGATGACAATGATGACCAAGGGATTCGCTCGATGATGACTACTGCGAATGCATCGCTCATCCTTTTCGCTCGCCGGCTGGAGGGTGCATCTTACACAAGCAAATAACAAACAAGAGAAAAAAAAATGCGGAAGCATGTCAAACCACAACTTCATTGGAACCCATTGCATTTCACCACTTCCGATATTTGTCTGTGCTGTGTCACAGTTATCAATCTCATGGAAGGTCACAAGGGGGGCCCGGGTACTTTCTGTCCGATGTCGCTTACTTTTCATGACGAAAATATTGATCAACAGCGTTCCCTCCTGCTTCTGCTACTTTCCAAGTGTAGACACTACTGATTACAGGTCGGGAAGGCATTCTGTGTGGCACGTTCGGTTGACTTGCAACTGCCTGCCTGCCCTACATACCTAGTACAGATGCTACACAGTAAGTAAAGCACTTGAACAAAGCATCTCCTATCTTTTCTCCTTCCACCTTCCGATCCCTCCCTCTTCCCCACTCTCTAACTCTTCCCTAATCAAGACAGATAACTCGCACCTCGTTACCCCTTTCCCGGCTGTTCTTGCCCGCTCTCTCCCGCTTCCCCCATTCTTGAGTGTCACCCGAGGTATTCTGACCCGAGCCAGAGGGAACAACCAGGGAAGAAGCTACAGGACAGGCGCTGCCCACAATTGTTGGGCTTTCCTGCTGCATCGTAGTGGACTCGTCCCGCATCGTTGGAAAAGGTGACGACTTCTCATGAAGTCGCACATGGGCACCAAACAAGCGTGTGGGGTTTTGGCTATCGCCAGATACACTAGAGCTTTACGCCGGGTTCACTGACCATTGGGACGAGATCCATTTCACCATTTCCCCTCTCAATCACGCTCTCATCGTGCAGCCGGTGCGCACGATGAGGTGGCCGCATCTTCCACATCGGAGATGCCATCTACTGCAGCATTTCAGCTCCGCCCTTCTCCATGGAGCGAGAGCCTACCGATACGCACACATACAATATTACGCTATCACAACGTCGTAAGCATATCACAAGCCCGACTTTGTGCCACTCTACGCTTCTCGCTTTCGCACTGTGCGGTATGGCCCGGCTCCTTGGATCAGCCACCCCCGACCTCGTGTTCTCCTTCAGTTTTGTAGGCCGTAGGGTTCCGATAGTGATAACCCCCTGGCTTCTTCCTTGCACTCAGCCCCTCGCATCGGCAAGGCCACTGGTAAGGAAGCAAATTTCGCTGCGCACCACGGTCGTTCGATGACGCTCTGAAAACAGCAGGCCACAGTATTCTCACCGCTCACCGAGCGACTTGCCGGGGCATGAGCAAGATGTGGCCGGGGGAAAGTTATCTGAAGTCAGACCACCTACTTTTTGCATTGCCACTTGCGTAGGTAGGCTACTGCTTCTCATTTCCCATTATTGCACTGTTCTAGTATATACATTTTCCTCCGATGCTGGTCGCCCAACCAACTAGGGGACCCCCTTTGCTGCGTTCCGATTTCTTGTCCATCAAAAGCCATTCCAAGGCCTGGCCCGAGCATGGCTGACGAAAGTCTTACCGGAATGCGACAGTACATAACCGCGGAAGGATTGGGGAATTTTCTCCGGATCGTGCAGCATGGCTCGGTAACCCTGCCGCTACCGAACCGAGCAATTCCGTTTTCCTCCCCGTGCCCTCCTTTAGCACTGGTCCGCTCCCAACAAGCAGTGCGTGGACACCGGCTGCTGTTTGTGCAGGTTCGGCTTCGTCGGTACGCTTCACCGTCTACTGCCGTGATCAACTTCTCTTCATGCCACGAGTCACCTTTCTTTTGCGTCTAAACACAGCTAAGCATCGCGTAGTACACATTCTCCCGTACACAGCTGAAAGGGGCAACCAAGAAGGAAGCAACATTCCAATCTACCAACCATTGGCTTTGACCCCAACACTTTGCCGTCCGATCCCTGTTTGCGACTGCCGTCCAATCGTTCGTGTTCATTCGTCCCAGCGGGCACTCTGTGGCTTTGTTCGGCCCTGGAGTCAAAACGCGAAGCCGTAATCTTATCATCCATTATCAATCTCATCAAATCAATCGCATCTAATCTCGTCAATCTCCGAGACCGGCTGCGCCGCCATTCCCCTTCGAGCCACGCCAATTATACCCTAACGCAACCGTCAGACCTGAGATTTTGTGTCTGTCGCAGCTGAGGCCCGCTCGAGTCTCCCTGTTCTCAGACGACGTGGCGCTCGTATCAGGCCAAATGTTGTCGTTGACGAGACTTTCTTTGGTTTAATCTCGCTTCTCCACTGGGCCCTGACTACGGTCCACGGTCCACGATCCCCGAGACACAGCATGGATTCGATCTGATAACTTTATTCGCTTGTCGCCTCATCAAAAACGAATGTCGATCAACACCTCTTCCTAGTCCTTCGGCCGACCACTACCCCAACCGCTCACCTGACCGGTAACCGAAAATACCACCGTGGCCCCGGTGACTACCAATTCACCGGCTTGTGAGCCAGTTTCCCCGAACAATATGATTGGATCGGGCATCCCCATGACACCACAGCTCTGGACATTCGGTGAAGATGGCTTCTAACTATCACCAATGGAAGTCGACCACAGTAAAATTAGCTGCCAACGTACTGAGAATAACCGTGGCCGCATTCTGTATTGCATCTAATCGAATAATACATCATCCTTGCTCTTCAAAGTCGGATACAAAAAGTGCTACTTGTGTAGGCATCTCCGACGATTCAGCAGTTCCAGCAATCAACAATTAACATGCAAGGGTTGAAAGATCTTCTCCGTGCCCCCTGTCTGCCCCAACATTCTCGGGCTCGCACGTGAAGCCCGCCTTTTTGGGCATTCTACCAGCTCATGGGCCTCCCACAGTGCAAAACCGGACTTGGAAAGCACATGTTCCAGTGCTTTCGGAGATATTTTCCTGCCTAGTATTTCATTAGCACTTCCCTGGCTCAAATCCGGTTCAGTTTCATTGCGACCGCTGCTCGGTCATCTCGGCTGTCGTCTGAGAACCACTTGGCCGGGATCATACGATGCTAGCCCTGTACCAGCCACTTGGTTGAAACGAGCTGCCTTCTAATACCCTGGCCTACAATGAATTTTTGACTTCAAAGCTTCTGGAAGTCGTGGAAGCGAGATGATAATTTGGTCGTCCCACAGAGTTTGGCCGTCATCCACTCGCCCCCTGCGCTCAACAAGTGGCCAAACTCGGACCGAGCAGCTCGAAATCCGCATGAGAGGAGTTCGGAGTTCAGACTGGATGTCCGGTGAGCATTTTTCCTTTTTTTTATACTGCCGCTATATAGCGCATGCAGCTGGTTCTGATCTACGAGCAGATGGCTGGAAGTGGTTACTGAGTGGCGTAATGGTGCGCCCATCGCAGACCACTCAAGAATTCTGTAAATACTCATCAAATCCATGTTTTTTGAGCACCACTGGATGAATCGACCTCTAAGCGGTTCCGAATTAATCATCTTTCCACACGGCGAGATAGGATCCTTGATACATAACGATTCACAGAGCATGGATGGAATCAGCAACTTCGAGACCAGGTACGTCGCCAATGAACTTGATAGCAGATCTTTGCTATAAGTGCGTGCCTACGGAGCAGTCGCAAACAGATTTCCATCCAAATTCTGGTCCATGAGTTGGGAAACAAGTTGGCGTGTTCGTCGTCGAACTTCTCCGACTGAAGGGGGAAGTATTGGCGAGTCGGCGAAGCAAGTATCGATCATGGACTACCTACCAAGGGACGAAGAAAAAGAAATCGGATCGAAAAATAATCGGAACAGTCCTGACATTCCTCTAAAAATATTCCCAGGGGCCATGTTACAGGCAGAAAAGAATAAACTCGCTGACTCTGTTCGCTCATCAAAACTTGTTCTGCAATAGGCTCTCGAAAGGCCGTTTGCCCGTCGGGGCAATCGTCACAAACTATTCTGACGGCATGCTATCGGTAAAGGAGACACTTCAGCCGCGGCCACGTTGTTTTATCCGTACCCAAGCACATAGCCCTGGCCTAGAATGTTGTGAGAGCTGCGATTCTTTCTGGTGTCGAGGGGTGTGAAGACTGGCCTCGTCTACCACGTAATAGACTGCCAGCGAGCTGCAGATATATTAGTTCCAGACAGCCACGCAGTCTGTGCAAGCGCTGCGCTGCCGAAAACCAGTAATTGCTTTAAGCCATCAGCAAGGTGTTTTGACGACGCGCGGCTTCGCATTAACACCGTCCACTTATTAATGAGAGGCAGGAGGACAGCAGTACGTTTCACTGAAGCTATAGGATCTAATCTTCATTGAATGCTTATGCTTCTGAATTAACAGCTCGTATAAACAATGCCCAGCTAACCGAGGCAGATGCTTCTATATAAGCTTACGCATATACACCACGACTCACGGGAGCGGTATATCACTAAACAAACATGACTGCAATCAATTCTTGGAACAAGCTCGGCAATTGAGCATTCCTTGTCTACCACGATTGTGTTAGCTGTCCGAACACCTGCCCGGGGATACGATTGCCTTGATGATGCATCAAGAGCCGCTGTGCAACGTAATAATAGAGGTCGTTAACAACATCGGAAACCAGCACCAAGTCTGACTACGCTGTCGAATATTGTTTACAGCCTAACCCCCCTAATTAGTTCGGCCGCGCTCGAGTCAACAGCCGGAAGGCGCACGAAGCCACAGATCAAAAAGGATGCATCATGAGACGGACTCGTACGCCAGCCGACGCGATATCAAAAGGTCCAAAAGATGGACGATCAGGGAATCGAACCCTGGACCACTCACATGCTAAGCGAGTATTATACCACTAAACCAATCGCCCGTTGGATGATCTAGCCCGGACTTGAACCGGAGACCTTCAGTGAATCAGGTGAGGACATCTAGAGATGTTCTCGATCTGTTAGACTGACGTGATAACCAACTACACCACCAGACCAGTTGTTGTTGAGAGCCGTGTGCAAAATGTTACTCTTAGGGCTTGGAGCAAACTATCGTGAGCTAGGCGGAACCTGGCAGGACCGAGGTGGGCGGGTGGATCGCAGGGTTAACGGCTAACTGGCAAAAATCTGGAAGATGGCCATTACATTGGTCCCCAAACGCCGCAAATCTGGACTTTGAGTTAGTGTTAATGAAGGGTCAGCCAACCTTGGATTGGGCCATCTTGTCGTGTCAAGATAAATATTCTTCCCAACCCAATGAGAGACCGATCTTATGATGCCCAGCCGGCATCAGTCAGGAAGTACAAGAGTGGGTACCAATGAGACAGGTGTGGGCAAAGACACAATTAACTATGTTTTATATACCTCACCATACCCGGCATCTTCCGAAGATAGTGGCGGACATAGCTCAGTTGGGAGAGCGTCAGACTGAAGCGGATTTCGATCCAAGAAACTTCATTCAATCAATCTGAAGGTCGTGTGTTCAATCCACACTGGCCGCATCTTCTCTTTTTTGCTTATCGTGGATGTGAAATCCCTGCTTTGTGGGCACTGGCTGAAGACGGTTATTATAGACGGGAAGCTGTGTTTCTGGAAACAAATCTCTCGGCAATTTGCGGCTCAACTGACGGTAACGTGATGGCCGTCCATCTGATACCGGCCCAGGCCGTTTCCTGTGGCTGAGTAGCGTCGAGGAAACAAACTAGGGACGGACGTCTCAGTGAAGAAAGATCAAGCGACGTTGATTGACTATTTTTGTCTCTGTCTATCCGCTTCATCTAGCTGAGCCTTTGAACTACCTTGGGGGATGTCAGGAGGACTCTGTCTGGTCCTGTGCCTGCGTTACTCGTCTGGTCATGCCACTTCACTTGGGATCGGGTTCAGATGCAAAAATTTAAGTGCTTGGTTTTATTTCTGTTTCGGGGAAGCCACGACGCTCGTCGTGTTCTCAGAGAGTAAGTATCCCTGAATAGGCCGATCAACGACTTTAACCACCAACATCAGCCTAATGCAAAGAATGCATGCACTACAGCGTCAGAGCTGGAAGGCGACATCCATGGAAGGCCAGTGCGAACCATTTGACAAAATCTTTGTACGGATCGGCAGCTGCCCGAACCGTCTTGGGTTCTGTCAGCTAGGTAGTCGCCACTGATTTAAAAAAAGAAAAAAAAAAAAGGTCATACGGAATGTTGGACGTGCGCACCTCGGCCTCCGGCAACGGCACCGCTCCTCCGTGGCATCTGGGGTAGAATGTGTTACACTTCAACAAGCTTCTCGAGGGCTGAAAGCCGGATACCGTCTTGGCGAAGCGTGCCTTGCATGGCATGGGAAGCTCCAGAATAAGTCATGAGCACTTCTTGAACTCCATGGCTCGACGGTATCGTGGACGATCCCAAGGCGGGGCTTCTGGAGAACGAGAACGACGACCAGGAACAGGCTGGGAGGCTGTAGTTGTGGTGACCCTGTCTGGCTACGCGTCATACACCCCAAAAGTTGCTGGAGCCGGGTCTCTTAAAGCATAGTTTATTACCGTGGAGATTCATACATTTACCTTTTCGCTTGAAGATACAAGGGCACACGCGGCCACCACGAGAGAGGCATCTGACTTGGAAATCCAGTGGAAGGTCAGCAGCCAATCTCTCTGCGGTAGCGGCAGCAAAAGGGTCTGTTGTTATTAGGATATACTAAAGATTACATAGTAAGGGTGGAGTTAACTGGTAACGATGACAGGTAGGGAAACAAGCTAAGCATTTGAGGTTGCCGGCTATTCCTGCCGTCACGGACAATGATCCTTGTAGCTATTCTTGGACATCATTCTTGGCAGGCCATGCGTTTTCTCTACGAGTCGCAGTTGTCGAAGCATTGACTTCCGTGGACTGTAAACGTTACTCCGAAGAGCACAGATTTCAGAGTGCAGATTTGGCCTGTCGCAAGGAGCGGGGAAGTAGCGACGATACCCCAGGAAGAACGGCGATGGCGACGCCCATAACCATGCCCATTGTGAGAGGCCCCTAACGGCATGTTCCGAGACACAGGGCTGTGTGGAAGCCATGGGATGCTTGGACTTCGTCACAATGGTCGTGGGAAGCGATTCAAGCGAAGCCCTCGTACAAACAAGACATCTAACTGTTGGAACGGAACGGGGCAGGCTTTTGAGTTTAGAGCTTGGCTTGCAGGAGATCTATGGGGGTTAGTCGAGATGGAAATCTCGGGTCTTGCCAGAGACGTTGCATCGGAAAGAGATGGTGAACAGAATCATGTACGGGCCGGACTCCGAGAGGGGGGATAAATCTAGGCAAGCTGCGAAGAAGCTTACAATGAAGCGTGTAGTTAGTTGTTGTTGTTGATGTACTAGTAGGCGGCGCTTCGAGAAGGTGGGTTGGGGGGTAAGAAGATGGCGGAGATGGGACGAATGTGGAGGGATTACGCTACACTAACAATTTCTGGCGCGTCTCGGCCAGCAAGCGAGCCGAGAAAGCCCCTGTCGAGCCTGCATCCGTGCCAGAAGGGGCAGGTGGGGATTATATATGTGTGTATTTTATTGGTTGATAAGGTGGTGAAGCACCTAGTGGCCCTCTCAGGCTATATAGAATCGGCCCCCTAAGGAGGAGAGCTGAGGGAGAGCTTACCTAACGCAAATGCCTCACTCTCCTGGACAGGAACGTTAGTTGTTAAGAAAAAGTGTTACAGACCATTTTTAATTGAACAGCACAACGAGTTTCTGATTCGTTGGTTGGCTTCCCGACATAAGATACTAGTCGAGCAGGATGGCAATCAAGGAATCCAAAGCGAACTAAAGAAAACATGAATAAAAACTAACAAATAGTTTCCAAACACTTTGCCACATCAACGCAAGTGCGATTGATGGAATCCAAACATCCGTCCCAGTCAGCGGCAGCTGATGTTTGGGGCTTTTTTTTTTTTTTTTTACGCCTTTGAGGCACGGGTGGGCAGCAAGCTAAAATCCGGAGGTGGCTACTCCCGAACGACTCCTGTTGACCATCCTTGTTTCAGATGCGCCTGGCAAGTTGGCGAAACCGCCAGAGACGCCCAAGGAAGCAGAAGTCGATCACGTCCCAGTCAGTCCAAACTCCCAAACCCTACGAATTTCAACCAGGTGCCCGGCCCAAGGCCCAAGGCCCCAGGCCCCAAGCCCCGGGACAAGCTTAGCTTGATCTTGCACTCGTCCTCCTGTGCCTCCGGCTGGTCCCCCCCTAGGCCCTTCGATGGGAGGTCGGGGTTGCTTGTTTTGTGTCTTGGTATTGCTGTCGGGAAGAGAGCGGGAACAGTCCTGCTTTGCGTTGCATGTCGTCTGTGTTTCTTGTGTGTGCACTTGCGTGCGCTGTTACGCCTGAGGTGCAATGCAAGCAAGCAAGCATCGATTGCCGGATTTTACCCTTTTGTTGTTACTCTTCTTCCTTTGTTGGTTTTTTTCTCGTCCTTAACTCTTCTGTTTCTTCTTTTTGCTGTTGTCTGGTTCCCGCCTCCTTTGTTTCTTGTTCTTGTTTCTTCTCGAACTCGAAGCCTTTTTGATTAAAAATCATATCGCATTCAACCAGAGAAACACTATAGACACGGCTCGACGATAACGGCACTGGACGGCGCTTGAAGTAAAGAGAAAGGGGGAAAAGAAAAGATAGCGACGGGAAACGGACGGGGACGCGCCCAAAGCAATTTGGAATCTCGACAATCAACATCCGTTACCCGAAATCATTCCCGTTCCTGGACTGGAGGACTGCTTTTTTTATATCATTGTCGCATTTTCAACCTCCCACAGGGCCTGGCTGGTAATCTTTGATTCTAATGGCCAATGTTCTGGGCACATATTTGAGAAACTCTACTTTCTTTCACGCCTTCCGGAGGTCTCATCACTAGACGACTTACTTCTTTCTTGCGTTGATCTCGGTTGCGACGTCGGCGTTGCACTATTTCGTTGGCACTTCCGATTTGATACCCGGTTAGACTTGTTTTGAGGATCGATCCTCGTTCTTTCTCTACCAGACCCCAGAGATTCATCCCAATGAATCGATCGACTACGATGTCGTCCATGCCAATGGAGCTCAATTTGCCCCAGGTGGTACCCGGGGGCAAACACATCAGCTATTATGTCGCTGTCAGCGCGATACTAGTAGTGGCTTGGGTTTTTCAAACACGAAAACAGAAGCTGTCAATACCATTCTACAAGGCCGCCAAGACGAAATGGATGTTCGATGCCGAGACCTTGATTCGCGACAGTTATAGCAAGGTAGTGTCTTCAAGTCTGTTTTTGTGAGCGCTGCTAACCTTACAAAGTTCCGCGACACCGTTTATCAGATCAAGGCGACGGAGGGCCTACAGGTGCTGATTCCTGCAAAGCTCATTGGCGAACTGAGGAGTCTGCCCGAAGAGGTTCTGAGCGCAACCGAAGCCGTAGATGAAGCCATGTTAAGTCGATATACCAACTTTACGCTAGGCCATCATGCCGACTTGCTCTCTACGCTTGTCCGTTGTAAGCTATCGCAGAATCTGGCCAGGCTCGTGCCTCAACTCAAAGGCGAACTTGAATACGTCGTAGCTACTGAGTTTCCTGACTGCAAGGGTATGTCTTGATCCGAATCGAATCTTCTGCCACGCCCGCTGACAAGTTTAGACTGGACACCGGTAAAGTTCCAGCCGTTTGCGTTACGAGCCATCGCACGAATCAGTGGCCGGGCTTTTGTCGGAGCCGACATCAACCGCCAGGAAAAGTGGATGGATATCAGTGTCAACTTTGCAATTCATGTCTTCGTCGCCGTTGTCAAGATGCAGCTGTTCCCCGAATGGGCGCGGCCGGTTGCCCAATACATGGTCTCGGAGTTGGGGCAGATTCGGAAGGATATTGACCTCGCCAGCGACATGTTGAAACCAGTCATCGAGGAGCGTCTCCGCGACTTGGAGATGCCCGACTATGAACAAGCACCTGACGACCTTATCCAATGGCTAGTGGAGGCACTACCGGTGGAGGAGAAGACAGACATCAGAGCCCAAGCACATTTGCAGCTCATCCTGGCGGCTGCATCGATCCACACGACTAACAATCTCGTCACTGACTGCATTTATGACCTTGCAGCCAACCCCGACGCCCAAGAGATGTTGCGTGAGGAGGCACGCCAAGTACTGGAGGTTGAACATGGGTGGGCCAAGAAAGAAAGTATGGCCAAGCTAAAGAAGCTGGACAGCTTCATGAAGGAGACCCAACGCCTTGCCGGCAATATCAGTGAGTTTCTTCCCATGCTATGCGGAGGTTTCCTTGCTGACAGTCGTAGCCTCCTTCATCCGTAAAGTCATCAAGCCCATCGATTTATCCGACGGCACCCACCTGCCCCCCGGCACCAAGCTGCTGGCACCACAGGCCGGCATCTCGCACGACGAGCGTTATTTCGAGAACCCGGATCAATTTGACGCATTGAGATTCTATAAGCTACGACAGAAGTCCGACGAGGACGCAAACAGGTGGCAGTTCACCAGCATCAGCGACACCAACATGAACTTCGGCGCCGGCAAGCATGCGTGCCCGGGCAGGTTCTTTGCAGGAAACGAAATCAAGATGATCTTGGCGTACTTTCTGCTCAACTATGACATAAAGCTCAAGGAAGGAGAAACGCGCCCAAAGCCCACGGTTATGGTTATGAGCAAGTCACCAGATCCTAATGCGGAAGTACTCTTCCGGCGGCGAACAGCAGCGTAAGCAATTGTGGATCAAAAATACCGCACAGCATCATTCTCAAGAGGGAAAATAAGCAATAATTCAAAATATATCATGAACAGTATTTTGTGCACACTAGCACATATTTCCAGTGTCGGGGCCTGGAGCTCTTGGGTATTGGATAGGCCAATTGGAGGCCACTACCCACGGAGGAGATACCACTGTACATTAGAAAACCACATATTTACCTGCTTGTATCGAGTAAGCGACATTTAGAGGCGCAAGAAATCATTTAGTATGTATGCAATCACTTAGACTCAAGGGTCAATATATGAGATGTCCGCATAGTCAGTCAGGGTGTTGACATTGCCGTAGTGCCGCGTGTGGACCATAATCGGCAAATCGAACAGAATGGGCATCAACCGCCTTGTTGGCTCAGTGGTAAAGCGCCTCACTAGTAATGAGGAGATCGGGTGTTCGATTCACCCACGAGGCATGATGATTGACGGCTCGCGACTGCGAGTGAGTGATCAGATAGGCTCATTCGTAGTTGTGATGTTATTTTGCTTTCTCGTCGACTTTCATTTTTGTCCGTGCTTTTCTGGTTATAAGTTACAACCCAATAACAAAGGTTATTTTTGATCGATATTACCTTTCAACCATTCAACGTCAACTGACGCTCTCTCTCCACTTATTCTACTTCTTCACAGCAACCATAGCCGCTTGCTCATAAGCACTTGCTCTTTCTTGTAAACACCTAGCAGCTTCACTGCCTCATAGCCAAGCCACTTTCGGTTGGTTACCTGCAGCCAGGGACACGCCGAAAGAAGGTACAAAAATGGGTCTAGAATTGAAGTGCGTCTCTTGCAGCAGCAGCAGCGACAACTAGCTGATCCATCTGCTCGGGTTCGTAGGGCTGGAGAGTAAATGGGTTGGGCTAATCAGGGTAACTTCCTTCGTAGGTGGCCAGAATGAATGCATCACAACTGCCATTCAACCCTGTGCGGGTTTTGCAACTGTGTTGCCCAGGTTCAGAGTTGACCACCGCAATGGCGACAGATAATAATGACAAGGCCAGATTTTGCTCAGCCAACTCGGGCAAAACTCCAAGGATCCTCCTCCATTCTGCACTAAAGAGCGACAGGCGCAATCGCCAAATCCCTTGCCTGCTTAAATCAGGCTGCGCATCAACGCCTCATAACACACCATGACGACGCACACCACCATCACGTTCTCGAAGCAGCAAAACCCACGGCTCGATCCTATCCATCCGCCGGGGCCTGCCGTCGGCAGTGACGGCTGAACGTGGCATCCATCACCAGACCTGTGACCCCATCTAATCATAATGGAATTTCAACGTTTCAAAGAAACAATATCCCCTTTTGGAATTACAATGTTTCTCAGCCCTGTGTCCCATGGAATTCGTCCTCTGCAAGGCAACCGTAATCTTTTGACGCCTCCGTCAGCCGCAACGTAAATTCCAACAGTAGAAATCCAAACTGACCGCTTTTTTAATGCCAAAATGCTAGTTGATTGGGTGTTTTGTTTGTAGAATCCTGGTTAGCCTTGTTCTATCGACAACACTCGCAGTGGTTGCAAAACCCCCTCTCCCCCTCTCTTTCCCTGCTTGGCAGCCTGGCATGTGAGGAGGCAGCTCATCTAATTTGCCCAGCCGACTTGCCCGGAAGAAAAGAGTCAACACACACACAAACTCACTCAGGACTGAAGCGACCAACCCCGCGTCGAATGCCTGAGTCCCATGAGGGACATGCTATGCAGCCGAGAGGAAATCTCTTGCGCGTTTGGAAAAATCACATGTTGTCTTCTTTCTCTGCTCCCGCATCTATGACTCTTTGCAGAACAGCCTGCATTAGCCCTGTCAGATAGCACTCATGTACCCGATACCTCCGTCGGCCGTCCTCGCCGTGGCTCGTCCCGAGCGTGTGCGTGGGGATTTTGGCATCCCGCGCGCTAGGCCAAAAGAGACGGTGAGCTGAGGTTCGATCTAACAGCTCTTCCCAGCAAAGCCAGAAAGCTGTGTGACTGCCTCAACGAGATGCTCTCATGACTCTCGCTTCGTCGAAGGTATGGTGACACCAACTAAAATAGTAATCCTCATGTTTCCTCTACAATAAATAAATACATGGGTCAATCCGTTGCTGTAGTCTCAAGGCGCCTGTCCATCAACAATGAGACAGGGCCTAAAAAGGGTATCATAGTGCCACCCAGAAGACAAACGAAACCAACCAAAAGAGAAGACACAATACGACGTCTAATACGACCCAAAAAGCTATCTATCTGTCCCGGTCTGTGTTTAGGTATCGTAATATCCGTGTCGACCCCAACGCCCAGCCAGACATGACCCAATCATTCAACCCATACCGTGCTTGCCAACTCCCTAAAGTAGACTGCACTCTCGACAAAGAAAATTTAGAAAACCGCCGTCATTGTACTGGCATCCTCCGGAGCTGCCTTTAAGGAACCCGGGGGATGATAGTCAGTTTTGAGTGAGATGGAAGTCTGCACCAAGGGGCTTCCATTTTCCTGTGACGGAACGCCCTCTATTGTGACAGGCCCGAAGAAGTCATCTGGAGATTTGACAGCACCATCCTTCCACCAGTAGAATAGAACATCTTGCTGCCACCTGCGCCTGTTTCCAATTCTTAACCTCGTTGTATGAACAAACGTTGCATACAAAACTTCAACCGCTAGAGGAGACGTTCTCAAATGGTGTAAAAGCCACCGAGTGACGAAATCGGGCTTGTTGTTTTCTTTGGATTCAATCAACAGCTTGGAAATTTGATATTCTTTTTTTGCCGTAGACAAACGCGCTTCCCTTATGGGGTCGTCCAACGGAAGTTCCATAGCGGCTGCTAGCTCACTGTGAACCGTCAAGGGTTTCGCTCGAAGCACGTGGTCTGGGCAGGACAAGATGTCTGGAAATTTGTCGTGTGCGAGGCTTTCCGATTGAGGCCAGATATCGTCCAGTTCAAGATCTTCCCCAATATCGGGATCAAGAGCGTAAGCTATCCTAAAAGGAGGATGCTTCTTCATCACCCCCCTTTCTTCGCACATCTGTCGGAGCCGCGCAACTTCGTCGGCGAGGCGATCGACATCATTCCGCTTTATGCCTTCCTCTTCCTGGAAGCTAGCCAGGAATTCCATTTCTTCATTACTCGGCTGCCTCCCAACAGACTTTCTGACTTTAGCTTCGTACGAATATTGCTCAAAGGTACGTAGGAGGTCCTCGTGCTCTTCCTTGGCATTGTCCAAGTCTCCGATGGCAGATACGAGATCTTGCCATAGCGGATGAGCATCGTCGGCTCTGTGACGAGAAATTCCCTTTAGCTCGTATGGCATGTTCCGGCTGTCTTCTTGCTCCTCTGCTTCCGAATCGTCCGTATCGGTTTCAGATTCATCTCTCATGCTCCCTGCTACCAAGAGGCTGAAAAACCGTGTCTCAATATTATTGAGCTCTTCCTCTTGTTCGTCAAGAGTGATCTCACGTGTTTCATATGCTGACTCCAAACAGTGATACTCAGTGCGGAGAGATTGCATTTTGACAAAGTTAATGTCTAAAGCCTCCTGGGTCGTTCCCAGCACTCCTTGTCGACCCTTCACAAGCACTGGGCGGATCAAGTTCATGAAGACATTGTCAGCATCGTCCTTTTCTTCACGTAATTTGCGAAGAGCTCTGCGCATTCCAGCCATTTCCTGCTTTATATTGTAGAGATTCTGCCGGCGCTCTTTCAACTGTACCCATAGCTTCTGAATGGTGCTGTCTGTCGATGAGCCTGTGGACGCTAAGGATGACGCGTCGGACTCCAGACTGGGGACGGGGCTTTGAGAGCGCTCTAGACGCGACACTTTTTGTGCAATCTGGCCTGTCACCCTTTTCCTCTTCTGGTCTGTTGATTGACGCAGTCGGACAGTTGGCATTAGCGGTGGAAACGACATGCTGTTTTGCTGCTCAAAGTAGTCGTTTTCTTCATCTAAATTGGCACCTATGACGGAGCCGTTGGTATCTTGCCATGATGCCAATGGAAGGGAAACGGGGGGTGTAAAATCATGAACATGAGCGTTCAGAACCCCTTTCGCCCCGAAGCCTGTCCGGGGTGGATATGGTGGTGGCGGCGGGGGCGGTGGATGAGGGAACGGTGGTCTTGTCGGCCGACTGCCCGGAGGCGGCGGCGGAGGCGGCGGCGGAGGAGGAGGAGGAGGAGGAGAAGGCGACCTGGAAGGCATATTCCAACCTGAACGGCCATAGCGGGGCGGAGAACGTGGTGCGGACGCTCCCTGTGTTGGTGAACCTTTATGAGGTCGATAGAGTGTATCTGCATCGGAATTCATCTTCGGTGATTGAGGGGCGTTCGACGAGCCGACGGAGGCTCTGTCTGTCCACATCGAAAGCGTTGAAATGGGCGGTGGCAGCAGCAGCGGATGCAGGTCCGGGTTGAACTCGATGCGATTCTTCGTAGGCGTTGCGTCGGATGACATGTCATAGTTGTCGGGAGAGCCATGTCCTGACGGACTTGGCGGTAATGACAGATTGCTACGAGGCAACGCTGTGGTAGCCATAGTGAAAGGCTATGGTGCGTACTGGTCGTGATACTGTTCCATTCTCCGAGGCGGCTGGTATTTGGACAACAATGGTAGTCAAAGTTACGAAGAAGTCAAGAACTTGCAACGATGGATATGGGCAGACCGACTCCTTGCTCTGGACTTGAAAAGTGAAGCAAACGACTCCAACATGATTTCCGGTCTGCCGCCCTGCCATGCAAACTGGCTAATGAGATCCATGCTTGGGTGATCCTTATGTGCGACACACAACCGACGCTGACCAAAGGCCGTTGACATGCTGGGTGCCACCTGAGCAATGTTCGGTAAATGGGTCCACCTTCCTCCCGCGCACTAGTAACGCCCTCCCCCCTTGCTCACCACTCGAGGTGGAGCCAGCCCAGAGGTTTCGCTGTTGTTCTCTGTTCAAAGCTCTTATGGGGCCATCTGTATCCACTGACAGAGGGACACACTGAACTCCACTACGGATGCCAAATGGTAAAGAGTCACTTGCAACTACACAAGTATACGTCCCGCACCTCTTAGCGCGGGGTCATCTTGGAGCTCCCTCTGTCACTGGTGGAACCACCCACACCAAAACACCACAACCGGAACAGATGCCACAGCCTGATTTCCCTCGTTGCTATTCCTCCAACCCTCGACTTGTACCAATACCGCCAATTCAATCAGGCTGCGCCAGTGGCCCCCCAGGGGTCGGGCCTTCATACAGCAGGGGTGTTGTCGTCTGGGTTGCACACACCTAGTGTAGAACGAGAGCTCCGGGGTCACTTGGAAAGGCCTCCCCACACGGCACGGGAAGCTGCCCATTTCTTTTGTCACCTTCTCCACGTGGAGTGAGATACTCGCACCGATGGAGAATGAGATATCTTATCAAGGATGGGACTCGGGAAGAAATACCAAATGTGCCGTTCCACACCCTCCACGTCTTCCGTCTCGCTCGTTAGCTTCCGTCTCTCTTCCTCTCCCACCCTCTCTTCCAGCCTTCCGTTCCCCCTCCCACTTGGAATTCAACTTTTGCTATGCAAGAGGATGCAGACCCTCTGCTGAACCTCATGCCACCACATCCCACTGCGAGTCCTCGCCAGTAAGATCTGTCAACGGACGTCACGCGTAACTGCGGAGTGCTACCACCAATTAGGCGGGCCTCTGGCGCATTTATCCTCTGCACGACCCCGACGTTTCGAGGGCTGATTTACCTTTCGACGTCTGATTGTCTCTTGTCTCCGAATGAGGCTCAAGTAGTAATTCTTTCTAAGCTTGTTCACCTCCCCCCAAACGTAGCCTACTGCGGTGAGCTCCTCCATAGGATCGACATCTAACCCAGGGGCCTTCGAAGTGTAGACCCGCAATGCCACCATGCCTAAACATAGCTCGTCCAGGAAGCAACAATCAAGACATGATGAAGGCGGCGAAAGCACGTGGAGTGAATGGGTCTGGTCTCCAGAGCATGGCAGATACTACTGCTATCGCATAACGCGAAGTGGTAAGGTGACAGATAAAATGTGTGGTCCAGGCGGCAGCTGATAGCCATAGGTGAGCACGAATACCAATGGGGCAACGCAGAGACGGAATCGCACGATGCGGCGACTCCACGCCAACAAGCGGACATACCTGTAGACGATATCACGCAAGGAATGGAGAACCTCGAGATATTAGGGCGTGCCGACAGTGATTATACCGAGGGTAATTATGGCGACGGTGGTTACGATTACGCCTACGGGTCGCCAGCCGGGAATAGTGGTGGTAAGCTGCTTCGGCAAGCTGTAGTTCCGTTGCTGACATATACCGCAGAAGCTACGCACAAAAATTCAAAGAGCATGCCTAGCCGCTCCAAAGGCAAAGCCGTCGACTATGACAGCCTACAGGATAGCGGCGGACCTGAGCCCGAACCCGAAGAAGCACCGCCCTTAGACCCCTTTTATGGGGCAAAGACGGAAACAGAAGAACCGAATGGTTACGAAGTAGAAATACCAACGCAGAACCCAGAGCGTATGTATGAAGACTGCCAACAGCCAAGAGCCAAAGATTGATCTCAGACAGTTTTCCCCTCGGGCACAAGCCAAAGCGGTGACTATCATGGCTCCAGTCGTTATGGATCGAACCAGCCGAACGGATATGGTAATGGTAAGCTGCCCAATATATGACATGGATTGTACTGACGATGACAGAAGACTTAAACGACGCAACTAATGCGGCACCAAACTATACGGCTGAGGAAACACCGGCCCAGGATTATGCGGAGTCGTCCAACGACAGTGCATACGGTAGGAGTCGTGATAATTCTACCGGTATTGGTCCACGCTAAATGTAACAGCGCCTTATCCTTCCCACTCCGACGGAGACGCGGGCTCACTGACGCCAACTGTCACCGACGATGAACAACCTCTCCACATCAGTGGGACCGATGGAGATCACGAACAACTAGACCCGAGTGAGGCTTCCCTCTCCCCGTGTTAAACATTAGCTAACCAATAGCAGGGTATAAGATCGAGCGGTCGACCAGATTCGAGCCCGGAATGGTGAGCTCGAAGATGAGATATCTTTTCTTTCGCTAACCTCGCCAGATTTTCAAAATTCTCTGGCCGGAGCCTTTTGGTGGCAACCCCAATTACCAAGGCGCAGTACCAACCGAGACAAAGTCATTCGCGGGTCTATACGGCGAACCATTTTATGTTGGAATCCGACGATTTGTTGTTGTTGCCAACGATGATGGGCACTGCACATGCGTGTAAGTTATATCAAACACGAAAATTTGATCTTAACTGACTAATCCAGGCCAATTTTCACGTATGGTGGCAAGGGATGCAACAAATGGGGCGTCAAACCTCTCAAGCATGGCATCATTTACGGAGGTCACAAGGCTCACTTTGCGGCGAATGAGCCAAAACTTGGATTCAAGGAAGTGAAAGCCAAACTATATGACGGAGAGAAGCTTCAGAAAGAGTCTCGCGTCAACTACGCGAAGCTCGTCACCGTGGAGCACAACGTCAAAGTCCTCTTTATCGGCCGCATTGTCAAAGAGAACATGCGTACCTTTAAGAAAGCAGTGGATACCTGCTGGGGGCAGAAGAAGCATGGCCAGGCATACTGGAATGAGTAAGCAGGCAATCTGCCTGAAAACGTTTTACGCCATCGTAACATCGTGGCGACGACTTACTTTACAATTAATTATACGTTGTAGGGCAGGCAAGCTGTCCTCCCAGGCACGATGGATAACGAATCTTGCTGGAAGCCAGCAAAGTTTCACGTTTCAATCCTCACGACGATTAACGATTGTGTTTTATTATTTTTGGGGGGCAAAGTAGTGACAGTGGCTGCAACAAGCCGCAGCAACAGCAACACGGAACCAGGCCATGGGAGAATGAATCTCTGGATCTCCTTTTATCATTAGTTACTATCTATTAGGTATTATCATATCAAAGACCATTGTTATCAGTATAAAAACGACCAATCGGTTCTCACTAACTACAACATTGCTGCGCCTCAATTGTGCAAGCGTTCCTTGCATTAATTACACTGAAGTATTGCACATCTTGAAGAGTCCAAAATGCTGTGAAACTTTTAGACCCCACGTTCAGGGGATGGTGGGCCGGTGAATCTGGGGGAGCTAACTGACAGCCGAGGCTCGGTATCTTCTCCCCCGCAAACGTCATTAACCAGGGTTTGTGTGTGTCTCCTTTCTGGGCTATAATATTGGACACCCGTCCACCACAACCCTACTTCAACAATTGCCCATTAACCGCAGAGGAGAAGTAAGAGAAGAACAAAATGGCCGAAGCACAGCTGGAAGATTTCCCGTCGCTCTTCTCCCTCAAGGGAAAGGTCGCCGTCGTGACCGGCGGCTCCCGCGGTCTGGGTCTCCACGCCGCCTCTGCGTACGTTAACTTTTCCCTTTCATGGTCAAAGTATACTCCGCTGACGACTGCAGTTTCCTCCAAGCAGGGGCTTCCAAGGTCTTCATCTCATCCCGCAAGGCGAAGGCCTGCGAAGAAGCCTGCAATGCGCTCAACGCCATTCCGAACCGCAGCCCCGGCGCCGTCGCGATTCCCATTGCCGCCGACGCGGCATCAATCAAGGGCGTCGAGCACCTCCTTGCCGAGGTCAAGAAGCATACGGATAAGGTTGACATCCTGTTTGCCAATGCGGGCGCTACATGGGGAGAGGCTTTCGACACGCATCCCGACAGCGCGTTTGCCAAGGTCATGGACCTGAATGTCAAGGGCGTCTTCAACACGATCCGCCTGTTTACTCCGCTCCTGGAAAAGGCCGGCAACACCAACGACCCGGCTCGCGTCATCATTACGGCTTCAGTGGCGGGTCTCGGTATCGGCACTCTCGGAAAGCAAGGCACGTACGGCTACAGCGCGAGCAAGGCGGCTGTCATTCACCTCGGCAGAAATCTGGCTCTGGAGCTGGCCCCGAGACATATCACTGTCAACTCGATCGCTCCGGGCTTCTTCCCCAGCAAGATGTCAAATGGTCTCTTGGAAATGTCCGGGGGAGCTGACCAGATCGGCAAGGGCAACCCCATGGGCCGTCTTGGAAAGCCGGAGGATATTGCGGGCGCCGTGGTCTACCTCGCCAGCCGTGCTGGGTCTTATGTCAATGGCGAGGTGATTGCAATTGATGGAGGATCACTGTGGAAGCGCGGGGAGCTGAATTTGTCTAAGCTGTAGAACATGGAACAAATGTGTATAATTTTGTCTTTCCATCATACCACACCACATGGCCGTAAAACAAGAGACCTTATTGCCTTGGCTTTCGTGCTACCCAGAAACTTGCCCTGTATGTTGTTGACAGCATGCTCTCGCGGTCGTGGATGTAAGGTGCCTCGATGCCTGTTTCACGCTTTTCAACTACGAATCCGATCTTTTCTACCAATGCCATGACCTCATCATCACTCAGTTCAAAGCTTCCGGGGTCGGCAATGCCTGATGAGTTGGTGTAGTCGTGCTCCCCGTCACCGTCTGTATCACGACCGTGGTTACCAGGGGCATTGTTCTCGAAATGCCACAGCAGCGGACCAAAGTTGATGAGCACGCCCCCAGGACGCAGACAGTGATATATAGCCTCAAGGTACCGCACTAGATTTGGCGCGGTGTCGAGGAAGAAGACAGTAGCTACGGCGTCGTAGGTGTCGGCGTGGTCGGCGTCAGCGTACAGGCACAAAAAGTCCGCAGCACACATGGCCATGGATCCCACCGATGGGCCTGCAACAGCAAGTTCCGTGGCGGGATGTATGTCAGGGACCGCATAGCTCCTCAGGTGATTAGTTCGTGTGCGGTGGTTGGAGAAGGTGTGCACCCAAGGGTAGATTGTGTGCTGGCCAGCTCTTGCCGTGCAGTTGAGAATGTACGAAGAGGCGAGGAGCTGGTGGTATGAGATCTCGTTGCCCTCAGCATCGTGGCCGGACCGACAAAGATCAAAAACAAGGCGACCTAGACCTGCCCCAGGCACAAGCACCTTCAAGGGGCTGGAATCCGAACGACCCTCGCGCTCACGGTTGACAGCATCCAGCACAGGGCCATAGCATACGCGGCGCTCCTCTGCTCCCTCTGCAGACCAGTCACGGAAGAACTGACGGAGGGTGCTCCGGGCTTTGTCGGTGTCACTGTGCTTGGCCACACCCACCCACTCATGGGGCATCTTCGGTTCCGCCTCGTCAGCCTCGACGATGTGGAACGACCGCAAGCCATTGTGGGCAATTGCTCTGGCAAGCTGTGCGTTGGCGTCTATTGCTTCATCGGTGCGCTCCAACGTGTCGAGGAAGTTAAAAGGTGCCGCTGCTAGCATCTGCCAATGGGCTTGGGGCAGTGCGTAGAAGGACTGCCTTCTTAGGTGAGTAACGTTGAAGTGAGCTACCTTGGCATATTGGCTGGGTAAATGAGTCAGTCTTCACTCTTCAGGGCGCACATGGAGGAGCTCACAGGAACGAGTCTAGTGCGCAGAATATGACCTTGGTCTCCTCCGGGTCCTCGGTTGTGTTCTCCATGCCGCTCCATTGCTCATCGTTTGCCATCTTGGGACGTTGGCGGTGCGTGACACAATCTTTTCAAAGCCCGCCCTGGCAGTTCTGAGTTTTTGGTGGGATGGGATGCAATGAGGGGCACCAGCGTTCGTAACCACAGAAGTGCTCCGCTTACAGTCTGGAGACGAAGCAAGGTAAGTCCGGACTGGTCCTTCCTTCCTGGAGTAAATGGAGAGAATATGCGACCTGTCGCGACATCATTACTCCTCCCGAAAAAAAGGGTCTTTTTTCCATAGCACCGGATACCCCCGACAGCGGCGCTTGCGATCACACTTGCTTGCATGGCTGCCCCATTTTGGGCGCGAGCCCCTAATAACATGGGGGCTAGACCACTGGCTGCAGCTTACCAATCGGATGCGAGCCCACCACCGTTTATGAGGAGGGGAGGTGGTACATGTTTCCGCACACACATTGCCGTGGCGTCGACGCCAATACCAGCATTCAGACAACCACTACAACAACATCTTCACATGAGACTAGCAACAACTCACCGTCTAGGAAATATCTAGCATAACAATATACGCCCAGGAAATTCAATAGCTAACATATATTCCAGACAGTTCAGTCTGTCTCATTCATCCGTCAATCTACATGATCGCGTTCCTAATCTACATATCCCTGTTCTCATTATTCGCAGAATCCTAACGCCAAAAACTTTGCAAATGCTCGCCAGTGAGTTGTGCCTCAATAACCTTCCTCCATCCAAATCAATTTGTTATGCTTCTGCTGCATTCAGTGGTCGCGGTTGCGCCGGGCCTGTCTTCTCTTCCGTCTCTCGTCCGCGTATTCGCTGCTGACGGCACTCTGGCTGCTCAGCCCTGGGATGACGTGGTGGTATGATTTGTTGCCATAGTCGCTGCTGACGGCGCTGGTAATATCGCTCTCAGCCCAGCTACCGGGGATACTGTGCTCCGGTTCCTCTTGAGGTGGGGGTAGAGCATAACCACGAGTGACCTGGTCCTCTGCGATGGTACTGCCGCGCTGGAAGCTGAAATCGCGCCTCGAGCTGCCGGCAGAACGACCCTTCTCCTGAAGCTTCTTAGCCTCGGCGCGGATTCGCTGGCGTTCACGCTCCTCGTTGCGGTCAGCCGTGCTGTATACCTTGCGGATGCCTCCTTTGGCGGGCGTTGATGTAGGGGTGGTCTCGCGGTTGGAAAGCAGGTTGGATGAGACGGATGATTCAGTCGGGTTTGTGGACCCGTCCCATTCGGACGCTTCAGACTCTTTGTTCATGCCACCGACACGGGCCGGCTTCTCGTGTCTGTATGACCGCAAATGCTGCTTGGCCTCTCGCTCCGCTTCTTCGTCGATCAAGACACCAGTCTCCTCTTGATGATGATGCCTGCGCGATGATCGCTTCTCGTTGTGACGGGCCTCTTTATCACGGCGGCGCTTCTCCCGCTTGCGCTCACGCTTCTCACGTGCTGCAATATCACTTGCTCCAGCAGTGATACCCGACAACGTGGTTCCGGAAATACTGGTTGTGTTGTCGTCATAGTCCTTGTACACGCTGCCACCGCCCAGGTTCGTTGAGGGCGTGGCATTTGATAGAATTGTGCCGTTCGGACCCTTACGACGCAGGACAGTCGATTTGTAGTCATCCCAGTCGTTCTCCTTGAAGTAGAAGCCGCCATTTTTGGCCCAAAAGAAGAACCAAATACCAGTGATGACGAAGGCCGCGCCGATAAGGCCAAACACCGCAAATATCGCCGTGTTGTTGATGTCGTGGGGATTGGTGACGCCGACACTTGGGTCTTCTTTAGGCGGAGTGCTGTCGCGGCCCACGAGAACAGATCGAGCAGCGAGGGGGCCGATAGATGCGTCGAACGTTCGCGCCGTGATGTCAGCCGTGTCCGGGAGACTTGAAAGTCTGCCAGAAATGTAAGAGCGCGCCTGGTGCCGCAGACTGGTGACGATGGCCGGAGCCATGCTGTCGAGATGCGGTGACTATGGATGGTGCAGCGGTGGGAGTCGATTAATCAATGAGAGAGCCTCGAGGTTTTGATGAAATGCTGCACCCACTCAAAATGACAGGTGACGATGGGCAGAATGTCGAAATGCGGATGAATGTGGAAGAGTTCAAGAAAGAAGTTGCCTAGACAGCTGCCGTGGTGGATGGGTTGTTCCTATAGAAACCAAAATTGCCGTGGCTGGGGACGCAGACAAACTGAGGTGGTTGGTGGGAGAAAACCGCAAGCAGGGGTCAAAACGGGTTTCCTGATTTCCTTCTACGAGCCCAATCAGCTAATCAGGCTGCTACTGGCTGACTTTGCTTCGAATTATTTTTTCCCCCTTCTCCTTTCTTTACTTGAGGCCTTTGCTTGCTGCCAATTCTGTTTGTTGCACCCCTCGCGCAGTGCATGAAGGTGTACCCCTCATGACGTCGCAGTAAACAGACCCATCCGTTACCCAGCAACCACACATCACTACCACCACGGTCCGCGAACCGTACCTTCTTTTTCCATCATCCCGTCATTTACTGTACTTTGTACCATCCCAGCACACGGAACGACGGACGGCGGGTCCCGCTTAAGCACAGGGCCAACGGTTCGAGCGCCGTGTCCGGAAATCGAATGTTGCATCATCTCAATTGTGTCCATGCAATCTTCTACGCGTTAGAGCAAAGTCCCTTTTACGAAGTCGTTTCAAGTTTGTATCACGTCGAGCGGCGCCAACTGCTGGACCCCGACAGGCTAGATTGGCATCCCTGTGGGGGGAGCTTGCCAGCGTATTGATCACTTGTTCTCGTTGTATCTAAGAAAGTCAATGGACAGGACATGCGAACTCTGAAGCATCCCAGGGAGGTGCTCACTGGCCGGACGTCCTAGAACGGCAACTGATCGCCATTTATGGGATGGAGGGCGTGAGCGTATGATCAGATCAAACCAAATGTACAAGTGCACACAATAACGACACAGATTAAGAATTAGCGGTTGCTGTTCCAACAATTTTCCATTGCGGCCTATTATGGCACAGCCATGCTAGGGGTATCTGTCTTGCCACAAAAAAGAGAAAAAGAAAAAGAAAAAAGGCAAGTCATCCGCACACCGGACCATATCCTTTTCTAACCCGACCTGACAACCACCGGCTGTTGCTCGAGGTCACCGACAAAGTGGTATCCTTCATGTGATCTAGAATTTAAACCCGTAACGGCCATGACAAAATTTTCACATGCCAACCTCCCTAAAATGCCCAAGAAATGTGAACTTCTTGGATTGCCCATACAGGTTGTTTGTCTATCAAAACGTCCCAACTCATGCGTCGTGCTGGAAATATGACAGACGCTTCGCCGCAGTTAGGCAAAGCAATGGCGCAGAAGCACCACAGCCATGACCTCGGGGTTAGAACCAAAAAACCAAAGAAAAAAAAAAAGCTTTTCCTCCGCATGTGGCTCAGGGAAAACAAAACCCATTACCATGTCCTGACCATACAATTTCAACCGTCCTTAGGTCATACCACCGACCTGAACCCGGATATACATAAATCGTCCAGATAGTCAAGATGAGGAAGGAAGGAAAAAAGAAAATAAAAATGGAGAAAAAATGCAGAGGACGATAATAATGGGGTATAGACTGCTGTCGACCTCAGTGTGGGAAGAAGAGAAGCAATCGTATCGGTACAGCCATGCAAAAACGCTCGCTTCAATGAAATCGTGTAAGGAAACTCCATCACTTCGTCAACTTCGTCATCGTCGTAGTCATTCAAAAGAATGGCGGTCTTCCCTGCGAAGGATAGTAATCGCTAACCTGGCTTTGGGCCCACGAGTCGGCTTGGCTCGAAGCTCGGGCACGGATGGGCAGTCTCTCCCTCCGGCTTTGGCGATCATCTGAGTAGATGGTGCTCGCCTTGTCGCTACCCCCAAGACGGCCGGCCTGGGTAATATTGATTTCACCACCATCCTGGCATTGGATCTCGGCGTTGCCGATCTTTAGGACGGCGCTGCCGGTAACCTTGATGGTGACGTCTTCGCTGTCAATGGCAGATGATCGAGTGGTCCGCGTCGTAGCGCTCTGCCGGAACTCGCTTTCGTCGCGGCTCTCGCTGCTACCACTGGAACGACTGCTCTTGCTCTTCTTGGCCGCTTTAAGTGCCGCCGCAGTGAGTGGCGTGGTAGGGCCGCCGTTGACGCCATTTTGGTAAGCCAGAGCAGCGTCCTCGGCGGCGGCAAACTTTTGTTCTGAGTAGCTGCCGGCAGAAACGCCCATGTACGAGTGACGCCGGGCGCTACTCGATGCAGGCTCAATGCGGTAACCGTCGCGGCTGTAAGCACTTGAACCTCGACGGTGAGAGCGAGGCCGGTCCAAGACACCGTCGTCATATTCGTATCGCACAACTTCCTGATATAGAGATTCGTCGCCGTCTAGGTCTTCAGACTCGTAGCCCGTTGAAGTGATTTGTCGCGGCGCCGGGGGTGGCTTAAGAGCCTGTCGAGGAGGTTGGCTCGTCTTTGGCCGAGGCGGAGGCGGCATGAGCTTCCGGGCTTCGACATCGCGTACCTTTACTGATCGCCGCCTGACGACGTTCTCTTTCTCGTAAGGGTCGTGCTCGAAAGAGCCGGAGGACATGGAGCGGTAGCCCATAGCAGAAGAAGGCCTTTGAAAGCGTTGTGCCAGATGGGCTTGTCCCTGAGCGACCGGAGGAGCGTGGTGAGGAACATTTGAAGGGGCATGAGAAGGCGGGAAGTAGTCGCTTGCTGATGACGGCGGGGCTTGCACTGGATGAGGTACGCCGCCAGCCGGAGCCCATGAGGGTGTAGGGTACGACGTCCCCGGCGTGAATGGGGACTGGTGAGGCATCTGAGGCATCGGCTGCATCGGCTGCAATGGCTGCATCGAAGGCGGAGGAAACGGGAACGGCGTGTTCTGGGCGTACCATCTCTCGTTGGCAGGGGGTGGTCGGGAGCCCTGCCCGTAATAGCTATTGGGGCGCTTGGGCATGGCCCTCTGGCGGTTTCCGGGTCCTGGAGCCGGCTGGATGCCGTATTGAGAAGCCTCATCTTCAAAACGTGGCCTCCGGTACTCATCCGAGTGTTGAGTGTGGACGATTGGGGCCGTCTTGACATGCTTGGGAGAGGGTCGAACAGCGGACTTCTTGTGGGTGGCCTTTTCACGCTCGCGACGTTCAGCAGCCTTTTGCTCCTCCTTGATGCGGCGGCTCTCTTCTTTGCGTTCACGCTCCCTCAACTCCCTCTCCTTTAGGCGTCTCGCGCGATCCCTTTTCTCTGTAGGTGTAGGGTGGACGGTGTCGTCCGAGTCTGTCAGACCATGCTGGGGGGAAGACGATGATCTCCTCATGGTGTCTTTTCCACGAGATTTGCCACTGTTGGCCTTTTCTTTGGTTGGGCTGCCGGGAGCAATAGAGCGGGCGTAGGTTTTCTCTCCGATGGCGTAGCCGGTATCGTCGTCGGCGTCTTGTACGTAGGCGGTGTTATCGCTTGCCATAGCGGTTAAAGTCAGGCAGCTCGTAGGGTTGTGTTTGCTCGTAGTCGAGCGACTGGTGCGTAGAGGCAAATGAGCCTCAAAGGAGGCGGGCAATCGTGAGTGTGTAGCGAGTCTTGTAGTGGGTGAGTAGCAGGTGGGAACTAGGTGCGGTGGGAGCGGTAACTTTTTTGTAGGAAGAGCGGACGAGAAGGACGGTGGGGACACGGAAGAGGATGCGACCACTATCTGATGGAGGGAGGGCCCGTATTTGTGGGTATGAAAATCGACCAGGATAGGGTGTGAAATTGGGTGCTAGGGATGATTCGGGTGTGTGGATGTTGCCGAATGGTGGTGTTGCGTCGCTATCGATTGTCAGAGGAAGGCGATGTGGTCTAATAAAACGTGTAATAACAACCATGAGAGAGACAGACTGGACGGGCCCAACATCTTATGAATTCTGGTTGCCGTGCACCGCGTGTGCTCTGTGCTGTGCTGTGCTGTGCTCTGCTGTGGCTGCTGCTGGGTGAGGAAGAGCCCGGAGGGAGGTGTGTGCGCAGTCAAACAGCTCTTTTTCCAGGAAAAAACGAAACAACCAATCGTGGGGTCAGGCTCGATGGCAGGGGAGGGGCGTGTTCGCAGTGAGGAAAAGAACCTGACAGCGGATGGGGTCGCTGGTTACCCGGCTCCCTCTGCCGTCGTCCAGTATCACCCTAATGACCGGACAGCGTGGTTGAAAACCCGACGAGGGGGGGCGTTACTGCGGGAGCTGCAATGGTTTGGCTCTGGCTTCGGATTCCGGGAACTGTACGTAGCTGTCAAGGAGGGTTGGCGATGCTGGAGGGAACTGAGACAGGCAATGGAGTTGGTCTGGAGACCGGGCGAACTTGTCTGTCAACCTCCCTGCGCCGGTGCCCTTGCCCGTATCGGAATCAGTGGGATTCTTGGGTTCCCGGACTGAAATGGATCGGTCCCAGACAACAAGCTAAGACAGTAGCCTCAGCTCCACCGCGTGGGAGCAAGGAAGCTCAGCTGGCGTTCTTATCCAGCGCCTGTTGGCTGTTGCTCCCTGACGAAACCAGGGAATCCTCGACTCAACAACTGACCGCAAAGCTGGAAACTGGCCGGCCCCTGGCCTCGGGTGCTTTGTGTTGGCGCTGATGCAAATCGTCGCCCTTCAAGTTAGAGCGCGCCAGAAGCACTCAGGCCCAACTGTGGAGAAGCTTGTCTTCGTTTCTTCCCGCCCGCGACCGTTGCAATGGGTCCCTTGTGAGCCAAGATTATTCTTGTGGCACCAGCTGTCACTCGAATTCAGTCATGACCGAAAAAAAAAAAAAAAAAAAAGGCACTGACGTCTTGTGCACCACAGATGAGTCAATTTTGCTATGCTGCGCTGGGGTTCGAGAATCAAATTGTTATAGACCTAGCGGATCCTCTGGGGTGTGAGAACAAGAAACACGCCGCCCATATCTCTCTATGAGACTGATAGATGGATGGATGGATGGGTGGATGGGCTCCCTTGGGCTGCGTGGGCTGCTGGAATCTGGCTGGGAGCCTCCGCGTGCGCGGGAGATCCACCTCCAGGGCCGAACGAGTTTGGAGAGGGGCCACTTGATGATGACGGAGCGCCGCCGTGTGTGGTGTGCTGAGCCCTTTTTGGTTGAATTTTTCTGCCTCTTGCTGGCTTTCGTGCCCGACCCTGCACCGGGCTTGGCTTTTGGGTATCAACGGACGGATGTGCTGACAGACGCGAGACGAGGTCCAATCGTTTGCCGCGCTTTCAAATTCTACTCGACGTAGTTTGGCAAAAAAACGGGTTTTGGTCTTTCAAAGCTAGTAACATCTCGTCAAGTTGTGCGCGAAAAGAAAATCGAAATATTCATCATGGAGGTCGAGTGAGGCACTGGTGCGCCATCCGGGATCAAGGTCCAGATCATCCCCAGACCAAGCATCAGGAGACATATTCGACCCCTCGGTGCTCTCCTAGGGGACCTGCTGCCTTCGCAGTCCTGACTAGCAGAGACTGCACAAAGCATACACATAGTGCAGGTTTTGGAGGCCAACGCATTTGCCCGCCCCGGAGAGCCCAATCATCGCCCGACCCACTCGGCCTGAAATGTAGTCTCCTGCAAAGCCGGGCCCGCTCTCTCTTCTCATAGGGCGGACCCGGGACGGGCACTGGGAGTCATTGTTCCATCTCCGACATGAATGGTTCTCCCTATGGTCTAGGTAGGGCCTGGCTCCACGTTGGCCATGTAAGATGGCATCACGTTGCTGAACACTGCAGCTCCCTTTAGGTCCTCCATGTCGATTCGGGGTACGGTGCCCGCAGCCATGATGCTCTGGGTACATTGATATCGTGGGCGGACCGATCAGCATCGCTGCAGTCGTTGTAGTGCAGTGCTTTCTAGACATTGCCACAGTCAATGCTGTCCTCTTCTAATTCGCCGTTGACTTTAACGTGGCCTTGAATCACCGCCGCCTCCTCCTCCTCCGACCCATGTTGATTCACTAGCGAGTACCAGTCGAGCTCTAGTCAGCATTCTGCGGACCTCGGTTGCATGCCATACACTCCCTAACAATGCCACCTGCCCGGTTCGTCCGTCTAGCGCGAGGACATGCCGGAACGGGGGCGACTGAGGCCCTCCCGGAGCCTCTGGTAGCTCCATTTGACGACAGATACTGGCTATATTTCTGTGTGGAGCATCGCCTCGTCAAATATGTATGTGGTGCAGGGGTGATTGTGAACAGAGGAACAGTCAACCAACGCTCTGTCTCGGGTTGTTAGTCTTGCCAGTTACGGAGGCTGTCGATATTGATGTCGATGTAAGCATCAGATTCTAGATCTAGATGCACGCCATGGTTGCATAGTTTGAGCTGCAATCGCAGAATCAAGGCTACCTATGGGGAAACGATTTGGTCGCGAGCCCTGACCTTTGTTCTGAGACGCACAGGGCCAGGAATGAACTGTATCCCAAAACGTATGTAGTCTAAATTGTCTGGATATTTGAGGCGGACGGGTCTACACATTTCGTTGGCTGTGAAACGCAGACCCAACACCACACGGAACTACACCGCCTTTTCGCCTCGATCACTCGACGCCACTGCCAAAAGGTGTTCAGGACGCCATACTACGTATATAACATTGCCTGCCAAACAGTACACGTCAATTCGACTTTAGACGAACTGAATACGGCGCGGGAGCTTTCGGGATGGCGTTCTTATCAGCTGTAAGAGGCCTTTGTTTACCAAAACTTGAATTTTTCCTTTCGATGCTTTCAGTTTAAAGTTAACCATTGACGCTGCCAAAGATTTGAGCGTGCAGAAATGTCGGAGAACGATCAATCTCGATCTGCCTCCCTGCGTTACCAATATGATGTAGCTTTGTACTTATGCTACGCCACCATCTCGGATCGATCAAGAGCTGGTCCTCCGTAAGACGGGGATTTCTACGTCGGTAACCACAGGTCTGTGGTCAGACAGGTAGATGCCATCGTCAAACTTGTTTGATAATACACCAAATGTCCTCACTGTGGCTGGACTTGGATCTTTAATAAAAACAAAGTCGATCCGTCCTGGCTTTTCATTCGGCTCATCAAATGAGGTGTATGTTATCTCGTTCCCGTACCGTTTATCGCTTGGTACACGAGCTGAAACATCAACCATGCCCGAGTCTGGCGCGACCATCGTCTTATATGCACTATCCTCGGGCGTGCTGTTAAAATCTCCGGCGAGGAGTAGTGTCGTGGGTGGTTTTCCGTTCGCACCTTTGCTCCACTCGCGGGCGATTTTGAGTAGCAATTTGGCACTTTCCTCGCGGGCCACAACACCACGATGGTCGAAATGGGTGCTCATGACGACCAATCTTGTACCTGTTTGCTTATCGACAAATTCGCCTAATGTGACGACGCGGTTAAGGGCAGCGTCCCATCCTTTGGATGGTTTGTTGGGCGTCTTACTTAACCACAATGTCTCGTTCCGCTCGCAATCCCAGCGATCGACTTGGTAGAACACCGGGGAGAACTCGCCACCTTGCTTACCGTCATCACGGCCAACTCCGATGTGTGCCCAGCTCGAGCCAAGATAGGACTGAATTTCCCCTAGCTGCGAGTACAGCACTTCTTGGAGGCAAATAAAGGCCGACTCGTGGCCGGCTGTGATGAAATCTAGCTGGTTAACGAGCCTAGGACCGCGGACATTCCAAGGCTTTTCCTTTGGAGTCGGGTGCTTCGTGGCGTAGCGGACATTTTGGCTGACCAGGCGAAGCAGCATAGAGGAAGTCGAATTTGACGGAAGCTGGATAAGCATATTAAAGAGGCTTGCGCTAGTGAGGTATTAGACTGCAAAGCTTTGAGCGTTCTTCAAACGGGATGGATGAAGAAAAAACAGCAAGTTTTCCAGACCGTTGCATTTGAATCAGTCTACCTGTGTCGTCAAAAGAACCTCAGACGTCCGAACAAAGCTGAAGCATGAAACGGAGACAGGCAGGCATCCTCCTTCCTCCGTCGCAGACCGTTGAGTGGGTCACGTGGCGGACCTTGGAACCGGAGAAGAGGGACACTGGCAATGGCCCAAGCTCCCGTATTCTTGGAACAGCTGGGGCAACTGCTCACCCATCCTGGAGTATCCAGCTGGGCCACACCCCCATTTCATCAACTGCTCGTCATTGCCAGAAATCGGCCTTCCGGAACATTCTCTTGTCCTCATACCTGGACAGTTCTGCTTACGTCCCCGCGTATTTCTTCTCCGCACCTGCCGTTCCCATGTTCATACGTGATCATACTGGTAGTACCAATAATAAGGTGAGTTCGACTCCCTCCTTTTGATGTCCCAAAACTACAGCGGTGCCCTCTTACGTGGGACGGTAAGCGGAGGCTACCATCTCACTCGCGGTCGATTATTCACCACTCGAAGAAATCAGTGAACATTGGTGTCACCCGATCCCAGGAAGCTGGTTTGTGGGGCTGGCTGATGCCGACACGGAGACTCCGCATACCGGTCACGTTCTCTCACGGCCCGTACTTGGAATCCCATTTTGGCCCTTGATTCAGGCCTCATGGGATGGCAGCAGCTCTAGTTTAAGTGGAAGTTTGTCCGGCCCTGTCAAAATATAAGCCATGACGCAATCTGTACGCAGCGTAGAAACAGATGACTTTGAAAGCTGAGACAGGCTACGGTTGGGTTCGTTTCAACCAGCCATTGTCGTCTCTTGTTCATCACTTTTTATCATGCATATTTGAAGGGTAACAACTGGTGCTCGTTTCACCGTATCTAGTTCGGAGCAGTTCATGCACACTGGCGCCCTTGCTTTGAGGCTGGGGGATTTGATGAGGGAACTAGTTGAGCCCAGACAAGGCGACTTTCACTTAGGAAGGCGATTTGCAATTTTCAAATGCTCAGTGAGGCCGCGACTTGACTCACATGCGCCACCTCGAGGCGTCATGCAAGGTACGCCAGTTTTCTAACAGGCATGAGAAGGCCATCAAAACCTGTTCTTCACTCGGTCTAGCAAACTCGACCTCATGCATTCCTTGCTGCATTTTACGGCCTCGAAAGACGAGGAGGTCCTAGTGCGAGATAGCCGGCACGTTCGGTTGGCTGTGGTGGGTAGAAGTAGTCATATGCTTGACTCGGCCACCAGCCGAAATGCGTGGTGGTTGCCTGGCTGTCTCAGCTTATTCATAAGCCGCCGTAGTCGCGCACCTGACAACACCCTCACGGGCCAACGCGAAGTAACCAAAATGCCAGTTTTTGGCAGCTCTGGGTGAATTATGATGGAACGAATGCGGAACCCAGCCCTGAGCTCAGCCTACCACCACTTTTGGACGCGTAGCTCTTATTCTGGCACCATATAGTTCTTCCTTGTTGGTGATGGCGGTTGAAGAGTCACGCTCTCATAGGCTTCTTCCACGTGGGGGTTGGCGGTGGCTGGCTGCCCCGCGATTTTGAGACCTCAGCGCAAGACTATAGACGCTGGTGACCACCTTCATCCAGCCATACTAGGTAACCCTATGATATGACTGAACCGAATCACCAGCCAGTGTGGATCCTTGTTGGTGTGGTTGGCCCTGGTGTAGGATCAGGCAGATCACAAACGTCCGCCTTGTCAAGGCTGCGATGCGGCTATAAGTATGAGCCATCCCCTCATGCCTTCAACCGTCTCCATGACACTACGCTGCATTTCGATACGTGCTGTATAGGCACAGTTTAGATTACTTTCGTTTGGCGCGACATTTGAGCCGGCCAGGCCGGCACGGCCTTCCCGTGATTGCTGGGACGCTTATTCATTTCGACACAACGAACAACGGTAAAACTCAGTCAACCACAATGCCTCACACACCAACCTCACCAACCCGACGGGACTCGTGGCCACCCACTCAGGTGCGACTGGCGCCAACGATTCCCAAAGAATATCCCTCGCTTGACGATATTGACGAAGATCCTCTGACATACTTCCTCACGCCGGCGCCTGATTTAGAGGATGCAGACGATGTCGACATGATGGACTTTGACGCGGGGATTGAAGACAACAACCCCAGAGAGATTGTCCGCAGTGTTAGTCCCTCAAGCCTCGACAGTTTGAATAAATCCAAGAGGTGCATGTCGCCACCGGTGCCCGATCTTTCAGACTTGGCCACACCGGAAGGAGAAGACGAAGAGGACTACATACGGTTCGCTCCCCAAGACTTCGCTATTCCCTTTAGCCTGCGAGACTTCACCATCGATGGTATCAAGTCCAAGCCGCGACTTAAGACACACTCGGATGCACTGCTGTCACCATCTCCGCCAGCTCGGGACCGTGTCTCTATTCGTCCTGGGGGGCGGGGCCGGCAGCACAGTGTGTCATTCCGGCATCGCCAGCAGCAGCAGCACTTATGGCGCGAGCCCAGCCCAGACGTGTGGTCTATCGAAGAAGAGACAGAAGAAGAACTACTTAGTGAGATGGGTAGCAGCGTCGGCGCTGCCAGTGATGTTGACGGCGAGGATATAAACATGGACAAAGATGTAGAGGCTGCAAAGCCAAAGAAGAAGGTTCGGTTTCTCTTACCCGCAGAGGAGTAAGAAATCACAGCATTACAAGGCGTTAGGGTTAGCTTTACATTGGGTGGCTTTTTCCTTTGATACACGTCCTCGGGCAGGGCTGGTCAGTTGCATGGATGGGACTCTATACAATACCCGTCATTCTGAGCGGTAACAGGGTTTTGAATACACGAATGATACATAATCAATACACCACTAGCGAGAAATTCTGGTTTAATAATGTGTGATGCGAATAATGCGATCAGAACTCGGTTAGAATCAATAACTCTCAGTTCTGGTGGATTGAGCAAGCGATCTGGATTCCGCACATATCACGCAGCTTCAACCGGGTCAACGCCTGTAAACGTCTTGCCACGTGCCGTGGTTTGAGCGGACATGTGATGAAACGTTGATATTCCCACTGCAACGTCTGAGACAACACTTGTGCTTGAGGACATTCAAAACAGGATGGAGTGTGTGGCGGGGGCGAAATGTGGCTATAGGAGAAACCTTGACAAAATATGAGGTGTGAATGTCGAGTTCCTTTCTAGCATATCGGACATCTCATCGTGAACAAGCGGGCCATTGCTTGCAGCGCTCCAACACAACAATCCCTGGCTTCTACAGGATACCGGAAAGATAGGGATGACTACTGCTGTTGGTGGCGGCCAGGTTGCTTGATGGGGGTTCGGTGCAGCCTTTTCCAACGCTAGTTTTTCTCAAGAGATTGGTCTAGACAGTGAACAACGTGAATTAGCTGTTCCTCCTCGCCATCTTCTTTCGCACCCCCTCCTACCCACGATGTTGATGGGTGGGTTCTTGCAAACATCCGAGATCCGATCTGTTGGCGAGAGGCTGCTGTTGGAACTGAGATTGACGAGCTGAGGGGGGAAATGATGGTCGATGGGGTCTGTCAAAACCCCAAGCCCCGAATGCAAAGACGAAGGACAGGCAAAACAATGACAGCTCAGACGAGGGATCCTTGTAACGATCCTCCCCCATCCCGAAGCTTTTCTCTTGTTTTGCAAGGCCGCTACGCCGTACCGGGGTAGGTGTGCGCTAGTGAGAGGACCGCTTCCCTGGCAGCCATGACAAGGCCTGCATTATAGGCTTCCACTGGTCCATCTGATTGGCCCCTGGCCAGGATGTCTGTGCCTTGTGCCATTAACTTTACTGCTGATTAGTGCCTCGTTCAAAGGACCAAGGTGCTGACTTGCCCCACCTGCAGAGGTTTGTTTATGTCTAAGCTCTGGCGTCAACATTTGCTGGTTACTCCGGCAGTGCCAGCTCAACGACGGGGTCCATTGGGCAGGTTTGCTCGTCAGAAATCGACCTCACCGGGCATTTTCAATACACCAACCCTGATACAATACAATCAACCCCTCTGCGCATCTCGCTGTAGTCAATCTGCCCTCTCGATGCATTCTGCCCGCGCATAGCGTATCGCCTCGGGAGCCGACTGGCTGTTCCTCATCTATTCTGCGGCCTGCACTCCGGCCTCAGCCTACATTCGCGGGTTTGATTCACTTTCAATCCCTTACTCTTTTACCACCCCTTCTTCCTGTTTGCCTTAGTTGGATTCTTGACTTTCCTTGAATTCCCACTTCAACTCAAACAGCAGCTGCTCTCGAGACTGTCTTGCCTTTCTGCAGTATGCACTTCATTCGAGTCTGCTATTCGCACGTCATCTAGAGAAGGGACGCATTTGTACAATATTTCCTGTCCTCTGTGGAACTATCCCAACACACAATAGACCATGTCTTCCGAACCTCCCGAACAGCCAGAAACGCCCGGTGTCGCGGCGGCGACAAGCAAACCATCCACCCCAAAGAATGAAAACAATGCGCCGGCAACTCCCCGCAAGACAGCGGCTGCCGCTGGCCCAACGACTCCCAAGAGTGCGCCCGCCCGACCACGCGCCAACACGACGAGAAAACAACCCGAACCTCCTACCCTTCTTGCCGACTTCCTCAGAGGACGCCCGTCGCCCCAGCGGCTTGCAGCCGACCGCAAGCGCAGAATGAGCCTCGACGCAGTCAAAGCCGAGATGAGGGCTGAAATGCGGCAAGCTGCCGTTGCAAAGATCCAGCAGCCTGGTGGTGTCAGGGACCGAGTGAACAAATGGCAAAAAGCAAATTCTGCCGCCATGGCTGCGGGTGACCCGATGGCTACCCCGAGCGAGCCCACAGAGATCGCCTTCCCAAACGAGACGGAAAGTGTCACAGAAGATGATCGCGTAAGAATCAAACTCAGGCAGAAGAGACGTTCGGTACCGAAGGTTGAGGTACACAATGAAACGGCTGAAGAAAAGGAGGAGATTGTCGAGGTTCTCCCCACCGGACAAGCGAAGGCGCCCCCTAAGAAACGTGTTGTCAGTGATGACCATTGGATGGCCAAGAAGAACAAGGGAAGCCCGTCTCGATCTAAATCGCCAAAGAAGGACGCAAGTCCGAGTCCAAGTCCGATTCCAAAAGATTTCGTGCAAAAGACTCCAATCCAGGCGCCGGTCGCCAAGAAAATTCAGGACTGGGCTATGAAAGTCGAAATGCCAGATCAATTACCACCTAAGCACAGGGCCTCAAAGTCAACAGACTCTTTGGACGGTAGCAAAATACAAGCGAGACTTAAGGAGCTTCATGACCGCCAGTCGACACCTAAGAAACCAAAGGCCGATGATGATGGCATTCGGGTTACGCCGCTGCGGAAGAAGCTTGATGACGATGGCATTCGAGTCGCACCCATCAAGACGCCATCTGAGGGCTCGGGTCTTCAGAAACCAAAGGCTACCAAATCAAGAGATCACAGTCGTGGGGCTAGCTCACAACCTGGTTCGGACCACATAGTGGTGGTTGAAGAGGATGAGTCTGATCGGATAGAGGTCATCGAAGATGATGAAAGCTATTTACAAACACCAACCAGGAAGCCATCTAGGACGCGGAAAGTCAGTCGTAAGAAGAGCGCTCCGCCTCCACCAGATGACAAGTCAGGTATCAGCAGTTTAGAGTCAGCAGTCAAGGCAGGGCAAGACAACTCAGAGCTTGCACCAACCACAGTGACGAGCGCACCCGGTGCCAAACCGCTAGAGGAGATTCCATTTGGCTTCTCTGCATTTAGCGAACTGGATCTCCCGCTTGAACGCGGCAAGACAAGGCGGAAGGCTCAGCGCAATCCCAGCTTCAAAGCCGCGGATGTGCTCAAGAAGGTGGTCAGTGAAGGAAAAAAGATGCTACATGACGCAGTTGAGCCTCCTAAGCAGCCTGTAGCAAACCAGCCGCCGAGTATCGAAAAGTGGCTCAATGGTACTGTTGATCCATTCATCGATGAGTCCAAGGAGGAGCCAAAAAATAAGGTAGCAGCTAAGAAGTCCGAGGAGCGGTCCGACAGTCGCAAACGGTCAGGTGATGAGAAGAGAAGGTCTTCTCTTCCAACGAAGACAGAGCTCTCTGAGTCAACGGAACTTACCCAGTCCACGCAAACAACAGATGCGACGCAAACAACCCAGACGACAGATACAACAGGAACGACACAGACGACAGAGTCAACAGAGACGTACACAGACCTATCCACGGACCTCTCAACAGATCTGTCTACAGACTTGACGGCGTCGACCGAGAATGACGAGAATATGTTTCCTAAAGAATCCGAGGGAAAATCTAATGAAAAGTTGAAACCGTCACCGTCTGCCGGACTACGAAGAAGAGCTGCCACAAGAGGGGCGATATCGCCCATTAAAACAGTAAAGAAGCCCTTTCGCGAGATCTTGAAAGAAGCATTTAGAGGGGAGTCAAGTGGGCACCAGACTCCTCCATCCAAGTACATTAGTGAGGAGGAAAGACGACTGGAGGAATACGATAGCTACGACGAAGATGACGACTGGCGGCGCAACGAACGCCGACGCTCCTCTGGTTCTAGCCGGTCATACAGTGATCGAACGTATTCGGATGAATCCTCTCTGCGCGAAGACAGAACCCCAATGCCACGACGCAAGCCGCCGACAAACGGCGTGCATGAGCTATCTACTATTGTTGGATCCGCCGACACTTATAGCGCCTACGAGTCCGATATGACATCCCAAGTGTCAGAAACCACCATCACCCAGACTACTGCTTTCACAAGAGACACAGGAGTTTCGCGAAGGAGGAGTAGCAAGTCCGGTTTGAAGAGGAGACTCACCAAACACTCCGACCTTGTGTCGGTTCTCTCCTTACCCGACGATAGCCAGGTACCGGGCAGCCTTAAAAGCGTCAGACCGCGACCTAGTGTGAGGAAGGCTGCCAACCATCCTGATAAGATTACTGTGCATGATTTGCTTAAAGAATTTTCGGATGACGAAAACTTGTACCAGAGAGAGCTCAAGACTTTGGTCGACGGCGTCATCCCTGTCCTTCTCTCAACTGTTCTCCAAGGCGACTCGGCAAGCGCTGTAGATCTGTTTGGCCCCGAGTCACCCGGCCGTAAGGCAAACAGCATGGCAAAATCTGTTGTTAACATGGGAGTTGCCCTGGAAAAGCTCAAGGCAGCTCACAAGAGAGCATCACACACCGATATTAACCGACTGATCTCATGGCTACACACTACGTCCCCAATCTACCAAAGCTATATGGACGCGTGGCGCCTTGGCTTCCAAGACCTTATTGTCAACCTAGCCCCGGCGGCTGACCGGCTTGACGATAATGACTCCCTTATCAATGCCCTCCCACGCAATGCCGAAGGCGACGTGATCAACGAAGATGGTGAGAGGGTTGACGTTGCGCACTTGCTAAAGCGGCCCCTTCTTCGCATCCGGACGCTTGCGAAGTTAACAAAGGTAAGACCATTATCCTGGCGACGAATGTGACTGACAAGGTTAGGGCGTTCACGCTATCATCGGTTCCTACGACACTCTCACGTTGGTAGGGGATTACGATGCTCTGCAGGAGATGTGTCGCCGCCGACATAAAGAAGAGTCTGCCAGACTGGCCGATGAGGACGCAATAAACACAGACACTACCAGGATTCGCGATCTAAGAACCCTTGCCCCAATGGAATCAGTCAAAATTGATCCCAAGCGACAAGTCAACGCTAAGGATCTATTTTCCCTCAGCCTGGCGCATTCTAACGGGCAGAGACTCGAGTGTCAGGTTGAGCTCGTTCACCGGGATCTTCCGGGTGCGAATAATGACAGAGGCGACCTCCTTATTCGCGAAACGGGGAGTGGCCGACGAACATGGCTCCTCTTTCCCCCAATGCCCATGACCGTGATTTCCGCCCGTCGAGGAGACACAAGATTTGAACTAGTTTTAATGGTTCAGGGCACTCACAACGGCAGACAATGGTACGAATTATTGAACCTTGTCACTGATAACGATGAGCAGGTGGCAGACTGGCTTGACATTATTGGAACAAACCCGGTCCCGCCCAAGGAGCGACTGTCTGTTGTTGACGAGTTACCCGAGTCTCCAACAAGGGTGGATATACCCGTTGGTGGCAAGCTTTACGACTGGAGCGCAGCATCGCCCGAGCCCGTCACACCGAAGCGATCGACTCCCAACCGCTACCACAACCGGAGCACCCCCCCTCGAAGTCCGTCTCCCGAGAGGACGCCTACGCAAGACACATATGAGGATGAAAGCAAGCAAAGGGCCGCCCCTAATACTACCCCTTACCGAGAAGATGGTGCTCCCCCACCTCCCATTCACCGCTCCCTGGGCCCCAAGTCGCCACAGCTACTGCCACCTGTAGATCTCCAGAGCTCCCGCGTGAAGCGGCGGGGCTCGTCTCCCTTGAAGCATGAGTATCTTCCGTCTGAGGAGTCGTCTGACACAGCCGATTCTGTCACCGAGTTGTCCGAGAGCGAAACAGGTTCAGACTGGGAGTCATCTGAAGATGAGTTTGAGGATGATATCCCAGAGACAGAACTAGGTTTCAGTATTAGAGAGCCGGAGCCAATTCCGGGCCATGAGCTAGAGCGTGAGCCACGACCAGAGGTGGTGGCAGGGCAAGAGGAGCTGGAACCAGAACTGGAATCAGAACTGGAACCACTTCCAGAGACTGTCCCTCGAACTTTCAACGAACCATATGCTCAGGAATCTATGGTATCCTCTGTGTGCAGTTTGACGCCGTCCAATTCGGCATCCCAGGCCGGCCTCTACGGCCGCAAGACTTCAGAAAGCTACACCAAGTATATCGCTTCTATATCGTACTGGAATGAGAAGAAGGGTCAGTGGAAGGATATCTCTGCCGAGCCGTGCTCCATTCAGGTCGCCGCCGGTGTAGTCGAAGCCTATTCGTTGGTTATCAGCCCCGGGGGTCACTCGGACCTGCCTATCCTCTCCCTCGAGCTCACCCCCCTGGTACTACTCCGTCAATCCACTGTTGTCGACCTTGAAATTCGCTCCGCAGTCAAGGATAACTGCAAAAACAAGAGTATCGGCGGTGGTAACTTCCGCTTCCGCTGCCCGTCCAGTACGGAATGTTTTAATCTTTACATGGCCGTTCACCACGCTCGTCTCAACAATCAAAAGTTCATTCAGCTTGAGAACGAAGCCCGTTTCAAGTCCTTCGGTGAGCGACCTTCCGAAGAGACGGAAGACACCAGCAGTCGTCGCCGCAGCTGGTTCGGGAGAAAGAACAGCTATCGCGCGTCTGCCCGCGCTCCGTCTCAATCCCAAGACGGCAGTACTCCCTCGTCTAGCCTGTCTGCCTCTAGCTTTCTCAAACGCCTCACAGGCGCAGGGACATTTAACATCGCTCGGTCGTCCCTTGACAAGCAACACTCCTTCTCTGGCAACAACAGTCTGTACACGTCCGACTCTTCCTCCAATAACTACCCTCGTTCGCCGTCCATCAGCGTCTACTCTTCTTCTATACGTAGCCCATTATCATCTGATAACATTAAGATCCGCCTTCATCTGCTTGTAACGTCGACAAAATGGGAAGACTACGGCAACTGTATCCTGCAAATCCGCCGCCCGCCGCCCGGCTGGCATCAGGAGCTCCGCGCTAACCACGGCCTCGAGAAGCGCGTCACCGTCACCGCCATGCCAAAGAAGGACAAGCCCAAAATTGTTCTCGATGCCGTGCTTGGTAGTGGCTGTTTCACCCCGATGGGCAGCAGGGGTATTGTGTGCGGAATCTGGGAAGAGCTTCGTGATGAGCGCGGAGAGATCGGCGTCGCCCCTAAGACAGGCGGAGCATCTGGCTCTGTAAAGAAGTGGTGTTTCCAGTGCTCCAGCGTCGCCGAGGCCTCGTGGGTGTTGCGGCTCGTCCACCAGGAGGTAGAGTTGAGAGAGTAAATCGTCTCATTTCTTTTTTTTTTCTTTTTTTTTTCACCCTTTACGTTATGATTCCCCCGAGCTGCGGCTCGCCTTGTGCATGTCGGGTTACGACTCGGCTTTTGGATGGCATAGCGTTATGGTGTTAGGAGGATCGGAGGGTTATAGGGTCATGATACCGATTTCTTTTTCACATTGTACAATGTATAGAATTACTGATGCGTCTTCATCATGTTCATATAAGGACCTATTATTTATGGCGGTAGTATTTGGGATTAATCATTTGTTCGCATCGCGGTGAGTTTCTGCCCATGTCTTAATAATGCGCATGCAATTTGGGCAGACTGCGATAGAGAAAGAAGAGAGGAGATGAAGAGCGGGATGAGATAGATGACCGTGAATAACGGTTGGAGCCGTCACAATATAGATAGTTACTCAGTCTCATCTGTCAGGCGTGTAAGTCTTTGGGCAAATTTTGCTTCAGCTGAGTACCATGCGTCGGTTTAATCAATCCATCAGAATATTTGTATAATGCGAGACTACCACAATGCCCTGATACCTAGATCTCGAGTTCACAGTGAGAAAGGACATCAAGCTTGGCGCGACCTGAAAACCTAAACGTCAGAAATCAGAATACTCCAAACCGTGAAATTTGAACTGATGAAATCTGCAATTGATCCTTCCCATTGTCGGGGTCAAGATGGCCAGAACACTAGCAAGATTCGCGACAAGTTGTTAGGAGTAAAGTGAGTAGAGGATGTAAGCTATTAGAAGTAGAATGCAGTTTTCACGTTTGCTGTCAATCCGAGAAGCGCACATCATCACTATTTTAGTGACAGCGGCCTACTTTCATGGTAGGTAGGCCTTTGTTCAGAAAGTAGCAAAGCGAGCAAAAGAACATTAAAATGAACGAATGGATGAACAAACAGCGAAGCTGGTTACGTCGGCCGGCTTGCGACTAGGGAACCATAGAACATCATTCCGAGTCCACTTGAAATGGCGAACACGGGGGGGGGGGGGGGGGGGGGGGGGGCTGAGAAACATTGCACGGGGCGATGGAGTTGATTTTTCGTAAATAGTCATATATCTTTTTGGTATCATTCAACCCTCCATCTCCTCATCCTCGTCCCCTCCACCGCCCATCTTCCGCCGCAGCCTTACGGCATCCTCGTCACGCTTTCTACGTTCGAGGCCCTCCTTAATCCAAGCATTGTATGCATCATCGCCACCTTCCACCTTTTGCGAAACAACGCCCTTAAGAACCTCGCCAGCAAAGCCGACGAAATTGTGCCGACGAAGGGCATTCTCGAATCGCCAGTTTCGGCGTTTTTCGTTCTCGCGGTCGAGCGTTTCGGCATCGCCAATTTCACGGGCTGCGATGCGAGGATCACGTACCATTGCAAGCACATTGAAACGAATTTCAGAGCTGGCGTATGTCAGGACGCGGTCTTGCAGGATCTGAGTGACCTTGGTAGGGAACTCGTCCGAGGTACAGGCGCCGTGAGAGATAGGTGCGGGTTGGAGGCCATCAAGCTCGTATAGCTTGCCATCTATGGGGGTGTAGGCAATGAAGTGAAATGCGTCCTCGGCTTCGCCAGTCTTTTGTGTCTCATCGACAAAGGGGCTGCTCTTGGCGAAGCTGTTATGAACGTCGCGGATTAGCTCCGAATTACTGAGGGCCTCGCCACGGAACTCGGGAGGGAGAACCATGGTGAACTCGCGGAACTCAGAGAGCTTGTCGCCGATATCTACTTCGGTCGTCTTGTTGAGGACAACACTCAGGAGTGCTTGTGTGCCGCAGGCATTTTGTATCGTCTGCTGTGCGAAGAAGAGTCGTTCGGCGGCGTCTCGGTCGTAGGATTCCTGCGGGCGCGCAGGCAAGCCCTCGGAGGGGTAGCGGAACAAGAATATAATTCCGTATATGGGGTGCAACGGGGCCAGTTCGTCGGGGGAAAGCGTCAGGAGCTCCTCGAACTGGACGCCTTTGACGCCGAGGTTTTCGAGCAGGTAGGTGAAGACACCCTGAGCGGTTAGCTTGCATCATGTCAGTGGTTCAGGCATCACATACTGCATCAGACTCGACTGTGAATGTTAGCAGCGTTCATAAGAAGGGAGGGCGTTCGTACTTGTGTTCCATCCACTCATCTTGACGTTTGTTGTAAGCTGAAAGCTGCTCCGAAATGAAGCGCTGGGGCGTGGAAAACAGTTGACGTACTTGCAAGGTACCTTGGGTATTCAAGAGCTTTGGTGGGTCATGTGGGGCGGGCCAGGGTCAATGATCTGCCGAAGGCACAACTTTATCATCACAACTATCATTTGAATTGCTATCTACACTGATGACCACATCTCGATGAGAAAAAAACTCTTTGCAAATTCTCAAAGTTCAGTCAGTTAATCGAGTGCACTGTGACTGCACGCGGTGGAATTGCTACCATGGAGACGCCGTCCTTCTGGTGTGACGAACCGAGGCGTGAACTGGGACCGAACGAACTCTCGTGGTCAGCATCATGCATGTTAAATGAGCGTTTGCTGTCGTTATCTGAATGACCGAAGCAACCCTGGGCTCGAACCGCCCGAACAAACCAGGGCTGCTTTCCAGAACCCTTCCAGGACCAATATTCCTTCATATCGTACTCACGAGGCTCCAGTCTGCCTCCAGAGAGCCATACAGTCAGAGCAATCAAGCCGTTGAGAACGGTGTAAACGAAGACACCACTGCCTCGTTAGAATAAGAACTCATTCATGAGGGGGTCACTTACGCAATGAGACCATAGGCTACACTGTATGAGAATGGAATGAAAGTCATAACCACAAACGAGGGAAGGACGTCGCCAATGTAACGCCAGTTGATCTGCGTAATTTGGCGAATCATCATACAGCCAACCAAAACGAGTGTACATCCCGTTGCCCAAGGAGGAATTGATGCGAAAATTGGGGCGAAAAAGATGGATATGAGGAAGCAGAGCCCGGTGACCATGGCTGTAAGGCCGGTGCGGCCACCCTCGGCAATGCCTGCGCCGCTTTCGATAAAGGCCGTAACGGGAGAGCAACCAAACAGAGCCCCAATTGAGATACAGGCCGCATCGCAGCAGTAGGCAATAGTGGATCGTGGAAAGTCCCCATCTTTGGGATCAACCACGCCGCAAAAGCGAACCATCGAATAGAGAGTGGCGGTAGCGTCGATGATGTCGACATAAAGGAAGGTAAAGAGAGCTAGTGCGAACTGAGAGCTGTTCTTGGTTACATCCCAGTCTAGGACGTTCAAGGTGTTCTGAATTGGATGGAATGAGACGACATTTTTAAAAAATTCAAAACGAGCATCCCCCTCCTTGGTATAGGGAAAATATGTGATGGAAGTGTTACGACTAAGGGATTATTAGCGATACTCAAACGCAGGGCAAGCAACTTACGGCCATGATAGGATCGAAACCAAGGCGATGCCTATTATGAGAGCGTACTTGACACGGAATGACATAAGATAGGCCGTCACGACACCGCCGGCGAAGATGGCAGTCCACATCTGTTGTCATTAGCAAAACCCGAAATATAAAATGAAGACTAGCTACCTTTGCACTGGACATCAAACCACCCTTGCACATTTGTGTCACTGGATCAATCATCTCAATAGGACATCCAGCGATGGCGAGAGGAGTGGCCTTCCAGCCTCCAGTGATGGCACCGATGCCGGTCGAGTAAGAAAGACCAATTTCCGTCAAAAAGAAACCAATACCGACTCCAGTCGCTGTCTTAATGGTCGCTGGGATGAGTTTAACGAGCCACTGGCGCATTCCAGTAAGGGCGAGGACGATGAAGATGAGACCCTCGATAAACACTGCCGTCAAGGCGACCTGGTAAGGGATGGTCCCGGATCCATTGGGGCCAACCACTTGGAAGGCAAAGTAGGCATTGAGTCCCATGCCAGGGCTAATTTTTTTTTAGCGAGGTTCATTATCTCAATTCTAGGAATACTTACGCCAAGGCCACTGGCAAGTTGGTGAAGAAGCCAAAGACGAAGCTGGCGAGACCAGCGATAGCTGCGGTCGCGGTAATCAAATCGCGTCGGACATCTGTACGGTTTAGTAGGAATCCTCAGCCAGGGGGTAGACCACTTACCCTCTTTGCAGGTCTTGTAGCTCTCGATGGTGTCGCACTCGGCCCTGTTTTCCAGGTCGCAGACACAGTTACCGCCGGTCTGCGAAAGGATGACAGCCTATTCTGTCAGATTCGTCTGGAGCGAAAGATATCATACTTACATTCACGGCGATAATGTATGCCATAGTCGCAAATGTGGTGGCTCCTGCGCGAACCTCCCTTAGAAAGGATGAATCGGGAATCTCCTTAGGCTGCTCGGGTTAGTATCTCAGCTGAACCAGCGACCAGGCAACATACATGACCACTCCCTCCCAATCTGAAGATACGGCCAAATGTGGAAGACGAAATAGTCTTGTCTACTCGGTCTACCGTCTTCCACATACGGCGAAACCTTGAGCGAGTGCGGCTAACAGACGACCTTACGGACGGATCGACTTCCAGGCGCTCCATGTTGGATTGTGTCGACATGTTGCTCATGATGGAGGAGGGAGAGCCTGCGGGCGGGTGGGCGGACAAGTCGGGGAGGAAGATGCGACGAAGTGGTAACACCGAACTTTGTACAGAACAAAGTTGATATGTCTTGGGCGCACACGAAGGCAAAAGGAAGGTCGCAATCCAAGCAGGAAAGAGTGGCGGGCTGCGGTGTTTACTCTTGAGGGAGCGGGCTGCACCGTTGAAAAGAAAAAAGGAGCAGTGATGGAATGCGCGGAAAACGGCGAAAGTGGCAGAAGAGATATATCCTTGCCTTGTCTAATGGGAAATCCCCTGGCAACAGCGCCGGTGAAAGAAGGCGTGTCAGAGTTTCTTTTCTCATGCAGCGCCAATGCCGCGTGGAGGTGGGGGCGGGAGAAAGGTCCACGCCGCCACGCCGCAGCTGTCCACGTTCTGGCAGGTGCTAACTTACTTGCCCATCACCGGACGGGCTTTGAGGACCGTAGGGAGCAGGAGTTTAGGGGGCGGCCGAAGCTGCCTGCCTTCAAAAAGGGGATGAATTGGAGGCACGTTTAACGCCACTGCTCCAATAGGTCGTATAGATGGGGAAGGAACGATGAGGAAATCCAACTTGGAAATGACCTCAAAATAGCTCCTACTCAGTTCGAGTTCGGGCAATGAAAAATCTCGTCGCGACTAGGCGATACACCCCAACTTTGCAGTTATTGATTGTCCGCTATCACACAATATGTTAGTGATGATGCGTTGACTCTTGAGGACCAACAATCTGTGCGCAACGCCTCCAAAGCCTCATCCAGCCACCAACACAGATATGCCTTGGCTGATCAGCCGCAATGCTCAGGATAGCGACGAAGTATCTTCATCCGCATTTGGCGTTGATATAATTAGTTTGGCCCAAATCTTTGATCTGGGACACTACTATGATAGCTTCAAAGAACAACCGCGCTCGTCCCTTGGTTGAAACCATACAGACCATCTATCAGATCTTGATCTATTCCCTACCGGCCTTCACCCAGGTAACAGCGGCCATGATAGAAGGCAGGGACGAAAGAGTTCCTGCAGGCTATTGTCCTGAGTAGAACTATGGAAGCAAGACATACATCGAACATCCTTAATTGGGTCGCCAAGGCCGACCAACGGTACTCTGCATGATTGCGGGAATATTGTCGCCTACCGAAATTGGGCTTGCCATCTTTTCCACACTTCTTGCGCCAATCCCCTTTAATGTTTGCCTACAGCTGATATTGCTTGTAATACAACTTGTCCGCCCTCGGGCAGTCTCCTTGCGAACCCTCAAGACACACGTGTCACATGTGCTTTTCATGCACCGCTACATAAACCGCTCTTCTCCTCGCCTGGGGGAACCAACGTACAAAAGTTCGGCGACTGGCGTTCGCTCACGTGGCTGCCGCCTTTGTCGGCATTCTTCAATATTGAGTCGTCATTCCATTCATGGCAGTGACTAAATGTTTGGCGCGTTGTGAACTGGGCGTCCGTCCTGGCGTTGACTGTTGGAGCTCTCTGCCATTTCACCGGGTCTTTCGAGTACTCGGAGAGACAGGCGCACCTCCCGCGGACTACATAGTATAAACCTCAAACTGTTGGGTCATCGTTGGAAAGAAAAAGCAATGGGCAGCAAGTTTGCTTTCTATGTCGTTGACCACAAACTTGCTCCAATAGGTAAGGTCAGCCGCGAAATTGCCTGCGGCCGGAGAGGGAGGTGGCACTGATCACTCTGCGGCTTCTCTGGCTTGGCCGAAAGATGCATCGCTGAGTTGTGACTGGTCTGGTCATTCCTTGGCTTCAGGACGCCCCCCTGACATAGATCCACTAGCAGTGCCAGCCCTCTGGGATATTGAAACCTAGCCATTCACAGCTACCATTTCCCTCAGAGCTGGACCCCCAACCCCAGAAGCTCAGGGAGATGGCCAAGATAGCCCTGCCATCGGCTGCCGCCTCCCTGCAGATCCACCCGCCCCCTGGCTACAACTCTCTTGGTCGCGTCAACAACATCCTGGCGACCATTTTGTCCTGCTTCTCACTCCATCTCACTCAGCCAGTCACGTTGAACGGCGATACACCATTTGACTAGGCCAGCTAACCTCATTGCGCCACCGTGTCTGTCATCTTTTTCTAGTCGAGTCTGAAGCCTGCTCGGTTCTTTCCAAACAGATACCTTGGCGACGGCTAATTCCCACGAAACGTTCACTCGGGATCAAAGAAAGGAAACTGCACATTTGACAACTAATGACACTGCATCTTCCGGGAGATTTAGTACGACTGTATACTTCCGCTTTTGACTACGAGTTCGAACTGGCGAGGCACAGTGAGAGAGGAACACAGTTTACAGCTGTCTAGAGTGGTGCGATGGCAGTGTGAAGAGATCAAGCAAACATCCACTTGCCGCTCGATTGCATAGTTAGCTCACCTCAGTCGCTTGGCCCATTAGTTTGGCCCAAGCTCGCGCTTGAGCTGCCATGTGGTCGGCGACCCAATTCCATGCCAGTCCCTTTGCTCAAAGCTTCCAACGAACCGGTCTGAATTCCACACTACAAACATATTTATCAACCTTTATCTATCTACATGCCAGCTTCGGTATGCTAAGGGCATTGTCTGATTCGCTTGATCGGTCTTTCAGATGACGACAAGGGCAACTCGTTCGTCTCTGTAAACCTAATTAATGTCAACAGGTTGATTAGCAAAATAAACAGCAAATGTCCCCAGCATCCACATGATAGCTCACACAAGCCTGCTGTGCTTGGTGCTACGGCTCGGGCGTACAGTTGTGACGAGTTTTTGACTGGGTAACCCTGGCCAGATGTTGGGGAAAAAGCAATGAAAAGTAGACGGATTGAGACAGTGAAAAATACTGGCCGACGGGGGTCCAATGATGGCGTTCTAAATGTACAGGCCTCCAAAGACATGACCGAATGAACGCCACAAAATCTCACACTCCTGCATGGTCTATCGGCTCAGGGACGAGGGGCCTGTCGTGTTAGTCCTGATCTGATGTACCGCCAGCTAGGGAGCACAATGGCGATGGACTGGGAGCTGCGTCTGATCCTCTTGGTTATGATATTGTACTTAACTAGACCAGCACGCACCATCATTCGCTGAAGCAGGTGCTGCTTGGGATAATGGTAATCCATCGTACAAGTGTCATTTGTAAGAGTCCTGTCCTCAGCTTCCGTCTCTATCCATTTTGCTACGCAGGGTCGTCCGACATACGGAAAGTAAACTATCCGTTGACAAGTACACGACGCCAATTACCTTCGGCACAAAGCGACGACACGCTGCAGACGGCACCGTATCAAGTGCAGCTCCCAAAACGACGGGCACGTAGCAAGAACGACCAAGGGACGCCAGCTGCTGACTCCTACCTCATTCAGCCTCTCTATGCAGGCTCGCATTTCTTTTGATACACTAGCGGCGTTTCTCTGCCGCAGCTCTGGCCTCCTGAGTCGCCGAGTCTACTTGTTCCGTCTTTTACATCAGCCATATCTTTTCTACCCCACACCGCTCAAGTCTGCCGATCCGATGATAACTTCCTTTTCGTCTCTTTTCCTCTCCTGATGAACCCTCGTTATCTCGGCTGCTTGCATCGCACTGTTATACCTCTGCAGTTCTCCTTGGTAGTTTGGGCTCTCGGGCATCACGGCTGTTTCACCTTCTGTTTCTGCAACTTTCTACCGTCGACAGTAACTGTATCTTGACTTTATCTTCACTCATCTCCACACCCAGTATCGATTCGACAACGCCTTTGGCCCCATCGAAGTCCAAGGCTTGATCACAGACTATTTTATCTTTTGCGTGTTCAGGACATGCGATTTCTAATCCGGCTCCGCCTACGGTCTCAAACTCTGATCCGACCAGTCCACTTATTCTCAGCATCGCTATCATCAACATCCACCCTTCTCTTGTCAGCATCACACTTTCGAAACCAGATCGCCGACCATGTGGGAGGTCGTCTGGACTGATCCCGACAGGGAGTCCAGAAAAGAACATCGTGAGCGCAAAGCCACGGAAAGAGAGCAGAAGGATAAGGTGCGCGCGACTAGGAGTTCCATGTCTACTCGAAGCTCGTCGTCATCCGACAACAAGCCGTTCAGTTTTTTCGGATCTAAGAGTCTTAAGAGGACACTGACCTCGACCACTAAATCAACAGCCCTCAAGGCACCAAGCATCGACAGTGCTTACAGAGGCTCGCTGCTCTCAGCAGTCTCGGGGCCACCCCCATCCGAGGCTCCCCGCAGTCCCATCACCACAGCCACTACCGTCGATCCAGCCTTCCTGCCAGAGCACTACATCGAGTCCTCACTAAACTCACCAAGCTCGTCCAACCGAGGTATGTGGCCTTATGCCTTAAGCCTTGCCACAGCTCACTGATGTCAGGTTTCATAGACTCTGTGTTCTCAAAGTGGACAGACAACTCCATCTTAGCCCCGTCTTCACCCTGCAACACTTCAGTCGCGGAATCCATGGCTGCTAAGGCGTCTCATTATGTGCAGGCACTCGGACCTACCTCGTTTATCACAAAGAGCACCGAAGTGACTATTTTGCCACGAACGATCGAGAATGACCTCGCCGGGATGATCTCGCACATCTCTATCACAGCAGAGCCAGTCAAGGAGGAGCCTCCAACACCTCCTAGGTCCCCGGCGATTCAGTAAGTAACGTGGCTCTTTTTAAAGCCTCGCTAACAAATAAGACCCCAAGTGCCTATTACTCTCGACACTCCCGTCAACCTCTTCCCGGGACAGCCAGTGCCAAAGAAATCCCTCCGAAGAGTACCTTCCTGGACTATTGCCTTTAAACCTAACAACCCTGATGCATGGAAACCACCTGATGCCTGGGACTGCGGCCCTCCTCTAGAGTTGCAAAATCACATGCACAAGAAGACAATTCAGGAAAATTCAGAAGTCGAGGGTGAACTTTCCATGTCGTTGGACCTCAATGGGATGCAACGTGAGGTGAGGCGTATGGCTGCCGCGAGCTCCAGCATTCGGCTGTTACGCTTGAAGGAGGTATGGGGCGACACAAGTGACGCCAGCCTATACAAGGAACTTGAGATGGAAAAGAAGAGATGGATGCTTTCTTCGTTACATAACATGGACAAGCCAATCAATCTGGACCAAACAAGGAACACCCCCAACAAGATAACACCTGCTAAAGCGAAAAAGGTTTTAGCCCTCTACGAGACGCAAGGTATGTAGAGCTGCCCGGTCGCTGGCTTGACTAACTTTCTCAGCAACAACCTCATACCTGGCCGCTCTTCACTTCAACAAACAAGTCTATCATTTATCATCCGGTCCACTATCGCACACCCTTTTTCCTAACATCCACCCGATCCACGTACCGGCTATTTCGCCGTCGGCGTTCCCTGTGGCACAGTCGCTGTTTGGAGCTGTCTATTCCCTTGCCCTTCCAGCGTTACTTCCATCCCCAGAGGTTCCCGGTCTTCTCAAGAACGTCCATCGATGTCTCTCTGTCGGCGGCACCTTTCACCTAACCTTAATCGATCCGCTTCCCATTACCAGTACCTTAGGGCCTCGCATGCGTGCATGGGTTGAAGGCAATCTCATCTTTAACTTAGAAAAAAACTTCCGTTGCATGAACCCAAGCAAGCTCTTTCCTCTCTGGCTGGCAGATGCTTCCCTTCGTGCTGAAGGCAGTACCATCACCACAGTGAAGTTTTTCGCCATGCCGCCCGCCGGTAAGCCAGATACAGCCACTACCGACGCCGAGCAGCTTGCGGAGAGAGCCGTTAAGCAGGAGCTCCGCAGCCTGGTCGGGCGTATGCTTTGGAGAGAAGTTTGGGGTCAGTACATCACTGCTGACAAGTGGTGGTGGGAGCACCCTGACATCGTTGAAGAGTGTGCTCAGCTGAAAACAGCATGGGAATACAGCATCATAGAGGCGGTGAAGGATGCATGAACATGAGTTGGAGGAGCAGATGTTTTCTGATATGGCGTTGGAGGCCAGCTTCTTTCTAAAACAATACCCTAGATGGCCACTGGCCACTTGCTTCGCCTTGCTTGGGAGTTTAGCAGATCCACTAGGACCAGGCGTGTGAACCCTATCTCACCATTGCCCTTCCATTTGTCGGGTTTCTGGGGGACTGTGAGAAGATATTACAGGTTTACAGGACTGAGAGTTGCGTTGGCCGGCTAGGACTTTTATGATTGTCCATGGCCGTGTGGGCGGCAGGATGATGTAGGTTAGACCCTGAGAGGTGAATCTCTTGTAGTTCATAGAACTTCAGTTTGTACCAAAACGAGCCTATGGATAAGGTTTACATTCATTGCGTTCCTGAAAAGTTCGGATCATTCGGGGGAATCAAGACAGGCCTGACCTTGGACCTCTCACACAGAGAAGATGGATGCCGCTTTGATCCTTTGGCTCCACGCTGATGGGACGTTGGCTCCGAGCTTTCCATATCCCTGCCTTCTCCACACAATCCACCTCAGCTGGCACAGCTTGATTGCGGACACAATCGAGGGAATCGTCCCATTTACAGCTTTCAATCTCCAATGAACATTGGAGTAGCACCGGTGAGATTGATTGATTTTTTCGTTTGCTGCGATGAGGTTAAGATAACCGGAGTCAGTTTGATAGCGACAGCGACACAGGTGGCTTTGATGACGCTGATCGTAAGGAAGATCCATGTCGATGCTAAACCAGACAGTTGGCATCCCAGCTCCAACTGCCCCAATGCATTCAGCAAACAGGAAGAATTTCACCTTGATGAAAACGGGATAGTTTTAGACAAAAGCTGCTTAGATTACCAAACCAAGGAGACCTCATTTGACATGTTAGCTCATGCGCTGCAGCGTTGTCCCTCGGCCATTGCAAGTCGAGCGGCTAACTAGCATGGTTCTGGACGTCCGTAAATTTTTTGCAGGCTTTGCGGGTTCACGGCTTGATGTTCCAGCCGGGACAATCAGCCAGACGTAGCTGCCAAACCCAAAACTCCTCCCCGGGATATCGGAAAACTTGGGAGACTACCGTCAGATGACATTGTAACATTCGTGCTGCCGTTGGTGCAGGCATTGACAGAAGTCCTGTGCCAAAGGATTTTGTGGTGACACATAAACCACGGTTCCGTGGATTAACGGTGGTTGCAACGAATGCGACCTCAACAGGCGTCTGCCGCAGGTGGGTTGTGCTCGTTAGGCTTTTTTTCGGTTTAGTGATGGGGCAGCCGTTTGAAAAGTGCTGTGCCGTTGACTAGGCGAGGCAAACAGAGCAGGGGTGGTCAGGTTGGACCATTCTAGATGCAAAACGAGTCAGCACACTACAGTGAAAAAAGGATGGCCGTAATTTAATCAAAGAACATGCAAGCTTATGAACCCGGGTCCCTGGGAGACACACTCAATCTATCAAAAGTTTGCTAGCCCAAATATTTACCAAATCATCACTCGAGTGACGCATCCTGGAATGGTTCTGTACAGTCAAAGAAGCGAGGATTCGCTATTAGCCCAATGGATAGCCAGGAGAATGCAATATTTCCAAGGGTTTCCTGCTTTGGCTTGCTCTCGGTTGAGAAAGGGATCTTCGGATAGGGCAACTCCTTGTTAAACCCGCCAGCAAGGCTTGTGCAAAGCTACATGACAACGTAAGGATCTGAATCCTGCGGTGCATAACAGGAAATAATCCATTATGCGCACCTAGTCAGTTGAACTTTTGTTCATCAATCCAAGTTGACTTGGGTTTGAAGGTTGGTGGGTAATCATAGCGAGCGTGGCGATTGTGGCATAGGGGCAGAGCAGGAGCAGTAAGCTTACCAAAGTGGCCCTGTTTTGGTCCAAAACAAAACAAGCAACTGGGGCAAAAAAAGCTGGAGGACCCTGGACTCGAGCCAAGACATGGGGGAGTTGGGCTCTTACTCCCGTGGGAAATAATCGCGAGTGGAATTGGTGGCCCGGATAACACGCTCTGGAGATTGATTGGACTGCGCCTTTTCCAGAATCCGTCGGGTTGGAAAGTGGATGGTACTGCTCTGCAGCTGATCCCTGCCCGGGAATAGGGGCAGACATGCCAAGTAAGTTTCCAACATTGCATTGTTCAAACTTTGCAATCAATCAGAAATCCCTCGGCCTAAGAATCCTCCAACAGAATCAGTAATGCCCCTGAGGATAGCGCAGGTTCCATGCCGAATGAAAGCTTATGAAAGAAGAAGGCAACTACATACAGCCACAGGAGGCCGCGTTCCTGCAGCCATTGTGAAGGAGGGCAGTCACAGCCGGTGACCGGTTCCCCCCCCCTTTTATCCTAGCATGCCTCCTGTCTTTAATCCTCTTTCCGATGTGATTCGCTAGGCCATCTGACACAAACATGAAAAAAATGTTGTCCACAGAACGCTCGTCGCCGATCATGGCGTTGCGTTTGGTGTAGTAAGAACCATCCCAAATCAACGCCACTGCGATGGGGAACGAGACGAGACGAAAATAGGCAGTGTTAGAGTTGCGGGCGGGCCAAACCGTCGAAAAAAGCAAGGACGCGGTCTTACCACGAGAATAACACGTGGAATTAGTGCGGCTAGCTTCGCGCCACACTGCCTTGCAGTTGAAGAGGTGATTCAAAAGGGGTTAAGAACGTGACGGCCAATAGACGGCGTATTTGAGTAAAGTACGTATATGGCAAGAATGTTTTCATAGACAATTATATAGAGACAAATGAAACTCGTGCCGCTAACTCCAACCGCACTGCCACAATGTTGTTTGCGAAATTCAAAGTACGAATAACACTTGCATGCGCACCGGGTATCTTCCACAAATCGCTCGCAATGATAAGTGCACCTCTCATGACCGCGATGCCTGCTCCCGCTCATGCTCCTGCTCCTGATCGTTCGAGCTTGGTCGGCTGTTTGCCAGCTCTGTCATGCTTTCGGTCTCGTATGTTTTATTCCTGCGGCCTTGGCTTGGTATCTTAAACTGGTCGCTGTGACGGAAGCTGCCGACGAGTTCTGTGACGTCCGGGCGTCGAGACGCATATCTAATATCGGTCCATAGTGTCTTGCAAGCCTTCCAGGATGTTACTATGTAGATCAGAGCGTTCCAGAACCCTTGCAGAGGAAGGACAAAAGCGCTCATGTATGCGAGCGGCGTCGATGACTCTTTCGAGTGAATGACCGAGTAGACACGATTGGCGCTCGAGGGAACCCAAGTGATAAGAATGACTGTGAAGAAGAGAATCGAACATTTGGTGTAGGACCAAGCGGCATTGTTAAGTTCGTAGTTGCGTCGGCGTGCTGCATTCATCGGACGTTGGGTGGAGGCGGGCTCGATCGTTACGGTTTCGGCGGGGAGGACCGCATCATCCTGTGATGCGCTGCGAGCATGACGGTTCGCGGAGATACTGACAGAGTACGCAGCATTAGGCATTCGGGGTCCAGGTCCGGCTTCTGATCCACGCCTCGCCATCGAACCCAATCCGATGGAGCCGCTGGGTTGGTCGATTGTTTCGGTGGTAACATATACTTCTGTAGTCTTGGTCGAAGTGAGGGCATCGCGGAACGAGCTGAGGGGGTCTGGGTCGGAGGAGCTAAAGTTGCGGAGTTGCTTGCGTTTCTGGTAGATCTCACCACCAGCGCGAATGTAGATGAAGAAGGTTACCAATATGGTGACCCTTGGGCTGTTAGATATAACAACATCAGCTTAGGGAAGGCACATACCAAACAGGTCCGTAAAATGTGATAATCCGCCAAATCTCCCACTCTGGTGTAACCCAACACCATAGAGTTGCATTGCCGTAGACTCTCTGCCCTTTCCCGTTCGTAACAAAGACATAAACCAAGGCAGGAACAAATGGGATGCCGTAACAGCAGATCAGATATGGAATCTCCATTCGGCGTAGCCTTTCAGCGTCGAACTTGAAATAAAATGTCAGGTAGACGTTGATCGCCATTGTCAGCGTCCAAAATGCATCAGCAGGCATGAACCTACGGTGATTAGTTGAGGTCATTGGAAGGGGGGCTGTACCAACATTTGGATGAGGAACGCCTGGAGCTGGCATCCAGGAGATAATGGCGAACCAATGTATGACCTTGCCATAAGAGTACCGACATTGGTCATCATGTTACCAAAAGATGCAAAAAAGACGAGTCGGTTAATTGGCTTGTGAAAAGCTCTGGATGAGCAAAACGTGACGATGATGAAGAGACATCCTAGCAGCGAGAAGACCGAACACGTCCGTTCAATGATGCTCAGGAGATCTAAGTCTCCTTTGTCAAGATACACTCCCTCCTCTTGTGGGTCCATGGTGCTTGAGTGACCCAAGAATACGGATATCGACGGTCGACTTCAAGTCCAGTATATATCGACTCCAATGATGGCCGGACGGGAGATGTCGCCAGTGAATTTCGAGCATAGGTCTGGTGGATGGCCAGCCTTCAAGTATCCTGCAGCTCCGGCAACGTAAAAGGGATGGGATTAAAGACCTTTCCGAACCGCCTTCCCCTTCCAGACGTGCAAGCACCTGACCAGGATGGGCTGCAAGAGGGTGTAAGCGGATGTAATCCAGGCCGTGTCGAGTCCCAGAACCAACATGATCTGGGGGCAAAAGAGAGAACCAGACGGAACGAACAGTGATGGAAAAGACGGCAAAATGTAAAAGGGAAGAACAGAGGCTAACCATCAAGTTGTCGGGGCGGCGCCAGCCCTCGACTGTCGCATGGCTTGTTGCAGGGGTGGTGCAGGGCAAAATTGACCAGGATTGGCCAGGATTACGTCGAAAGCGTGCTCCATGTCGGAACAGGGTGTCGCAGGCACCTGCTCTGGAACGGAAAGCGGGATGGAGGGCGTCGATGGCCCTGGTGGAAGTTGGAGATTGGATACAGTCGCCATGGTCCTTCCAAGGATGACGGTCGTCGTAACTGGAACAGGCCAAGTGAAGGACCTAGCTTATTGCGAGTGCCAGCCCACACACAACCAGCTTGGCGCGGGGTCGGACGAACCTGGGGACGCCAGGGTTGCCCCCGCCAATTCCCACAACTGGAGTAAATCGCAACGCTCCCCGGGAATTAGGTCCTCGTTGGCTGCTTGGCTACAGTGGCATTACTGGGGGTAAAAAGAGGTTGCAAGACCTCGAAGCGTGTTATTCCCAATGTCACCGCGTGGCCTTCTATTGTTCCTGAGATGCAATCCAGATCGCAATTTATTTTGTCAGCTCTCCCAGAGAAGACGATTTTGTTCGTCATTTTGCCCTCTAGTCACGATGCTTTGCGTGGCTTAAACAATAATTCATGGCCAAAGCGGTGGTGAGCGGAATAGTCGGCAGAAGCATTTGAACCATCTTACCTTCAGGCTTGCTCTTTAGCTCCCCGCTACCAACGATTTCTAAGAAAACCGTCGACCTCACTCGTCTTAGTGAAACCCTTGTCAAGCCACAATGGGACAGGGGTCGCATATTGTAGACGTACTTGTGCCTCGTCTCCTGAGATAGAACCAGCACGACTCATGTTCCCTATTTCGGCGACGCTGGCAGGGCTGCCTTGACCGCAAAAAATCCTTCCAGACCACAGATCAATCTCGCTGAAGGCGAGCCAAGGGCCGCAGTCCATAGGTGACTGCATACTATCAGTACGCTACACATAGAGCGGGATGGAGCAAAGGCAGCCATCAGCAACAGCTGCATTGCATAGTCTCGTCCAAACTTTGTAGCAACATGGCGCAGGTAGGTAGAGAGAAGTAGGAGCCTTGTAACGCGGCGGTGAGAGCTCCTTTTGTTTTTGGACACCACCTACCGTTAGTGAGGCTGCGGTATGGCCTGCCATGAATTTTACTCGTTCCAGGCTAAGGCATTAATCCATACGGAAAATGTTTTCGTCTTCCGTTATTTCACGCTGTAACCCCCCTTGGTCTGACTGAGGGGACAGTGAGCCGGTTGCTCACCACGTGGATATGCCACATTCCGGGTGGCCTCGTGAAATTGGGGAACGGTTTATTGTTGACACGGCCGAGGACGTGATCTTACCGTCCGGATGGTCCGCTTTCGTCTGGAAACCAGACCCGACGATAGACTAGCAAGAACTGGGATGCCGCCTGCATGAAGTAGCTAACCTCCAGGTACGTGCTGCAGACTGATGGTTAAACGTGTCTGGGTGAATCAAGTTGCCCGAATTGGATGAACTAGATTGGCCACCATTCTGGGCATAGTAAAGCTGCGCCGCTGACTCAAAACGTAGTATGAACAAAACGATCCTAGCGAGATTTGTGTTGGTGGTCATAGGTCAACCCTGGCGAGCCATGATATTCTAGCGGGGTAATGAGAAGCGACTCCTATATTAGTTTGCAGGCTTCTGGTGAAGTCCAGTGCCAAAGAAGCCATGACTGGGATGTGTGTGTGTGTGTGTGTGTGTGTGTGTGTGAGAGAGAGAGAGAGAGAGAGAGATAGAGATCCAAAGAGCTTCGTGGTTCGCTGGGACGCAATAGAGGGTAGCATCTCAAGTGGGGACGCCTTCTCTACCCCAAAAAAGCATCCACTCCCCGTGCTGACGGCGGGGAAGATGGGTCATTTCCCGGATGGTGGGTATCTTTTCTGGGAAACTGCAACCACAGACTTCCCCAGCTAAAACACGCCGTCTTTCCAGCCCACGCGAACCAACCTTGCGGTTCCACCTGTAGGGCACAACAGGAGGCCATTCTCTGTCCCTCACTTGGTGAGCATAGTGCACCTCAAGAGCCATTATTCTTTTCCCCTTGGTCATGCCTTTCTTTTCTCCTTTTTCATTTTTCTTCCCATGCCCAGGGTAACAATAGGTGGTGTGGATTGAATGGCCCTGTAGAAGCCTACTGGCAATAATTGATGGGTATACAACACATACTTGAAAACACACAAGAAAGTTATTACGTTCCGCCATTTTAGCACAGAATCTTGCTTTACGCGAGACAGCCTTAGCTCTGCTCTGCGACACAACTCGTCCTCCAGGCACTGTCGGACGTGTGTTTTGGTAAGGGGCAGCAGTTTCGTGGTCATGAAGCGTGCGCCGAAGTGAGGCCATCGGTCTGAAGGCGCTCTCAGAGTAAATCTCAGATGATGTCTTGGCTGGTTATATTCCCATAGGTACTTGACCATGGGCCTGTGATCCACTCTCCACTTCTAGTCTTCAGCAAAGATTAAGATGAATGCGGGGACAGTCTGGCGGCTTGGCTTCGTTCAGCTTTAATAGTGTAGAACAGGCTGGTGATGCATCACGATTCCGAGGAACGGAAACCACAAGCGCCTTATCGGCGACGATATTTCATCTTAAAAATATATGTCACATAAGCCAACGTTCAAGCAACCTTGCCTGCTAAGAAGCCGAATGGTCGGCTAGCTATCGGAGTTTTCGTCTGTGTTTCGATCAGGGCCATTGACCATGTGATGCCACCTTGGAATGCCCTTGCTCTTCATTCAGTCAGGGGTGAATTTGGCATCCCTGGCCAGCATTTGAACTAATATTTCTCAAGAACGCAATGGGTTCCCCAAGGCATGACCAACAGAGTGTTCCAAAAGACTGTTTAAACAGAAATCTCGACAGCTGTTGTTGCGGCTTGCCATTATGCCATCGCTTCCCCAACTTCTGGGAACACATCCAGTCCTCGATACTATGCAAATATCAAGCAACGACAAAGCACCAAAAGTCGGGGAGCTTTTGACAGCTACCAATGCACTTATGGTTTTCGTCAAAAGCGGATCCCTAACATCCAAAGAAGAACTCCATTGGATTCAAGTTTGTCACCCGGAACGGCCTTCGCACGACCAAGGCTTTAACCCACAGGGAGGATGCGCCACATTTAAGGACTAAACCACGGATGTGACAACCATTTAGGTTTGGACATGTATGGGGCTTCTTCGGACGGTTCCAAGAACTGTTTATCCCGTCGCCATGGCGAAGTACAGCCGGATGGTGAGCCAGAAACGGAATGACTCCTTCAAGTCTAGTAAGGGGAGATTGGCTCATGACTTTGTCCCGGCAGAAGCATGCCCTCGAAATCGCTCTGCCTCAGGGGAGATTCCTGCATGAGCCAATGTATTGCTATTAAATGAGAGCGTCCCCCGCTTCTATAGTCGGCATGATTTACTGGCCATGCCTATATGGTCCCAAGCAAATGGTATAACTGGGTTGTCGAAGGGAACGCGCGGCTCAATTGACTGAAGGCCTCCCACAAAATATATCAAAATCGTTCGGCCTACGGAGACCCCTGGGCAGCTTCGGTCGCTATCTAGTATCCGCGCCAACTCAAAACTCGGTGTTCAGGTGAGTCTCGCCATCTTTGAGCCCTTAAATCATCCGAGCTGGAAATACTCAACTGAGTTAACGTGATTATGACCATTAGAATGAAAGGTGTGATCAGGTGTATCACATATAAGAAGAACAAAAACCTAGTTGTTCAGATTTGGTGTTCGGTAAAAGAACACGCTTTCTAGTTACGCTTGTCAATAATTGTGAGATAATTTGGGTCATGATAATCCAACAAGGCTCAAATTTGCTGAAGAAGGAAGATTCATAGTGCTGGGATCATTGGAGGGAGCGCGTCGTAAGCCTACGTTTGCAGACAATGTCTAGAAACCACTTCCGCAATACCTCACAATACCTCCCAGACCCGGAACAGAACAACCTTCAGTGACTTGATACATGTGTCTAGTATTACACTGCAAGTTCTGCGTCTTTGAAAGCAGTATGCCGCAGCCTACCACTCATGATCAAGAGCAGATTAAATTGCGGTCTAATTTGGAGTTGCAAGAGCGGAATCGGAAGAAAAGAAGAAAGAGAGGAAATGGGGGAATATGTGCCAGAAGATTGCTGCTTACGAACCCGTTTTATTCTCCCGCTCTCTACTGCTTCGGTCTGCCGGCTTGTTGGAAAATCAAAGCGATGTTGAAAGAGTCCCAGGCTGAACCAATCCCCCTTCACACATCACTCTGATTCAACGCCTTTGCTATATTACAGAAAGACTCGCACGTACGTAAGTTCCATCACTAAATTTCTTTCATCTTTGTCTCGAGACCAAAAACCAATCTACTAGAATCGTCTTGCTGAAACCACGCGATAATACAACGGGCCTACAAATGTACGCTGCTGAGCAACTATCTACCCAACAACTCCAGGCGGAGTTTTGAATAGTTTAATCGGAGAGCCCGCTATTCCCGCAACTAAGCACACCCTCTTGAACCTAACAACTATGACGCCGCGGAGACCTAGATCCAACCGCAGCTCTAGCAAGCCCAAAGCAGCTGCTCTAGGAGCTGAATTCGAACTGGACAGGCGTGATCCAGTTGACAGCGCTGCCTTGCGATCCCAAAGGAGCCATAACGGGGGTCGAAAGAGCCGAGTCGTTCACGACTCGGGTAAGCAACCTCGATCACACCGAGACCGCAAGCACGGCCGACGGCTGAACCTCGAACCGGACACTGATGGAGACTATTCCATGCTCCTGACGCCACCTTCTAGCCCTAGATCTTCATCAAGAACTCACCAAGCTTCTGAGAGATACAGTTACAGCGCAGATGGTCGCCAACATCAGACCCGCGAGCGTCTAACACGGTCACCTAGACCACCCCGGGGTGGAACGAAGAAGCCCGCGGACACGGCTCTCAAAAATTTCCGCTTCCGCCAACAAATTCTATCTCTCATTGACCAACAGCGTACGGCCGTAGAGACGTGGGCGGAGAGCATCGGTGCAGACGGCCCTGCAGAGCCAATGGACTGGCAACCTGAACAAGAGCGGATCGTTTACTTCGCCCGTATGCCGGCAGAGGAGAATTGCTATGCGGACCAGTGGAAAATCGGCGAGAAGCAGATCGCGTCGGCGCACCCTGAATTAGGGTCGTGGGCCAGCGAGCTCTGTCTTGGTGGAGTGTCAGTGCGTGGGTCGCCGGCAGTCGTGGGGTTTTTAGATGAGATCGAGTGACTTCAGATGCGTGAAGAGGAATCGGCCAGGTCGGACAAGGTTTTCTTTTAAGCCGTAAACTCAATTACAAATCGACTTCAATTACACGCAACTTGACGTATGCAGTTACAAGACTATTAACATGTCATTCACAAAGGACTTTTGATACCTATGGGTTAACATGCAAGTTCTGAACTAGACCGTCCTAAATTCCTAACGCCTGTCCAGATGAAGTCCGACCGACCAAACCCATGAAGCAAAAGTCAACCATCGTGGGAATCTCGCAAATTTACAGATTCAACCGCTAACATTCCTCCCCTATATCGCATACAACTTATATCTATTTCGCGTAGCGATTGTACTCGGCAGCGACGAGGCAGTGGTCACGCTCGAAAGGTTCTACGATTGTTAGCCTGTGAACTGTAAGAATTCGACCGCACATAACATACCCAGCGTAAGCTGCTCCTTGGGAGAAATGCGCTCTGCTCTCAACTTCTCGACCTCCATGGCGAAGACCTTGTGGGCAGGGGCAGTACTGTCGATGCAGTTGGCCTTAATGGAGATAAGAATACCACCGCCAACCTTGAGAAACTGGTGGGCATTCATGGCGACAATACGGGCCTGATCAGGCTGGGCAACGTCTGCAAAGATGGCGTCGACCATGGGCATGAGCATGCGGTACTTCAGGGGTTGACGGGCGTCCTCAACAATGGGGACGACGTTGGTGCGCTTGGCAGCCATGCCAATCAGGTCACGGCCAGAGCGGGGAGAGAACTCGACGGCGTAGACAAAGCCGGTAGGTCCGACAATGTCAGCAACGTGAGAGACGGAAGTACCAGAGGCACCACCGAGGTAGAGGACCTTGGAGCCGGGACCGAAGTAGAGCTTCTCAAGGCCACCAATGACGGCGGCAGCAAGCTTACTACGGAAAGGGTTCCAGACGCGGTACTCGACCTTAGTAGTTGTGGTAGTGCCGTCCTCGTTCTGAACGCTGTCGTCGACTGAGACGCGCTTCTCGCCGTAAACAGACTCGCCGGGAACAATATTGCGGGTTGCGATAGCGTCCTCCTTACCACGGACAACGAAGATGCCCTCGTGGCGATGGGGTTCCTGAGATGTTAGTAAATGTTACCCCAATTACCGTCATTGATACTTACAACTACCACCTTAGCACCGCCCCTCATGCCGGGCTTGCCTCCTCTGCCTCCCTTCGCAACACCACCTCTTCCTCTTCCGCCGGCGCCACCGCGAGGACCTCCACGGCCACCTTCAGAACATGTTAGTTCGAACTGCTAGCATGCTATCATCTTCGATGGTAAACTTACCGCCGCGAGCACCGAAGCCACCACGGCCGCCGCCCCGACCTCCACGGTCGCCGAAGCCACCTCTTCCTCCTCTGCCACCACCTCTACCGCCACGGTCGCCGCCAAAGCCACCTCGGCCGCCGCCGCGGGCACCTCCACGAGCCTGGAAAGGAGCCATGTCTTGTATCGAATGATGGTTTGGGTGAAAAGAAGAGACGTAAGACTGGCAGTCCCGCGATGAGAAAAGTCGAATTGGTCAGAGGCGCAGGTGCTGATCCTCTGATGGCGGGTTGACACTGAAGACTGCTTGGTGTTGAAATTTTTTGGCAGAACTTTTTCAGAGCTTGCAAGGTTCAGACATGCATTGGATGTGGGGTGTCGATTTTGATTGGTCAAAGCGGAACTTTATTCTACCGGTCCCGGCATAATTTTTTTCGCGATTAGATAACGCGCAACCCACCCTGGGAATGGAAGTAGTGCGACCCTTCACGCAAGACGCAAAAATTCCCATCATTTTGACAGCTGCAAACCTGTCGAATATATCAAAAAAAGGATCAATTGGGATTTTAAAATAGACAGATACCAGGTACGCAATTTTTCCCCGACTGCATATCCAAAATTGGCTGGGGGAACGCCAGTTTTCCCCGTAGGGTTGCGGAGCCCTAAGGCAGACCCCTGCCGTTTCCCGATCCGCAAGCGAGCCAACCCGCGCAGGAGGGCTAGGGTCAATCAAAGTTGTGAATTTCTTCTAACCTCACTCTGCCAGCCCAGCCTACGACGACACGACGCCGAAACCATCACCACACCCAACGATCAAGATGGTAAGTGCTTGCTGCTCCCCATCTATGTGGTCATTGCGAGGAGAAGAACACGCATCCCAAAAAAGAGAAGAAGATTTGCCCCTGTCGCCGCTGCCGAGAAATTGTTGCCCCTCGTCATTTTGTGTTGGAAACGCCGGGACGACATGGAGAAAATTCGACGACACCCGAGGATGAGATGATGCGAGGATAGTGGACAACAGACTTTGACATTTAAGACTAACATGTCACCGTCCGTAGGTTCGTTACGCTGCGACCGAGATTGCCCCCTCGAAGTCGGCCCGCGCCCGCGGTGCCTACCTCCGAGTGTCCTTCAAGAACACTCGTGAGACCGCTCAGGCCATCAACGGCTGGAAGCTCCAGCGTGCCGTCAAGTTCCTCGAGAACGTCCAGGAGAAGGCTGAGGCCGTCCCCTTCCGCCGCTATGCTGGCTCCATCGGCCGCACGGCGCAAGGTACGACATGACCCCAACGAGTTTCGACGTGGAGGGGTCGAAGAGGAAGCACAAGGACAGAGATACTAACTCCAGAACAGGCAAGCAGTTCGGTGTCTCCCGTGCCCGCTGGCCCGTCAAGTCTGCCGAGTTCCTTCTCGGCCTCCTTAAGAACGCTGAGGCCAACGCCGACGCCAAGGGCCTCGACACTGGCAACCTGATTGTCAAGCACATCCAAGTCAACCAGGCCCCTAAGCAACGGAGACGAACCTACCGTGCCCACGGTCGCGTATGTATATCCATGATCGCATATCTATCTCCTGCTAACAGTCATAGATCAACCCCTACATGTCCAACCCTTGCCACATCGAGCTCATCCTCACCGAGGGCGAGGAGGTCGTCCAGAAGTCTGACGCCGTCGCTGGCCGTGAGGAGGTCCGCCTCAACTCCCGGCAGCGTGGTTCCCGCGTCCGCCAGGCCATCACCGCCGCATAAGCGACTGATTTAGTGTGTGCGGGACGACTGGGGTAACGCGAACCTGGGAGGTCTTGGGTCGATGGATGCGTGGAAAAATTGCGGCTTTTCATATGCTGGTGTACAGGAAGGCTATGGTATCATGGCATTTAGGGATTGGCATGCGAATTCGCGCAACGGTCTAAAGGGCTACCAATAAACAAACCTGCAAAAATGATTCCCTAAAGTGGTCCTAGCTATGAGCATTCATGACTGGCGTCAAATGGATAAGGATATGCATTCAATGACCGAAACCCTATACTTGTGACGTAGCCGATCTTATGATACTTTTACCCCGTTATGTTCCTTAAAATCATCCCTTTTCCGTGGTATCTTTCCGAACGCCTTGAGGTTGTAACTTCCGATAATACCTCCTAACCCAACCCGCATGCCTCATTAAATTAAAGGACAGCCGTCATCAAACCGAGCCAAAGCCTATGCGGCTGTCTTGGAAATCGTGCCACTGAAACGGCCTTTGCCAGGATGCACGATGCCGTCACGCTTTGCAGCTTCAATGACCTCTTCGTCGTACACGTTCGTCCATTCAGTGTCCATTCCATAAGCAGTTGTGAGGTTGAACTGCTCCTGAATCGGCATGTAGTTCGTGATCTTGGCCGCTAGTCTGTCGGTACACACCTGCATGAAGGGGGCAAGCTCCCTTCGCCGTGACGTTACGTCTTGTGGCTCCTGCCAGGGGGGGTTGATTGGCAGTATTGCGTGGTTGTCGATGGCGGGTACTTCTAACACGACATAGCCGCACGATTTGAACGACATGCTCTCAATACTGAAGTACCCTTTCTCCTCGAGAAGACCATGCGGCCTGGGAATACACCGGTAACCCTCGTCTGTTTGAACCAAATTCTCAATCCACAGGTCTTCTTCGTTATCCTGTCTGGTCATCAACTCCTTTATCGTGGGTGCTGGCGTGAAACGTTCGACAATTCCCGCCCAAGTCAGCAGACTGGGCTGCTTAAGCCGCAAATTGCTCCAATTTGGCTCAGAGGGGAGCGGTGGAGGCTGAACCAGCTGTAGACCGATGTTGATTACTTGTGCTGCTTGCTGGGGAGCTTGTGGTATCATTGCAGGTGGTATAGTGCCAAAAACCATGCCGTGCGGTATTGGATGTATGGCAGGTGGTTGAGGCCCTGCAGGGGCTTGTGGTTGAAGCGGCGCAGGCGGAAGAGGTGGGGGCTGTGGTACCTGAAGATGGGCAGTACCATGAGCTACCTGCTGCTGAGCTTGTATTGGCGCTTGTACTTGTCCTTGGACTTGCGCCTGCACTTGTACCTGCAAAAACGTTCCTACGTGACCCTGATCTCGCGTAGGTGGTGCGGTTAGGGAAACACTTTCGAGCTCTAACTTTTCCAGAGAATGAAGTGCCATAGATCGGACGACTTGCAGAAACACATGTGGTGTGCTGTAGCAGTTTTTGAGTGAAAGGTGCTTGATGTATGGCAGCGACAGCAGGTGCTCTGGTGCCTTGGCTACGTCAGGTTGCACCATCTGGGACGGCAGACAAAACGGCGCGGGAAGAACATTGAGATTCCTCTGTGTGATCCCAGGTGCAAACTCACCGCCGCAAATCCACTCGAAGTGAAGGAACGCAATATTGGATTGTTTTGCAACGTAATCCTGGAGTAACTGGTATGCCTTGGCGACGGCATCTACTGGTGATACGAAATTGTCCTCCACGCAACCAGGAGCTACCTTGGCTACTTGACGCCAATCGGCAACGACCGCGAGGGCAACGTTTGTCAAATTAGGCAAACTCTGCCAGAAGTCTTGTCTCTGAAACATGAAGATATGGCTACTGGGTATCTTGGCGACAGTCAAGGTCGTCAGAGCATTAAAACTATTTGTGTGGGCGTTGTCGATAAGGGCGATCACATAGGATTGGATGAGTGCCCTGTGAGCCCATTCAAGCTCCAACAACATTTCCTTTTGCGCTCTTGTGAGGTTCCTGGGTTGCAAAGGGTGACCGGATGTGGATTCGCTCAACACGGATACCACCGCCCGTTGGAGCGCTGCATCGTCGTCGTCGTCTCCAGCAGCGCCGTTTACATTGGAGATGACGCCTGGATTTGAAGCAGGGTTGAAAATATTAATGCTTGAATCGGACGTCGCCATGGCTGCCGTGGTGCGTTCATCGAAGTCTATGTTCACCAAAGACACATTCTCGGTGCTCAATAGCATGGCGATTGCGTCTTTCACCTGTGCCTGCGTATAACCGGCGTTTTTTACCATCGACTCCAGCACGGTATACTTGAAATCGCGGGGACTCTCGAAGGCGAGCTTGCGGGCGTTCATACTGGCCGAATCAGCTCGTGCCAATCGCTGATGCAGCAGCCTATATCGAAGATTGCGAAGTCCGAAAACTGGATGGGGCAAGGGAGGACTCTCGAGTTGCTGATCCGGCCCCAACAGGTAGCCTAGTCCCGCATCACAGCAGAGCCCAAGCTCCTGGACCTGGGTTAGGCAGTTTAAAGCCTCCTTCATCGAAGCGGTCTCATCGGCAGTCTGCTCGAGCCCCTCCAGTTCCGTATACCGTAGATACGACTCGTGAGGCCATCGGTATATCCCCCAATAAGATGTGATAGCCTTCTGAGTTGGCTTGATCGGTGGGTATGCCAGACTCTCTTCGTCCAGTTCTAGCGACAGTGCAAAACGAAGTATGTGCTCTCCAAAAGACTGAAAAATCCGCATGCCGCTCGAGAATAGTGTGTCGGTACAGGGCTGGGTCGGCTCGAGATCACCCTTGTATGACACCTTCTGTCTAGCCTTGTACATTTCGGACCGAAAAGGAACCACGACATTGCGGAAGTATTTAGCCGAGACCATGCGGTCAAATTCATGATTCACGAGACGCAGATTCTTGACATCTGACCGTGACAGGTAGGTGGTGATTTCGTCAAAAATTTCAACAGGGACTTGAGCGGATGGCCAAGTGAGCTGCGGTCGATCTGAAGCCATGGAGCCCTGCGAGTGAAGCCTTCGTCGTTTTCGAGGCTTCTCCGGGATAACAGGGGCCCGTGTAGTCATGGCCGTCGAGATATCCGCTCATGGGCTAGATTGCCTAATCAAGGCGATTCGTTCGCTCGCAGGCGTGGGATTAATCGCCGGAATAGCAGCGCGGTGATGATGGTGGTTCGAGTCTGCCCGATCGACTAAACTTAATTGATCGAAATAAAACCACGAAGCGTCAGGCCTGCTCGTGGGCGTCGAGAAACAGCTGTGAGAGAACGTCACTCAGGTTGTCGCCTTGCTCTACACTTGTATCGAGGCACTCGAAGCGAATTAGACAGGAGCGGATGGATGCCAGTACGTGACAGCGGCAGGTAGTGAAGAAGTAAGAACTAGGACGGTGTAGGCGATGGGCTGATGATTGTGAAGTTGTCGGCGCAAGAGGGGAGAGAGACGAGTTCAATCCTGGGTCGAGCGAAATATGTGAAAGAGAACAAAAAAGCTTGGGTGACAGGCGACAGACACGACTGACGCTCACCTTGGTGAAGTCACAAAAGGTATTTGCGAGCCACTTTTTTAGCGTCCTCTGGGAAAAGAAATAATCGCTATTGGCTCGTTCCGGGGGCCTTACAGCATGTGGCCAGAAGCACGGATTAGAAAGGAAGAGGTTTCTGCGCAGGAAGCGGGGAGATTCATGGCATGTTTGGCGGGGCCGCCTGCGCAGAAGCCAGGGGTAGTTGTTGGTGGGCTGCGGGTCCAGACTTGCCGAATGAACCCATTTCGTGAAGCTAGGTACTGGGTTCGAGCACGCTTCTATTGTAATGTGGATGCATCCTAAAGGGTTTCTACACCTTTCCCGGAATAAGATTTTGTTTCCTTCAACATGTCCACCCCTGGTTAATACGACCATTTAATATTATCTCAATGCTATCTAATAGCGCAGTCTATGGCTGGCTAATTTAGCCATGGCTGTTGCCAGAGAACTACATGATGGCATAACAAGAAAAAACGAGAAATAGTTCAAATACCCCCAACGCCGAACGTAAAACACTCGTTATTTCTCGCTTAAGGGGCGGCAGACTTGACTGGGGCGGAGCCCTGATAGAACCAGTATCTGGCATGTCTTAGCAATCTTGATGCGAAATAGGTTCAAATGAGACTCACTGTGCAGCGTATTGAACCTCAAATGTGGCGGGCTGGCCTTTGCAAGAAGTAGGAGGACTACCACCGACCGTGGTAATTCTGTAAACCTCCTGGAGGCCACCGGTACTGCCTTCTGTGGTGAGGAGCTTGAGCCAGGCCACAGCACCCTCTCCTTGCTGACCGGCGGTCGCCGTAGGAGGTGCGGGAATCGATGAGTTCTTGGCACAGAATGCGTCGCCAATCTGCTCACCATTGATCGCGAGCTGGAAGAGGGGGACGCCCGCAGCAGGAAAATTGTGATGACCTGAGACAGCAAGGTTGCTGGGGCCAAGGCGTGGGTGAGCTGAGCTGTCGGTGAGGTTGAAGCTCATCGATACTGAAGGTAGCTTCTCGAGGAGGTCGGGATACATAGCTGCAACGCAACTGGCATTGAAAAGAGTGGCAACGGCACCGGTAGCCACCGGGACGGCTGTTGAGTTGCTGGTATCACAAGTGTAATTTTGGGTGCCGCGACCGATAGCGACGTGCTTAAGCGTCAAGCCCTTGGAAGGAGCGGGAAGGTTCTCCGCAGCTGGGTTCATTAATACAGGCCCGAGTCAATGGCACGATGTTACTCACGAGAGATCATCTTAGCCTTAGACAAGTCGCAAATAGGTTCGGTGGACAAGTACTTCAGAGCTTGGACCTTGGTTGCGAGCAAGTTGAAGTACTCGGAAATGTCCTCAATATTACCTGGCAATGCGGCCTTGAGGTTTAGCGTAGGGTATGTAGGTGCCGCCAGGGCGAGGGATGCCAGAGCTGGCACTAAGATGTTGGAGTAGCGCATGATTGTCTGTTGGTATTCGTTTTGGAATGGAATGATGAAATGTAGATGCCGATGATTATGCTCGTTCTAGCAGACAAAGACGCGGCCCAACTTTAGGACTTGGAACTCGTAGGCGAAGAGAAGGGTGGGAAAAAAAAAAAAGTAAGACCAATAGTAACCTAGGATGAGAAATGATGAAAAAAAAAAAAGGAAACTCGTCTTGAGATATACGAGATAAGCCGTATGATGTTGAGCGACCGATTTTAAAGTAGTAGCAGGCTGTCGCTTCTAATATACCACACACAAACACCTTGCTCCTGGCGCGAAAGGACGACAACTGGCTGCTCCGTCTCTGCAGGGACCAGCTTACCAAGATCAGTGTGGTAATGTGGCTCTCAATGAAATGGCGGGGAGGGTGGCCAGGACCTTCCGTGGTGTGTGCGATGCAGAGTGGTTATTCGCAGCGTCCAGAGACCAAGACTGGCAGCCGCCATGCCATGTAACCGTACGGCAGCGGGAAGCGACGAGGATAAGTTGGAGGGGTTGAACAAGGGTGTATGAGTGGAGGACGAGATGCAAGAAATAGATGTGGATGGTTGAGATCTTCACTGGGGTCAGCAAGATGCAAGCGCCGGGCCCGCTGGACAGCCTGATACAGGTTGAATGACGGGAGACGTCTCCGCAGGCTTCAAGAAACAGTTGTGCTGCTTATCGCTGTGTTCATCGAAATCATGAAGTAAATTGATCTAGACATTGACGATAATAATCAGATGAACCCTCAGCATGTTCATAGTCAACTCCGTCCCGTCATCTAAATTCATACTTGCCAGTTTGCGCCTACATTATTACAGTCCATGGGGGGATAAGGGTTTTTTTTTTTTTTTTTTTTTGTGCAAGTAGGTAGGGCGGCTAGAGCCTGAAATAGGTCATCGCGTCAGCGCTCAAATATCATAGGCCGGCCGGGATTACTACAGCCGGAACGACCTTGTACATGTACCCGTTCTGCCGTCTTCCCCCAAGCTACGCGCCCACGATGCAGGTATCCGCTCTTGTACATTCCTTCTGCCGCGCCGTTATGTGCCGTTGTAGCCATCTCATTGGCCGTAGAGAATCGTCCCCATTTCGGCCGCATGAACAGGCCAGCGTCAACGGGATTCCGTCGAATCACTTGTCCCATTCGACATTGGGGTAGCAGCTCTTCAAGAAAAGATAATTATAGAAGATTCGCGCAGAGCTATGCGCCGTGGTTATTAGGCTTTTGCGCAGAGGCTTCCGGCACCTAGTAAACGGCTCAATCACTCGGTATACAAATAATCTGGTATCTATACTCTCGTGAGGTTTCACTAGTGCCACGATTTTCATACCACATACACATAGTCAGACGCCCAATCATACAACTGTAGCAGCAGATACTGCATACAAAGACCCGATGAAGCAAGGGCCGCTATTGCCGTCCCGTCATGGTCTCACTCTTCGTCTTCCTGGCCAGGATCGTAGTCGCTAGTGCCCGTTGAACCCTTCTTCATGCCAGTCGCCGTGACCATCGCCGGCTCCGTTAACGCGCCCGGCGCCCGCTGCGGCAGCAGCAGCTGCCGACTTTCCAAGATTGCTGGCGTGCTTCTCCACGTCTACCGTTCCCAGCCAGTATAGAGAAAAGAAAACTAGGAGATGCAGCGCGACACAGTATGCTGCAAACAAATTTCTGCTCGTTCGGGAAGCTAGCACCATCCGCGTCACCGAGTACACCACTCGCTCTGGGAAGCTCATCCTCTTGTATGCCCTAGCCGATTCGCGCCCTCGGAAAGCGGCAAACGGCGAAATGTTTGACTCGTACGCCTTGCGGTACCTGTCCATAGTGATGCCCGGGTTTCCGGTACCTCCAATCGACACGGTTGAAGGGTTTGGATTTGATGAGTATGCCGCCGAGGATGACGACGCTGACGGTCCAGCTCGATTGTATGTCGAGACATACCTTGTCTTCTCATACAGATTCAGGTTGTCCTTTTGAAGAGCAGATACCTCCTGTCGTAGCTGTGAAACAGTGCGGTGGCTGTCAGAAAGCTCGCCCTCTAGCTGGGCAATTCTTTTCTTAAACCGGTCCCGCTGGGCAGTGATCATTGGCAAGATGCCCGAACCACCACCCATTGGTTCTCCACCAGTTGTACGGGGATCTATGCCGCTAATAATAGACGATGTCGGTGACACCCTTCCTCCTCGTCGACCGGGTGCAACTGATGGAGCATAACGATTGAAAGTGCCCGCCACAGAAGCACCTGACGGAAAGGCGTTGGAAGACTCCGACTGCAGCGTAGCCAAGTCATTCTCCAGTCGCTCGTTCAACTGCTGCGACTTTTCGAGCTCCATGTTTGTCCTTGACATCTCCTCCTGCAAATCGGACAGCTTAGTCTGAAGATCCTGGTGGGAGACTCGCAGAATGGTTAGCTCGTCACTGAGCTTCTTGTTACGGGCTAGAAGCAGCTTCTCAAGCGTATCGCCTTGACTCTTGGCCTCGGCATCGTTGTCAGCAGCCTCCCGCACGTCGTCATCGTCGCCTGTGGAGAACTCAATACTCTTGAGAACTTCGAGCTCCTGCTTCACGTCGTCGTAATCACTCCATTTTTGGACCTTAGCTTTGAGATTGTCTCTTTCTTCCTTAAGCAGGCCGACTTCTCTCTCTAAACCACGCAGTCTACTGTCGAGGTCACGCTTTAGTCCTTCCTTCTCAACGCGAGCAGCGTCAAGCTTGCGAATAAGGGACGAGTTCTCGGACCGCATTCGCATGTACCCAGGATCATCCTCCAAAGAGATAGGCGCTTGAGCGGGCAAAGAAGACTTCGACTGTGCTAATTCCAGTCGCAGCTGCTCGTTGCGTGCTTCGACCTCTGCCAGTCTCGCACTTGTGCGGTCCAAGTCGGAGTGAAGCATTTCAATCTCAGCACTTGTGACGTGGCCGGCATGTCCTTCATGATCGCTATCATCAGTCTTTCCCAGTCGTTGGTTTACTTCGTAGCTCGCTTTGATCTCGTTAAGAAGGCGTTCCTGGTTTTCCACTTTTTCTTCAAGCGTTTTTTCCTTTGAAGCCCAGTTGTCCTTCTTCTCATCCAAGACAGCAATCCAGGAAGCCTCAACTTCCTTGACTCTGCTCTCCAGGTTACTTTCAAGTTCCTTCTTTACCGCAGACTCGGTCTGCAGTTTCGACTCGGTCTCTTCCAGCTGCGTCGTCAGCTTGGCAACGGACTGCTGCAGATGTTGATTTTCTTCCGTCAACTTTGGCAGGGTGTCTTCGGACACAAGCATCGAGTCAACGGATGCCTCGAGGAGGGGATATGGGTCGGGTGCATCGGACAAGGCCGTATATGCCTGGAGGAAGGCAGAGTTGATAGACTTGGAATGGTTCGTGAGGAGGTCAATGAAAGTTTGGTAGGCTGGCAACGGTCAGCAGGCACCATTAGACACGGCAGTAAACGCACCTTTCAACAAGCCCTTAACCTCGGACAGTTTCGTGGCATCATCAAGCTTCCTGAAGTCTTTAGTCTTCTGTGCCAATTCCTTCCGCTGGACGGTAGAGTCTCTCTGGTATGCGACAATCTCGGAGGCAGTGTTGTCGAGGTTCGACACGAGATTTGTGTAGTCGATAGCTGCTTTGATCAGTACGGTAAGCATATAAAAGATATCCGAGGTCTTCCTTACTTCTCCAAGCCGATATTGCGTGCTGAAACTTGTTGCCGCCGTCGGGAATCGCTGGGCCCGGCTTCTCGGCGGGTTGAGCGTTGGCGTCGGCGGCCAAGACTGATTCAACGAGATCTGCCATGTCTGCGATGGTATCGATGACAGTCACCAGCTCACTTCATCACTGACGGCCTGGAATAAAGACGCTGGGCCGGATGATGTCCTTACTGGTTAGAAGCATCTGCTGTTGAGCTTGTGTCGAAAATGTGTTTCGGCTGCGCTTTCGTTCGAGAACGTGTTCCCTTTCTGGGCAGCCAATCAATTGGCTGCGGACGGCATCTAGGGGTGCACAGGCAGCCAGTTGATCGCTTCCGTGTCCTGTGGAGCCACCCCAGACACGGCGCAGATGCTTGCGCGGGTAGGCCGTCCACTGTTGTCTTGCTGGTCGGGGACGTGCTTACGTAGGTACCTACGTAGTGTGCTGGGAGCCATTGGAGGATGCACCTGGCACCTTGAACCTGGTGTTACCCACTTGTCTTGGAGCTTCCCAGCCGCATAGGCATCGCATCACCAACTCAGCCCTGCTCGGGACCATAGCACTTGACAATGGCACAGCAGCACCGATGATTGCGCGACTGACCGAAAATGGCCTCCGAAGATCCAGACGACCAACGCTCGTCTGCGTCTGGGAGCTCCGACACGATGGTCCGCGATGACGCACCCTTTGTACTGCGTACACTTTTGGACGAGGTGCCTTTGTCTGCAGATGGTGTTCCAGACAGCGTAAAGATCAATTGCGTCGATTACCTAGGTAAGGAACCTGTTACCAAAGTGTATTCGCTTGCTGACTGCTATTCCGACTTAGAACACAACCTCTACGTTGGCACGAGCGCATCCGAATTGCTTCATTTTGTCCAGATCCCAGCTGATCCCGCCGACCGAGCCGGACGACCAGCCTTCATACTTGCTTCCAGGTTACGGCCGGCGTTCGCAGAGTCCAATAATCCTCGCCCAGGCGTCCAACAAATTCTTCTTCTGCCCAAGGTCGGAAAGGCCTGCATCCTTTGCAATTCGACTGTCACGTTCTATTCGCTTCCCGAATTAAGCCCTGTATTTGGAACAACTCAAGTGAAGAATTGTAATTGGGTTGGCGGCGTCGACTTAAATGACCCTCAAGATGATAGTGGTGACCCGTCATCTGGGGTATTCATCCTGCTCTCGTTGAATAGAAGGATTCAGGTGGTGAAGATTGGAGAAGTCGCGAGAGCTGTTAAGGTAAATGGTGCACTTCTTCACTTGTAACCATGACTGACCAGTTCAGAATATCGACGTCCCAGGTACTACTATATCAGTCCGCAGGGACTCCATTGCATGCGTGGCAGATAGTAGAAGCTATTCGTTACTCGACGTCGACAGACAGTTACGCATTCCGCTAATGACTATATCGTCGTTGGACGATTCACAGCCCGCAGGGGAAATTGGCCAAGCCCAGGACATCGCGGGTAGCGCCGATGGCGGAATTTTAAGAAGCGTGTCAGCGGTCCAGAACCGTCCCCTTCTGTCTGCTGGTGATCCCCATGGACACGCTAGAAGCACAAGTCTCGGTGGCATCCTCAGCGGCCATAGAGACCAGAGCCCTCGAGGAGCGGATGACCGTGTACTCCAGGGATCATTAGTCCCGACTCCCTCTACAAGTCCTCGGCCAGCGGCTGAAGCCCAGGTGCCGCCGCCATCATCATCGGATAAGCCTTTGCCTGCTGCACCAGGTGCCCAGGCCACTTTAACCAAACCGACGCCCGTCTTCTTGAAGCCTCACATCGTATCCCCCACCGCTGAGGAATTCCTACTAGTTACCGGCACTAGCCCGTTAGAGCCCGGTATTGGCATGTTTGTGAATTTGGACGGTGACCCTACGCGGCCCACAATCGAGTTTGATAGATATCCTAGGGAGGTTGTAGTAGACGGGGGATTGTCTGACCTTGCATCGTCAAAGTTAGTTCTAGCCGATGAGGAAGAGGGCTATGTACTCGCGTCTATGACTAAGGATTCTGGGAAGGGCCTGCGTCACGGGTTGGAAATCCAGCGATGGGACTCTGACGGCACCGAGCCCCAAGCCTCAAAGTGGTGGCTAGAAGCGGACTCTACAGTCAAAGGTGAGACAGCTCCTTTAGGAATCAGGGCTCTCATGGGAACCGACGAGACACATTTCGAGGAAATCATCGACAGATTATGTCAGAGAAAGTTTTCGCCATTTTTTGGTGTTGAGTTTGAAACCACCATGTTCTCCCCAAGGAGCGCGGACTCCCGTACGGCATCGTCACTGGAGCGAGTGTCGAAGGAGCGAGAGCTTTTCGATCGCGACGCAGACTCTCAAGAAGAGGACGCCTTGCCTGAAGGATGGGAAGCGAGTCGCAATGCGGAAGAGGAGGACTTCGCAAGACGACTGGCAAATGCGAACTCAAGGATAGCAGTGTGGTCAGGCGACCACATCTGGTGGGCGATCCGTAACCCCATGCTACTGCGATTGGAGGCGAGACTGGAAGCTGCATGCGAGCAAGATGGCGTTTTTAACCCTGCTAAGCTCGAACGACACGCCATCTTCACCATTTTAAATTCATTTAGAGGCCAGGACGCAAAGTCGGAGCTTGAGTTTATTACGTTCAGCTATCTGCGGCAACGAGCTGGTGTTTTGCTCCTGACCAGCTTGCTTCACGTGACAGAGGTACCTTTCTCTGACCCTGAATTGAAGGCATTGGAGGAGGTTCTGGTGGACAGTAGTCTTGATCCCCGGGTCGTCCTTTCACTGGTCCCTGGGCTGCGAAATGAAATTGTTGAGAGCCGGAGAGGCATCTGGATCTTTGGCGGTGTTAAAAGGACAACTGAAAACTATTTGGAAAGTGAGTACTTTCAAAAAGGCAGCCACACGATCAGCAACCTCAACACCGAGGTTATGGAGTTCTTGCGTCGGTTCCTAGGGGCATGGCGGAAGAAAAAAGGCTTCGGTAGTGTGGCAGACGAAAGCGAAGTATTCCGAACGGTCGACGCTGCCCTTCTGTTGGTCCTTCTCGAGCTCGACCAGAAATCACCGAAGGGTCTAGCGAAAAGAAGCTCCTCCGTCAGATCAGAGCTTTACGACGTTGTGGACAAGGGAGTCGACTGTTTTGACAGGGCCGCAGGGCTCTTAGAAACGTATCATCGTCTCTTTGTGCTCAGCCGTCTATACCAGAGCCGCAAGATGGCAGGTGATGTGCTCACCACTTGGCGCCGCATCATTGAGGGGGAGCGGGATGACGGCGGTGAGTTGCGTGATGGTGAGCAGCGCGTTCGGGAATACTTGACAAAAATCAGCAGTCAGGCGCTTGTTCGCGAATATGGCGTCTGGCTCGCAAGCCGCAACCCCAAACTGGGCGTGCAGGTGTTCGCCGAAGACAAGGGTAAGGCTCCCAAGTTCGAGCCCGCGCAAGTGGTGGAGATCCTGCGCGAAGAGGCACCCGATGCTGTCAAATACTACCTGGAACATCTCGTCTTTGGTAAGGGCCACACAGACTACGTTAATGATCTCATTGCGTATTACCTAGACGTTGTGATCACCGACCTCAAGTCGTCCCAGGAAAGCCGCGAGGCGTTTGCCAATACATATACAGCGTATAGGGCTCTTCAGGCGCCCAAGCCAACATACCGGCAGTTCCTCACAGACAACGTACCGGCAGACGATGAGGTCTGGCACAGCCGGCTGCGGTTGCTACAACTGCTTGGCGGCGCACACCATTATGATGCTGCAGCCATCAGGGAACGTATTGCGACTCTGCCGGACGAGCTCCTTGTTCCCGAGACCATCATTCTCGACGGGCGAGAGCGACGCCACGAAGATGCTATTCGGTTGCTTGTACACAAGCTTGGAGATTACCATACAGCCGTCTCATATTGTCTACGTGGGGGGTCAAGCATCTACACACGCCCTGATGGCAGACGGGAGAGTACCCCAACGCACGAGATGCAAGCACGACTTTTTCGCGCGGTTTTAGGCGAATTCCTCGCCATCGAAGACGTCAGTGACCAGATTGAGCAGACGGGTGCGCTGCTTGAACGTTTTGGTGGGTGGTTTGATGTTGAGGACGTCCTAGCGGTCATTCCAGATGAGTGGTCTGTTGACGTCGTAGCCGGCTTTCTAGTGACGGCACTGCGGCGCATCACGCAGGAGCGGCACGAGACGGCGGTGACCAAAGCTCTGAGCTCGGCAGAAAATCTCAGGGTCAACCACGACCTGATTGTTAAGGTGGATGAAAAGGGCCCGTCGATCGAGGCACCCAACTAGTATTGATTTGTAGCGTGGATAGCAACCAATGGCATAATGACTTGAAGACAATGTTTGTTCAAATGTACTATAGCCTTAACATGATGCACCAAAGATTTGAGGGGAGCGCCCGCTACGGATACCGACCAAGGCCTATCGGAGGAGGCGGGCATAAAGCGGCTGTGTTAGTCGTGCCAATAGCTGGCTCGCCAAACTGTCGAACGACCGTCTCGTCTCTCCTTTTCTTTGCTATACTTTCTTGTTGCTATTCCGTCAAAGTAAACGAGTGAGACAGTTCCCTGCGACCGCAAAACATACAGGATAATGTAGTTTCAACCATAACCCCGAATACGTGACACTGTTATCATCACTAACGAATGCCTGACATGACGATTTCGCACACGCACATCCTGAGCTTGGCTATCGCCTACAACGTCCGCTCGTTCAAACCTCACAAGCCGAGCCAGTCGCTGTACGGACACTTGACACGTCATGCATACACTGGATGTGCTCTTACTTTAGCGATCAGTAATCATATAGTGGTCTGTCTCAAGCCTGTAGGTCTGGATCTTATAACTGAGTCCCCGGAAGGAATGAAGAAAGGATGTGTTAGGAGCAAAGGGAAGAATGTGTTGATCTGTGGCTGGCCACGCTTGAAAGTAGTACCGCGTGCACATGGGGGAGCACGGAAAGAAAGTCGACATGTTAAGAAAATTTCAAACAAAAAATAAAAATAAAAATAAAAATAAAAAGGTCAAGGGACGAAGGGATCCAGAGCACACAATGTTGTGCTTGACAGAGAGGGCACTCGCATACTGATTATTGCCAAATTCCCCTAACAAACTGGCTCATTCCCGCATCTCTGAAGGCATGTTGTTGTACTGTGTGTGTGGCCCCTCCAAGCGCCAGCCCAACTTCGGCCGTAGCATTCAACTACTCAAATACTTCAGCCATGGTTGAGTCAAAAGTGCTTACGCATCAGAACGCGTCAATGACACACGATCGTCAAAGTGCGCCGTGTTTGACCAAACGGGCTCAGTACATGGTTGGATCAAGCCACCTTTGACCCGAGAAGCCAATCAGGGGCGGTAGCCGAGCACAATCCAGCTGAAAGGGCGGGTCCTCAACTCAGCCGCACCAGAGAATGATATGGACTCCAGGGACGAGCTAGCTGTTATCGTGTAGGCGCTGGCCTTACTATAGTACAAGAGCAAAAGTTCCCCCGAGAAAACGTCCTCAGCTGAACGTGCGTGCCTTAGCCTTGAATGATTTGAGAAGACGGGGCGGGGAGGGAATGAAGCATTATAGATGGAGGTATGACGTCTGTCTGTCCTGCGATTGCAGAATATAAGTGAGCACTTTACGCACCTCACACATCAGCGGCGCCCTTGACCACTCGCTTCAAGACGCCAATAACCAGCCAGCGCTTTCGAATGGTGACATCTTCGATGCCGCGATCCCATACCCACTCCCGTTCCTCGCCGTCGCAGTCCCGTTCCCAGATGCTTTCGATTTCCAAACCAGCATCGGCCAGGGCCGCCTCCTCGAAGAAACCACGCATCTTGGGCCTTCCGGTGTGAAAACCAGCCACGACCCAGCAGCGGGCTTCCGGACTGTCTCGCAGGAACCAGGAGATGGACTTGTGTAGGTTTGCATGCTGCCACGGCATCCACAGGCAATCGGCAACAAATACGCGATCGAATGCATTCTTGTTGGCGACGGAGAAGGGGTCGTCAAGCTCGCCCCACGAATGCCCTTCAACCAGGACTTCTTCGGCAGTGAGAGCGCCGGTTGGGGAGACGGCAGCGCTGATATTGCGAGCGGTATTGGTGCGGAGTGTCTTGAGCACGGCGGGGGCGGGGTAGTCGGTTACAGCGGTTCTTTCGGCGCCCAGCAGTGCGGACATGATACTCGGCAGCGCGGTACCGGCTCCGAGCTCGATGGTGGTCAGACCGCGGACGTCGAAATGCGACACGGGCGGGCCTAGCTGCATCTTCACTGTGTCCAAGCCCAAGGTACCAGCCTCGACAAACTCGCCGAGTTGTAGACTTGCGTTCCACAAGTAATGGCTGAAGAGCTTCCGGTCGTCATCGGCACTGGGCTCGGCAAGGTCGAAGCGCAACGGCCTGCGGATGTGCGGAGAGGCGTACTCAATGCCGTGGTCAGCGTCCCCGTGCTGATTGGTGACGTCGTCTGGGAAGATGACACCTAGGGAGCTGATGAGAAAATCCTCCGGGGACTCTGCGGGCGGTCCGACCAGGCGGATGCGGGATGTGAGCGCCATGACGACGGGGGATGGGATGTAAGAGCGCCGGGGTACGAAAAGGAGGATCAAGATACCACCACGGGGAGAGGCTTGGCTACCGAGACTCCGGGCGGGATGCTGCAGGCCGAGACGGGAGGACGGGGGGAAGAGGCCAGGGACCGAGAGATTGCGATTGCGATTGCGAGGGCGAGCACCAATACGAAGCCGGCAATGTGTGTCGAAGCGGCGCGGTAATCCCAGATGCTTGAAGTTGCATTGGTAAAAGTTACGCAACTTGAAGGGGAAATTTCATCGCGTGCGCACACTTGTGGAAGGAGGGGGAGGGGCAGAAACGACGACAATTCTGACAAAACGAAGAGCGGGGATGTGCCCCGCTGAAGACAGACCTACACCTAGTGCGTGTACAGCACCCCTTTACTGTTCCCATGGCGGGTAGGTATAACCAGTGACGAGAGGGCACTGTTTTCTCCGCGAGCTGGCCCACGCCATTGTGATAGGGCTTCCGCTGTCCCCCAGGCAAGCAAGTGCCAACCATTATTGCCGGCACCTTCGATTGAGCCGTATCACGGCATGAAAAGATGGAAAACAAGAGGGGCTTAGGCCTTTGAGGCCGTGTAAGTCTGTTTGTTTTTTTTTTCCTTTTTCGTTAGGGCTATATGCGGATACTGCCGCTCCACCGCCACATAGCCACGTTGTTTCTGTTGTTCTCCCTCGCATTCAATTGCACCGCCCCCAACCCCACTAATAAATCTCATAGCGGTGTGTGTGTGTGTGTGTGTGTGTGTGTGTGTGTGTGTGTGTGTGTATGTGTTTGTCACGTTGTGCATACCGTAACCAAAAAAAAAAATCTGTGCCTGTTTGCCAGAAAGAAAATTTAGGTAAGCTTCGCTTCGGTTACGGGTACCAACCGCCGCTCCACATCCCCTAGGCTGCCACCAAACAAATAATGCCCCTTCCGACTGGCATAACTCGCTCGGTCTTACCGGAAGGCTGTGTGCTGTACCTCCTACCCAATAGTTGCAAGCTACCCAGTGTAACACACCAGTGTTAGGTGCAACTACCAACTGACATAACCTGTTGTTTCTGCTACCACCCACCACTGAATTGTGTATGCATGGCTATTTTCGCTTCGGGTCATCCTCGCAGGGCCTGTCGGTCCAACCCAGATCCCCGACCGATTCGTTTAATGAAGTCATCCTCTTCCCTTCCCCCCGGTCTGTCATTTACGTTCAGGGCTGGCTTTGAACCCGTGACCCCCGTCTTTGACAAGGGCAAAGAGCGGGCCAATTGTTTCAGGTGTTATATGGCTGCCTGTTGATGGCTTATTTACTCACTCCCAAGGATAATACGATTATCCGGATTCGGCAAATGCTGGCTGCTTCTTCGGCTGCAGGCAATGGCCGGCATATGGCTGTGGCAGGCCATCAAGGCGAAAATGGGCCAGTCAATGATGAAATGAGAAGAGCTTCGTATTATACGATAGTGCCTCTAAGATTTAGGGTATCAACCAGTACACCTTTGGCGGTGCAGTACATGAGCCAATCCGTTCCAATCATGAATCCCAATGCTAGATTCCCACGTAACCCAGTCATAGTCCAAAAAAGAAAAGAAAAAAAAAAAAAAAAGAAAAAAAGCGTGCGCCAGCCAGCCATGCTCCAAACATCGAATTTTGCCGCCGTTGCTCCGTGTCGTATAGTGAATGCCAAATGTAGATCCCTCCGCCGCCTGCCATTACAGCGCCGCTTAGCAGCTCTCGAGCATGTCATGCATCTGCTGAATCTGCTCTTTCGTGGGGTCGTCAGAGATCCACGGCCCCTTCTCTTCATCCGTCGCACCGAGGAAGCCCTCGGCACGCTTCAGCGTCTGTACGTCCAGGTCCGTCACGTAGCTCGCGCCATCCGACAACTTAATGCGCACTTCATGATCTGTTGAGAGCATCATGTCATCTTTGGCCAGCCGCCGTGGACCGTCAAACACAGCCATGACACGCTTCTTCATCGTCATCTGGCCCTTATCGAAGCCCCAGGATGAGGGGTAATCGCGGCGATTCTTGCGTCCCTTCGTCTTGACGGGGATGGGGCCGCCGCCGCGGGAGTGAGTGAGGCCGCGTGACTTTTGCACGCCGTTGACTGGATTGCTCTTGCGCTTGCTCGGCGAGTTGACGCGGTTCTTGCTGTCCTCGTCATCCTCTTCGTCCATGTCTTCATCGTCGTCTTCCTCTGTCGATGATGTCTGCGTCTGCGTAGGCAAGTGGTTTTTCTCCAACGTCTGGTGTACCTCCTGATCGTTCTCGACCTCGGCCAGGCGCTTCGCGTTAATGGCCTCGGCAGGGTCCTCCTGCTGCACGATACGCAACACGCAGTCGTCCAAATGCTCGTAGAAGTCCTGGGCATTGGAGAATGTCTGCGAGCAGGTCGAACACTTGCCAGTAGCATCGGGAGGGTAACCAGCGAGTTTCTTGCCACTGTTGGAAGTAGTGCTCTTCTTCCGACTATTGGGTGGTGTCTGTTCGACACCATGAACAGCCGTCAGATGACGCTTAAAGACGTCGGCGCGGTTGAACGACTTCTCGGCCGCAGAGCCGGACCCGGGACAGAAGCCGCACACCATCGTACCCTTGTAATGGGTAAGGGTGTGGCGGTTTTTGTCGTACTTTCGCGCGAAACCCTTGATGTGGTAATCACAGGTCACGATCGGGCACTTCTCGGGACGCTCATTCTGATGAGTAAGCATATGAGCCTTCAAATCTTTGAAGGTCTTGCCGCACTCGGGATGCGGGCAACGCTGCTTCTCCTTGGACTCATCTCCGCTGTAGGCGTTGCCGTCTGAATAGTTTGAGGGGAACGAGTGGAGGCTGGGGCGGCGTGCATCTGCGGGCGTGGCATAGGGGCTGAACTGCTGCTGGAAGCCGCTGTGCATAAAAGGCGATTGACTGCCGTTCCGGACCATGGATTGGGACGAAGCGGACAGCGCGGGTGACGCAGGATATTGGGGATGGTGGAAGTTGGGATCGAAACCCGGCATCGGCATGGGACGGCTGATGTCGGGGTGGATGAGAGAGGGGTCTGTGGGAAAACGACTGGTTAGCACTTGGAACCCTTTTTTTTTTTTTTCCAAAATAAATTTTGTTTTGTTTCTTGGGCATAGACGGTGTTGTCTACAGAGGAAAACCAACAAGAAGAACCAAGAGGAGCGATAAAGTGGCCGCTGCTCTGAGAAAAGAAAGTAGATACCCGCGGCGTTTTCGGTGAGATACTCCAGGCTGGCGCCGGGGGCGAAGAGAGAGAAGTAGAGCTGGGAGAGACAAAAGTCGCGCTCGACTTGCGCGACGCGGGAGACACGGGTGATGAGGACAGATGTGTATCCAAGACAAGCCCGGACTCGCGCACAGGACAGGGGGAGACAGCAGTCTCGTGCGAAGCAGAAGAAAAAGAAACCCGCTGAGGGGCTGCGAAAGAAGATGATCTAGAGACGGTCTGTAACTCACCCACAAAACCCGGGGGTTTGGTGTTGACAAAGTCGAAAGCTGCGAAGTCCTCCATACCTTGGCCGGAGTAGGTCGAGTACTCAGTACCCGCGGTGTTGTAGTAGTCGTGGGGTACAATGCCCGGGGTGACAGCGATGCCGGGATGCGCCCATTCGGGCACTGGCGCCGGCTGGTCATAATGCGACTGCGGCGATCCAACATTGGATGAGGTGGCCGAGGGCGCGGAGGTTGTGGAGAGATTGGACGAGGGCAATTGAAAGTCGCCTTCCTCGTAGAGGCCAGGAGATGTGCGGCCCTGGTAGACGAAGCTGGGCTCGTAGATGGGAGAAGCCTCCATGGGCATGGAAGTCGGGAACATGTAGCTGACGTCGGCAGGGATGCTCATTTCAATGGGCGCCGTGGTAAAAACTCCTTGGGGGGGTTCGGGGTAGAGAATGTAGTCGTCGTGCTCAGAGCCCAAATGCTTAGAGAGCACGTTATATGACTGATCTATCGATACCATTGTTGCGGCTGTGGGTTGGGAGGTGGCAATGGGATTGTGGTTGATTTATAGGGTTGGACGTTGTCGCGGGTTGTCGAGCAAAGCCACAGATGAGTGTTATGCTGCCACTGCTGTCGCTGCCCGTGTTAGTCGTCTGTCCTTTTCTTTCTTGGGTGCCTCCCAACTGCTGCGCTGTGCTGCGCCTGCTTTCAAGTGGGGCTGATGAGCGCACCTGCAGCGATGTTCATGCCAGCGGCGTGTCCGCGCGTAAGACCCCGAGGATCTGGATGTTTAGAGACGCTTCTTTTCCGTTCCCAGCTTTGGGAAGATGCCGTGTAAGTGGGATGAGAGCGCGATGACGACAACTGGTTGCAAGATGAAGCCTTTTTTGCTGAAGGTGAGTGATGGTTGAAAGTGGTAGGTCTATGTCAACTGTCGTTTCTTGAAAGCTCTCTTTCTTTCTGTCCTAGCGAATCACTGCCGAAGTAGGATGAGCAAGGGCGGGATGGAACAGCTGATATATATGTTTTCAAACGGCAAGAGACAGAATAGTCGTTGGCTTGGGCTTTGTTGAAACCAAGAGTCTGGTACTGATAGAGATGAAGACCGATGGGGGCGGGAAACAATCTTGTAGAGTCTTTGGGGGCCCACGACTGATATAGACCGGCCGAGAAGCCGCGCTGGGTATCGAAAGACACACGCAACTTTGCAGACTGGGGGGCACATGGGTTGTGGACGGCCGTGGCTGGCTTGTTGATGGCACTTGGGGCCCGGTGGATGCGGATCGCTCTCCCCTCCACGCAGTAAACGACAACACCCCCCCCCCCCCCCCCCCCAGGCTAGATGGGCAAGGGACCAGCACCCAGGGGGCGGAGGAGAGGTCCTGCACTAGGGACTCGTAGGGCAGAGCAACAAGCAAGCAAGCAGCAGTAGCGGCAACAGCAGCGAGGCGGTACAGCGAGCAGCAGGGGTCAGGGGTGGTGTAGTGGTAAGGGGGGTGTGGGTGTCATCGCCGTGGGTGTGTGGATGTGAAATGGGTGAGAATAGCGGTGGCTTTTCCCCTCGTTCGTTCTTGTTGTTCCTCCTCTACCACTGCCTCTGATTTTGCTCCATGGATACCTCATTTAGCGCAAGATACGCACGAAAATGAACTAGTCGAAGATGACCTGGTTGGGGCTGGGCTAGGGTGCCGGGTACTAGAGCCACGAAACAACCCCATTCCAGACTCGGCCTTTGACTTGGGTGTACTTTGGAAGGGGGGGTGGGCTTGAGCTGCTCGTCGACTCTGCCAGTAATGCGGGATAACCAAGATCTGTCTCTGACCTGGTTTCTCATTTCTATCCGTCATGCCTCTGGGCCGTCTGCCGCGGTGGTGTGCGACAGAGACAGGCAGTAGTAGGCTTTGAGCAAAAGAAAAAGAACTTTGAGGACCAAGTAGGGCAATGATAACGACCACAAAATGGATGTGGAAAGCAAGCAAGCTGTTGACACCGCGGTCAAAGCTGTCCATAGCGGGTTCACGATACCTTTGCCAGTGGTGGCCTCCCACAGCACTGGCCGTCCGCCCAATGCCACGCAGTATGATGGCTGCCAAAGCCCCCTTCGATAAGCACCAGTCGAGCCAGCCAGGCCCACCAGGCCCCAGCAGCTTGGGCCTTTCTTGACTCCCCAACACAAAGAAGCCCCGTACATGATACTTTCCGTGGATACAGGTGACTCCCCCTCTCCCCCTCTCAAGTAGAGTTGTGTCCAGGCCTTGTGGCTTGAACCCCCTGGCGGCTCAAGGCTCTAGTGAGCGCGATATTATCCAACAGGGGACCCAGTTGAGACAGGCAGCGAGTGTTCAAGGCAAGGTACTGTACGCAACATGCCCAAGATTTGATTGACTTGCCCTGTGCCCAGTTGAACATGTCCTCTGTGTGTGGTTCGGTCACCGGCAGAGGTTAGGTATCCAGCCGTTCCTCCGCCAGTCAGAGGACGTCTAGGACACCAAAGTCTGCATCGTGGTTCACAGCCGTGATTGGGCCTCATCGCGACGAAATCCTATCGAGCCGTTCTGCTCATGGACGCTGCCGAAACCAGGCTTCAGGGCACAACGCGACACCGGCTTTAACAAAGCCTGCCGCTTTCGCTTGCTTCATCCTCCAGTTCATCTTCTTTCCCCCACGAACAAAATGTTATGCGCCATATTTGGAACTCGTTAGTCAACAAACAGGTAGTATTGGGGACTTTTCTGCCCTCCCAAGGGCAAAGGCTAACGGAAAGTTTCTTTTCTTTGAGCTCCTCACATTTGACGGCCTCGCAAAAGCCCAGTTGTAAGTTTTAAGAGCTGGAGCAGGACACGCGATTTCCTACATCTGCTATGCTAGTAGTGGGAAAGCAATGACAGCCCCTGAAAAAGAAACACCATAGCCATTGGGCATAAGGAGGTATTCTGTACCATGCCACACTACGCTCCCAAGAAAAAGAAAAAAAGAAAAAAAAAAAAAAAAGGCTCGCTCAATGAGCCATAGCCCGCCCCCTTTCGACAATGATAACCGAATGGGTATGAACAGCCAGTCGCCTTTGCTAGCGTTGTCAAGGCTGCCGGTGTGCGTCTGACATCCCCCGTTCTGGCCTGGTTGTTGCGTTTGTTGCCCTTGAAAAGGCATAACCCTCCCCAAAAGTGGTTCATCATGTGCGATTAGGAAAACCAGGCATGACTTGGTAGGGCTTTGTGGAGGCTCTGGCGGAAGGGTAGGCTGCGTTGCTTAGTTTGGATTATTTTTATTCACTGCATACTGCACTCTGCATACTGGCTGCGCTTCTGCTGTGCTGGGTGTGGCATCCCATCACGTTATGGAGATGTGTCGGACCAATGAACAGCATCTTTAAACTCTCCCCACGCTTGCAGACGGTGGCTGCACCAGGTCCGAGCCAGGGCCGCCTTCGAGTTGTTGGTGTGCACAGCCCGGCCTCATCCGTCCCTCTAGCTTCGAGTTGTCAGTCTTTTGCATTGGAAGGGCAGGCTAGTTACCCGTTGGTGGTGCCTGGTGTGTGGGTTGCACTGGCGACTGGATACAGCGACGCAGCCTGTGCCTCCTCGTGAGATAATGGGTTGCTGTACGAACGGAGAGATTCTACACACTTGTGTCTCTGATCAACCACTGGACGTTACTGGCGCTCCATTCTGGGCAAGGATGACGCTGCGTGTCAGCATCTTGTTTGCATCACCGCGTCCCGAAACGGCAACATGCCAGCTCAATTGTGTCAAGCCCTGCAATTCTAATGGGCGAAGGAGCTTACATCGCACATGTCCGACTGGCTGAGGAGCGGCCCACCGTCTCTATCGAGCATTTCTGTCCGCAGGCGCAGACACCAGTTCCCAACCAGAAGGTTGTGACCCTCAGTCAAGACCGCGATTCCCCAAATAGAGTTTCAACCAGTCAATTGCAACTTGAGTCTCTTGTCTGTGATGCCATGCCAATCCGGAGTGGTGGGATTGCTAGCTCGCTCAGGGTTCAAACGTTGAAAGGTTCCAGAGTCAATCGGTAATAGTCATTGCACGCTAAGCATGCGCAACACGGCACCACTCTTTGGGGGCGTACGTCGACCACTCAATGGCCACACTTCGAATTGGCCCGCGCCGAGACTGCATCTTTGGTGCAACCGGCCTCTTGGGAAATGTATGTGCGACTGGTGGGGACGGGTCTGAATTCTGTGGTGGTTAGATGCTTCTCTCCAATCTTCACCCATGCCACCAAGCACTTTGCTGTCGTGAGACATGAAGCTAATTGCAAGCTTCAAAGCTTCATTCAAGATATTATTTACACATCCTTCCAATGTGGCTGTTTGGTCAGTTTCTAAGTCGCGCCCTGCAGTTTTGTTGATCTGGCGCCTTCTCGTGACTACTGGGCCGCCCATCTCAGGCCAAAGGCAGGCACCAGATGGGAGTCGTTAAAGACTGTTGAATCGTGTCGAATCACCCATCGGGGGTTAGAGGACCAGAGGAGCAACATCGTCCGCCTCCGGTACCAGACAATACTGGCCAATTCAAGCGAGAGAGCACATAAATTGAGAACTAAAGCTCTTCGCTAGTCTCCCTAATTTACGGCCGTTGTCGCACGAGCACGCGGCAAAACCCTCTCACCGAACGCACAGGCTTAACGATGTTGCTTCTCGCCAAGTCCCTGGTTCTCGGGGAGTGACATTGTCGAAACCATGGTTAGCCTGGCTCGCGATATCAGTCGAATTCAGAAGTAGCCGCATAGGAGACGTTTCGTTTGACGAGAATTCACACGCTATTGCCTCAAGCATCTCGCGTCGTGGGTCGTTGGCCGGGGGCAACATACAAGCCGTACCCTTTGGGGGGATCAAGTCGTCTCCCCACCTCAAGAAAGCCGACAAGAATCGGTCGGCATGATCCAATACCGTCCGTCGAGACATGGAGCCTGAACGGGAATAGCGTTGGCTCACTTATCCAAGACTCCTGTGTGAGTCTTTCTATTGGTGCTTTTACGGAACGCACCATCCTTGTTGTGGAGGTAGCCAAAATCTTTAAAAAGAAATCCAGGAGGCGGTGCTACCCTGGCTTGCGCTCACCAGCCCCGATGAACCCCAAGGGTTGCTAGCAGTACACAGAGTTGGCATGGGCAAGGGTGTTGTTCAGAGACATTGTCTTCCCCCAATGTTTTATGCTCGTGGCACGTACTGGCCCTTGGCAAGTTCGATTCCGTCCCGCTTTCCTGGTAAACATGGAACGCCTTACCGACACGAGCTCTTGTCCCCAGGAACCCTGCGGTCATCAAACATAGCAGCATGCTGAAAGTCTTCATGCACTATGGAAGTCTCTATTTGGCAGAGGAGCCGCGTCTCTCAAAGTCTTTCCACAAGGACGTGCTTGCTCCGTCATGCGGTGCCTGGCGGTCTCTTGTCAAAAGCGTATGGGTTCCCTCCGGCCCAGGCAAGCGTATCCTCGAAGACGGGAGAAACCAATCACAAAGTCAAAATGAGCCGATATGTGTTCGCCGACGCTTGAAGAGGTCGCCGAAAACTCAGGACCAACGTCTGATGCGGCGTCTCATTAGCACATTTCCACGCCGCCCCTTCCCCCTCCGAGACTACGGGACGTTTACGGTGCCCTAGGGACCTGCCGAAAAAGTCCTCATGGTTCTCTTGTTGGCGCCCCTGCAAACGTCATGGAATCTTTGCACTCGCGTGCCTTTACCTCAGACAAGGCAATCCGTAAATGAGACTTTAGTTTAGAGAGTCGACGCTGACCAACAGAATTAAAGTCTCCGAAGTCTCCAACCCGTTGCATGCAGTTGTTTGGTGGCTTGCTGAAATGGCTCCCTTAGGCTTCTCGTGTGTCTTGTCTTGTATAGAGCGAGTCCCAGGCACGGGGGAGGGATGCCATCGTTGGAGTGTAACCACCCAGCCGGCGTTGGCTGAAGAGATATGCAGCGCACATGCCGCTCGTGTGCCGCCCAATCACCTGTAGGGGTTCCACACTCTGGGGACGTGTTCCAGCTCCGCGGTGCGTCTTGTCAATTGCAGCCAGTTCGCATCCCGAGAAAGGCATTCAGGGCGCTCAGCCCTACAGAAGAACAGCTCCATATCGAATGTCTGGCCCAGTCGGCCGGTGATCCCTTGCTGTCGTCCAACGGAGCCTCTTCCGCCCCTCAGGGGGCTACTTGATTCAGGAGTTGAATTTACGCATCAAAGCGTGGTGAAAAATCTGTCGCACACTACTCCGTATCATCAGGGCGAAATTGGCTCTCAAATGCAGGGAGAATGTTGCGTTTGAGGCAAAAAGGCGCCAGCCGTGGCCCATCGGCCTCTGACTGGCTCACCAAGCACCACGTATCTCGCTGGCAATTTTAGCGTCCGTTGCACTGGCTTGATATTGGCCGATTGCCGCCTCCGATACCGAGTCCTCAGGGAGTCTCATTGGACCTGCTGAAAGTGCACTTCTGTCGAGGATAAGGGGGGGACATTGCCGTCTGATCCAGCAGAAGAAAAGAGATTCTCGGAGAGGTAAGAATCACGACTGCCGACGATGGGGCTCCCGCTGCTGGCCTATGCTGGTCGGGTCAGCATGGGCCGGGGCAGTTTGGAGCGAATGGGAGACCATAGTTTGCCCTGAGCAAAACACGACTATTGAAGCCAAGCCCAGGGCCGCCAGGTCAGTAAGTAAGCAGTGATATCAATAGGCGAGGTGGGTGTCATGACCCGATCCGACTGTGCCACTCAGGTGCTGCATCGATGTCTCTACGCCCCCGATGGTATCCTATTGAAAGCTTTGGTTCGTATAGCGATCCCATGACGGCACGGCAGGCTGCCATGCAATGTTGAAATGACAGGCTGCCTCGGCAAGTGAGGAGACGTCCACCATCGAATGAGACCATCTTAATGGAATGGAAGGCAATACATCTCGTTCAGCTTGGCATACTCAAGCCAACCGTGCGTGGTGCTGCCATTGCAGCGTGATCCATGACGGAAAACAGAGCCTTCGCCGGACTTAGTATGGACGGCGATTGTGTGTTGCAAAACAAGCAGCGTGGTGGCGCATGAGAGATGCAATGCACGCTGGTACACCACATTGAGGCTTGCCTAATGATGTTGCGGAGACAGGAGGTCATAAGAAGGCTGGTCATAAAGAGATGAGGTAGGTTTGGGCCGGATCAGCACTCGAGATAGGCTATGTATGGCAGCGTCCAACGCTGTAGGAGGTTGAGTGTAGCTGGAGAGCACTGGATACCATTGGGATTGTCGATGCTACCGCAACTGGACGCCCGGCGGCCAAGTATATTGTGTCCAGGTCGCCGGGTACAATCTCCACCTTTCAGGTTGATTTTATTAATTGATTGATTGTTTTTCATTTGTTTATTAGTTCCATAACCTTTGCGGGATGCTATGGCTTCATTTTTACTTTCGTTTTTATTTTATTTTTTAGCTCCGTTCTTGTTCAATAGAAATGGAATGAGAATGAGCCATGCCCGCCTGGTTGGAACTCGCTTGCAGTGGCGTGGCAGGAGGCATGGGGAAGCACTGACCCTACATATTTTGCCAGCAGGTGCTTGCTCACCTCTGCAAGAGACGGGAGGCAGATACTCACAAGCTGCTGGTGTGTGTGTGTGTGTGTGGCTGATGGCACTAGCCTGGATGCCGGGACGGGCTTGAAGCATAGGGCTGAGCCTGCCATCGTTGTGCAGGTGCAGGTGTAAGTGCAGGGAAGGAGGATGAAATGAATGCACACCGAACTTTATGTCCAATTACAGGGCATAACCGTGGAAGTACGTACTTCCCTTGCTTCTTTCCCTGTGTGTTTCTTTTGCTCTCCCCGTATTTGCAGATAAGGCCTTCCTATTGGCCATCCCCCCGCTGTAGCCGGCTTTAGACGATGCAACCTTGTTGAAAGATGTATCGGGTAGCGCTCAAGACCTGCGCGGAACTCAGGGGAGGGAAAAAAAGTCATGGCACATTTGTCTTCCTCAAATACGGATATGGTCTGTGGCAACGCAGGATCAGAGGAGCGACGCCACGACCATTCATTTTTGCGGCCTGGCGATCCTTCATCAGGACCCTTGGTAAAATTCTTTCTTTTCTTCTCCCTCCGTGACGCAAGTCGGCCAAGATGCGGAAGAGAGGCAGAAACGGAAGGCCAAGGCTAAACAGATGCAGGAGACGTGAGTGCAGGAGACACACAGCCCATCATCCGAATGCCTGGGACAGGACGGGCGGGACGATGACCAGGGGCGGTGCCAGGGTTGGGAGGGTCGTAGCACGGACCACTGGACTTCCTATTTGGGCAAGCTGTGCGATAACCTCACCCTCGACCTCGACCCTCGTTTCCTCCAGTGACCAGCTAATCAAATGTCAAGCGCGGTAACCGGGTACATTGGACATCCATCAATGTGTGGTGTTGTGCTCAAGGGCCAAGGTCAGGCCTGGCGGCAAGGTCACGGAGGCCGAAGATCTTGCATATCTTGGGGGGATTGAATCCTCATCCCACCCCCCTCAATGCCACTCATTTTCCTGCTTTGCCTTTCTTGACTGATTATGCTGTTGCAAGGACCCTTAATGGCGGCCTGAATTAAGTCTCGGTATTAAAAACCACACTCTACTGACCTTGGGAGTGAGAGACTCCCTTACCCCTCGTCTCATTAACATCCTCACTGTCACCGCACCGCCGCATTCCCCTCAATCATTTCTGATGGGGGCCTTGGCACAGAACAGCGCAGCAGCGGACTGGAACTGGCACGAAAAGGCGGAATGAGAGAAACAACATACGATCGCTGATTGGCTGTGAAACCGAAGTCTTTCATTGGCTGTGGAAGCGACAACCGATTATTAAGGTTGCCAAGATCGGCTTCGCCGGACGGAATAGAGTGCAGGTGGAGATGAGACCTGAGGAAGGGAAAACGTAAGCAATGTGTTTACTACGAACTTATGAGGAGACATACTGTGGGGGACATTGACCAACGGGTGCCTTCAGACGCTGACACCCCAAAATTCCGTTTCTTGCCCCTTGTACGGAGTGCTGCGGAATGAAGACGCGCGTGGGTCTATCGGCCATCATTCCATTCCGTGTCCTACGGCCCTGACCTGACGTTGTAGTGGAATTCCGCGGCACACGACCGTTGACAACTCGCTTCTCGAATCTCGAGAACGCGGGCTGGAATGTGCATTTTGGAATGAGACTTTGAGCCACCGTCAATTGCAATCGAGAAATGGGTCTCACGGAGAAGTTACCGTGACGCTGCCAAATGCATGACGGACCGAGGCAATCAGAACATTGTAGGTATCATTCGATGAACGAATGTAGTAAATGGAGGGGGAAAAAGTGATACCAACCAGCAACCGACGTGCATACTTACCCTTGCCCCAGCCTGAACATGGTTACGCGGTGGGTCTGCCAAAGCTCGCTGTTCACATCTCTTCAATCTTACTACCACACGCCTGCCCATCCAAAATGGCTTCAACGACGCCGGACTCCTCAGTAGAAGATATTAGCGTAGGAGACTGTGTGTTGCCGTACCTTAAAGCATGGTTGCAGGCATCCAATGTCTTGTCGCCGTCATTATTCACGGGGCACGGGGGTCATGACACAAGCGTGAGCGGGGTTGAGACCAAAAGCCCGAGGCAGCAATTCTGATCATTATTGCTTCTCTGTAGCGAATAAACAGGATCCAACTTTTTGGCAAAGAAAGACAGCGCTAGCCAGTACCATTGCCCTCGCACCCTAGTGGTGTTGTCCCCTAAAATCTCAAGTACTGTTGGTACCTAGTCCCAAAGTGGGGTACACTAGGATGACGCTTGATGAACAGCAGGGTTGTAGGAAGCGAATCGGGCGGTGGCGGATCCGCTTCTCTGGATTCCGCAGATCTCACATGGCAGAACCCTGTCTTTAAGAAATGGAGCAGGCGCGCTTGTGTGAAAGGAGAAATGGTAAACGAGAATGCAGACAGCTTAACTATAAGCGGTCTAGTGCCGGTTGCCTTATTCGACCAGGGAGTTGGGAAGCGGACAGGGCGGGGCGAAAGGGATATTAGAGACCTCTGAACAAACGAACCACCCGATTGCTCATTGACTTTGGCAGGCAACCGAAAGGTTTGGGCCCATTACAACGTCAGGCAAGTCTAAATTAGATCTCGGTATGGGGAGGAGTATGTGCCAGCATGTGTGAACAACATATGGTCGGGTGATCGAGTGATCCAGCATAATGATTAAAATGATAAGTCTGCAAGGGTAGGCAATGTCAGCAACGGTTTTGCCCGTGCCCCAATGGCTTGTGGCGGGCCGGCGGCATCTACGAAGACTGTTAAAACATATGGGGACATGGCGCAGCAACCAGACTGTTGGGACGGACGACGGTTTGATTAGGGTGTGAAGCGAACGTGTTTCGCGGAAGAGGATAAAAGCGAAAGAGACAGAGTGAGAGAGAGAGAGAGAGAGAGAGAGAGAGAGAGACAGGGAGAGGGGGAAGAGCGAAAGCTGGTGCCCCTCAACCGTCCTCTTTGATCGATACTTGTGGGCTTCCACCCGCAGATGACTGTCATTTTGCATCGCGGTGCTAGAGGTGAGGCGAGCCATTTGGGGGCCAGGACAGGAACACAGAAACATAGACGAAGGCGTCCGCCCCA